AAGGGGAAATTTTATATTTTTTATCCATTTCAGCCTGCTTTGGACTATAGCATCTAAAAACTGATTGTAAGACTTTTTCTCTTGCTCATATACAAATATGTATATATACACCATCTTTGTTAAGTAAATTCTGGAGACTATTCCAAAATAAGCAGACACTATTTTCTTTGTGGGAAAAATAGTCAGCTTTCACGGGCCTCTAAAAATACAGGTGTTAGAATTACTTAGCAAAGACATTGTTAACCAGGAGCAAAGCTAAAAAGGTCTCTGCTATTATTCCTGAAAATATCTACCTTTTAAATAGCAAAGGTCAGTTTTACCAGTTCTTATAGAATTTCAAGAAGAGATTCAGTAAAAATTAAAGAACTTTCTGGGGGGAAAAATGATGGCATTTCTTAAAACAAACAAACAAACAAACTTAAACAGGTCTTCCTAGAGAATACTCAAACATTCTTGAACTACTTAAGAATTTACCACTCAAGGAACACACTAGAGTTGTACAGCACAGGGTTATGGGGATTCAGAGAGCAGGCTTTCCCAAAATGGGACACTTTGGCATGGAAATTCTTTTGAGCTGAAGGCAATCAATACTGCAAGCTCATAACCACATTTTACCTTTTCATTAAAGAATTTAAATTAAGAACCTTACCCCTCATAAGAGCTATCAGCAGAAAGAACTTTTTATGGCCTATCTGTAGGGCACAGCAAACTTCTAATTGCAGAACATCTGCTCTTTTGTCCTACATATGACCTTTCTTCCCTGTTTAGCCCCAAGGCTCACACCTCATTCCTTAGCTCAGAATATCATTATTACTCCATTTTTCTCTGTCTCTGAACCTCTCATGCACGTGGGGTCTCTGACTGTTGTATATGGGGTTCCTTTAACATATGAATTCAATCAAATATGGTTATTTTCTCTTGTTGATCCATCTCATGTCAGTTTGATTATTAGACAAGCCAAAAGAACCTAGTTGTGTCGAGAAAAGTTTCTTCCTCCCTCACAAGGTCCAAGGTAACTAAGTGTGTGATGGGCTCTAGTTTTGTTATCAGAAACTTCCCATGACTAGGGTTTCCATTAGTGTATTTGGTGCCTTTATGTGAATTTAAAAATGGTCACTTTCCTTTGGATAGATGAGTTAGAAAATATGGGACTTTCAGGTGTACGAAATTTAACAGGAAACGAGTTGGCCAGGTTCCCACTCCTCTACCTCACCCTCTTGGCAGAGGCTGTGTGCTTCCCACAACCTTATTCCTGCCTCCCCTTTTCTTCCCATCTAATACAGTACAAGAGACTGGAGCCATGTCATCCTTCACACGAGTCAGAGCCTTAGGCTGAGGAGTGGATAAGTGGACAATGTCAGATTCTGAGAGTGAAGTCTCCTCCTTAACTAGACATAACATAAAGGTCTCATCTTGCACACAGTCCAGTTTATGCAATAGCTGCCTGGACTGTGATGAGAAAGATTGGAGACCAAATCCAGCACAAGCAGTGAGCAGTGTGTGGATTAGCTGTACAAAACATTGGTTTCCAACAGCACATATGCTTCCTATTTCCTGTCCTGATCCAAACCATTCAAATAGCTGGCATTCATTGAGCAATTAACATATACGAGTCACCGTGACTGTTGCTTTGATTCAGTTCTTCCAAATCTGGTCACACACTGGAATCTTTGAGGTTCTTTTAAAAATACAGGTCCTTTGGCCATGACCAATGTGGCTCAAAAGAGAAATGTCATTGGTTCAATTCCTGGTCAGGACTCATGCCTGGGATCCTGGATGGGTTCAGTCTCGCATTGCAGTGTGTGTATGAGAGGGAAACAATCAATGTTTCTCCCTCGCGTCAATGTTTCCCTTCTTTTTATCCCTCCCTTTCCCTCTCTCTAAAAATAAATAAATTGATTAAATATTTCAAAAGATACAAATCTTTTGTTTGATTCAGAATGTCGAGTTGGTTTACATGTTGGAAAGCTCATCCTTCCCTCTGAGAGCACTGGTGGGACTGGAGTCATGGGTTTACACACCTGCATCTGTGCGTATTCGTAGCTATTGTATTCCTTACGATTTGCTAAGTTCTGTCTTCTATTGTCATGCTCTAGCACTGACATATTGATGCAAAACCAAACAATTTTCCCTTGCTGTACATGGTATTTTTGTACTTGGAAAATGTACTGCATGTGGAAAGTTTGCAAAAACATATGTGTGTTTAATATGAAAAATAAAGTTAGGTTGTGGGTTCAGAGAAACAGGCTTTTAAACAAAAGAAGTATCCTGTCAGACATTCCCAAATATTGCAGGATGAAGGCTAATTCCTTATTGTGTGGGGCCCTCAAACACTGTGCCATGCCCAGCATGCCCGCCTTAGGACAAGCCACAGTGTCCCACATTCTTCCAGAATGTTCCCTAGGGCCTGTAGAAAACAAAAAGATCCTGTTTAGCTTTCTGTAAACTAACACTATTCTAAAATATAAAATTTACCAATTATTTTTGTTTCTTTTCATTTGTTTCTTTAATGTTGTGACAATTTTATTATTTTTAAAAAATGCGTTAGCCAGGGCCTCCAGGATATAAGGGATTAGCCACTGTTGTATTCAAAATGATGCATTTATTCAAGGTGAGTTTTCATTTTCTTTGTCTTCTTCAGAAGAAAAAGCCACAGAAATGTCTAAAAGACTGGAAGTATCACTTTAAAACAACTTTACTGACATTTGATTCCTTGAGCCACAGGAATTGATGGTCCTCAGTGTAGTTGGTGGTACAAGCAGATCTCATGGACTGCTCCCGGGCATCACCACCAGACTCCCTGACATCACCAGTGCACTTTTCTGCTGCAAATACACTTCCGGTCTGTGCTCCATTCATTGGAACTCACAGACCAGAGACCAGAATGGTGCTTACAGAAGGTGGGGGGTGAAATAGATGGACAGAGCTTGGTCAAAGTGTACAAGCTTCCAGTTATAAGATTAAAATGTTCTGGGGATCTAATATAAAGCACTGTGGTTAAAGTTATTAATACTGTATTAATTACATAACAGTTGCTAATAGAGTAAATCCTAAATGTTCTCAAAACAAAAAGAAATGGAGATTATGTGACATGGAAGTGATGCTAGCCAAAGCTGTGATGGTAATCATTTTGCAATGTGTGCATCAAATTAACACATTGTACACCTTAAATTTACAGAATTTTATATGTCAATTACATCTCAGTAAATCTGGGGCAGAAGAATTAATTAAAAATTTAAATTTTAATACAATATTTATTGTATTGAAAAATACTGATTCTTTGGCTCTAACATCAGAACGACTGGACCAGAGGCTCCCCGGATGCCTGTAATTTGGTCATTTAGAGAGCTCAAAAGCCACCCTTTGGCAGCAACTGAGATGAGTAATACAAAGCTCCTCACTCCTTTCATTCATTTCTCTTATAATTACAACTCTCCTAATACTGCAAGAAAAAACATAGTTAACATAATCAAATTAATTTTATGTTTTATGACCAGGATATATTTTTAAATAAAATAAAGAAGCTTAAGGTATATATGTGTGTGTGTATACATACACACACATTCAGAAAAATGATACATATGAATGTATATATACTGCAAAACAATGAAAACCTGTATTTTTATATTTTGAAACAAAAGTTAAAAAATGTGAAATTAGATGGTCTAAATTAAATGCTTCCAGCTACAACTTTAGCACCTTTCCCCCTCTTTTCTTCTCTAGTGGAAATTAAGAAAAAGGCTTACTATCACCCACAAACTCTCCATTATAAATTATGAATTTGTTCTCACTCTGCCTTACTATTATCTCACTTAGTAAAATGGCATTTCTTTGTCTTTTCTTTATGAGTTAATGTCATCATACTCTATTAAATTTCTCCAAATGGAGTACATTAGATTTTAGTTTTAGGATCCAAGCTGGTGGTATTTTTATACTGTAAATGGTGTCCAGTGAAGTTTTTTTTCTTTACAGAGGAAAAAAGTAAGAGGAAATGGGTTTGCATAGCAGTCAGAGGGCCTTCAGCCAGATATGATGAAAATTTCCTGGTAGCCAAGACAGTCTACAAACTACAACAGGTTGATTGGAGTGTGGGAAGGGGATATGAAATCTCCTACTTTGTAAGTTTGAGGAAACAACCCAGATTCTTATCTGTCTGGAATTCTTTAGATGTAAATCTGTCTGGTGGGTGGGGAGTAGACTTCCAAGACTATAGGCCATTTCTGCCTTATATCATCGAGACATTCCAAAGAAACATAAAATCCATATCTATAAACCAATTGCATAAACCAGGAACAACTTCACAAAGTCTCAACTGGAGCACTAGTGACATTTGGGCAGGGCAGTTCGTGGTTCTGCAGGCTGAGGCGTGCATTGAAAGGTGGTTTAACAGAGTCACAACCCACTCCGCACGTCTGGGTTTGATTATCTCTTCGCTAGAATGAAGGAAGACGATGTGTTCCTCGGGGAGTTAAGAGGGTAAATGGAATGTATGAACAGCACCCACATGGGATCCGCCTTCTAAAATTTTAGGATCTGAAAAGATAAAAATTTTTAAGAGCACGAGCTTGTAAGAGACACAGGTCTAAGTTTTTACACCATAGCCAATAATTTCTGAAAACAAATTTTTATAGGGAGCATGTTGCTATTCCTCACCCCAATTAGTTGTGGTTTTGTTTCCTTTTTTGTTTCATTTTGGAAGAAAACACTAACATTTCTTCTCTTTTACTTTTACCTGAAGTCTTCTTATTCTTCCTTACAATGATGGGATACCGTTGAAGTTACTCCTGTTTTCCTGCAGAGTGAAAGAAGAGATGAAAATATTTGTAACAAAGAAAATTGAATATATTATCTGTCACTGAATGTTAGTATATATATTTTTGTATGTTTTGTAAAGAAAGGTTTGTATAGTTTCATAAGCATCTTCCCTTATTCCTCTCAGAAAATATTGACCAAAATTGATCTTTTCAATAAGGAAAATGCTTGTGCTGTTTCTGTTTCAGACATGTGGTGCTGGATTCTTTCTCGCCCACTCAGGAGAATGTTCACCCTGTGACTGTAACGGGAATTCCAACGAGTGCGTGGACGGCTCTGGACTCTGTGTGGTAAGTCTGGGCCACTTATCACGTCTCACGTATTTCATTGTCCCTTTGCACCTTGGGTGGGAATAGAATATTCCTCCTGGACATGGGAGCTACCTAGGAACAAACCACTAATCAGGCTCTTTTTTGTACTTTTTGCGTTTTCCTGTAAAACACCTCATATAAACTGCTCGTGATTGTAAGTGGCCACCAAGACGTGTGAGCGAATGTGCACTGTGCTCCTGGGGCGGCTGCCTCACCACCCTCTGCAGCTGGCTCCCTGCGGTGGGCCAGTGAGTGACTGAATACAACACTCCTAGGAGGAAATCACCCATCCAAATTCCTCTGTAACAGTATAGTTTGCCATATGTTTGGCCTCACTCCACATAAACTGGCAGAATAAAACAGTTGTTTCATAGTCCATTCTACGACTTATAAAGTAGTCAGGTCTATAGATCAAAATTTTTAAAAATGAGGTTTGAACCAAATTACTAATAAAAAATGAAAGTTTTGGCCTTGTGATATTTGCAATTCTTTGATCCAGCCCCCAGAAGACTTCTTTTTCCTTAACCGAAGTGAATTCTCCAATAGACTATTCTTCAGTGAATTATAATAGAGACTTATGAAGGAGACTTAGAATAGAAGCCTTCTAGCAAAAAACTACTTGCTACATATTTCCCATTTTCCCTGAATGGACTGATATATAAAGTGGAAATTGAACATTTTACCAGACTTAGCTTCTGTAGAAGTCACAGGAAGCATTTTTAAAGACTTGTGCCCTGAGATCATATTTTCCTTTGTGAGCCAGGCTACACAGCAGGAAAATTAGGTTCCTATGAGGCAACAGGCTTTCCCAAACTGCAAGAGTGTTTTTGCATAAAATATAAGAATAATTAATTGAATATACCTATTTACCTCAAAATTAACATAATTTCTCTGTTAAGCAGATAATTTTGATTGTAAGTGGCCCCCAAGGTGTGTAATGAAGGTGTTATTTTACCCATGATTTACATTAAGATGTGAATGAAAACATTTTCATTTATTTTAAACCTAGCAGTTGCCATTTTTCTAGGGACAGAGAGAATAAAGTGGCAAACACTCACCGCCGCTCCCTGTGTGGTGTTTGTCTAGTCCTGGCGTTTCTGTTCTCCCCTCCCCCCATCTTCTTAAATAACCGTCACATCCAGGATGTCCTCTGTAGCAGTGTAGGCACATGCAGCTGCCAAAATCGACCCCTTTCTAATGCTTCCATCTCCGGTTTCCTGTTATTTTAATCCTAGTGACATTTGAAAAGAAAATCCCATGGATGCACTTGAACTATTAATGTACAGCTCTGATAGTTCGACTAATTAAAGGCTCTTTGTTATCTGGTTTATTAAAATACAAGTCGGTAGGGACTGGCAAGTCCATTGTCAGGCGGTCAGTAAGATGGAAGACAAATAAACGAAAAGGAAATAAGTTCCTCCTGCCAGTTCTTTTGGAGAGCTATGATTGAGCCACTCTTAACTGACAATGCCATTGTCAGACTAGGAGCTATCATGGTTTTTCTGCGACTGGAGATGATGTTCTGAAGGGGACAGTTATCACGTGTTTCCTTCACAGCACCTGGGGCATATGGAGTCCTAATAAAATTTGGGGATGGGTAGGGAATAAATACTTTCATGCACACTCAAGGAAGTTGCCAAACTTCCTGCAATTTGTTGCAAGACAGACCATTTTTAAAAAGATAAAGAGCAGGAATAACTATCCTATTCATCCTAATGGTTACTCCTGCACCCCACCCTACCTGGAGGCAAATACTTTTTCTTACTAGTTAAAGTAATAGATGCTCAATGTAGAAAAAATACAAACAAAACAACAACAATACAGATATATACTGTACATGAAATTCAAAAGGAAAAATCTTATTGCCCAGAGCTGAAATATTAATATATTCTTATTAATTTAATTCAGAAGGACTAAAAATGTAATTTCTGTTTAAGCACAATTGAGGGAGCAGAGGGGGCTTGCCAACATAGAAAAAATATGGTTTGAATTTTTTTTCTCTTATTGATTCTAGAGAAGAGGGAAGAGAGGGAGAAAGAGAGGGAGAAAAACATCGGTCGGTTGCCTCCTGCACACACCCTGACCGAGGACCAGGCCCACAACCCAGGCACGTGCCCTGAATTGTGATGGCCATTGAACCAGTAACCTTTCAGTTTTCAGGACAACCAACCGAGCCACATCAGCCAGGGTTATAGAAAGAACATGCTGCCATTTAGTTGGCAAATACATCGTCCATGATGCCCCTTTCCTTTCACATCCCTATTCCACCATCTGGTCGAGCTGGGCCCCTTTCTCAGCTCCTGCCTTATAGCCCCTGCTCATTCTCAGTTCCCAGGGAGCCAAATAGGCAACAGCTCCACATAGACACTTCCTTGCAGCTCCCTGGGCTTCAGAGTTTCAATCAGTTGTTGCAGTTCACCTGGCCTAACTCATGTCTTCTATCCTACACAAGCAACTAAAATTGAAAGGCCTTCTTTTATTTCATTTTATTTTGCTTTTATTTTAAAGGCTTATAATGCCTCTGCCCTGTCCTCCCTCAAATGTTTCTAATTCTTCTTCCATTCCAATGCCCAATGTCAATTTGACCTTATAATTTACAGACTGATTTTAAGGAACTCAGCCATTTGACAATAAAATTTGTAGTTAAGCTATGTCACCATTTTGAACATATGAAAAAAGCTTAGAGATTTTTTTCAGAAAAGGAATGATAACTTTTCAAATGCAGAAAGGTGGCTAAGTGAAAATGGCTTAGCTAATGAAATCCAACTTGCATTGGGTGTCTCTCCAAAAGGCCACCTTTCATCTTATCAGAAGTGGAACATGTTGGGCTGAGTCTGGTAGGCAGGGCCCCCAAAGCCAGGCAACTCTAGTGGGTACAGCAGACTCCCTAGGAAAGCTTCCAAAAGGCCAAAGGAATTAGGAAACAGAGAGATGGCTCGGGGTAGGAATGCCTACTCCAGACTCCTTTCTCTGATATATCTTCCTCACTAGCAGTGGAGACACCTCTCAAAAACAGAGCCTAATCAAGGCACCTGCCTTTCTAAAATTCTTCAGGAACTTCTATTCCAGCCCCTAGCTCAGAAGGTACTGAGCTTCTCACTACCACCTGAACTCACCCTGTGCTCTCACACTCTTGTGTTGAAACTTGCTCCCCTGTCCTCTGCCTTAGAGTCCTTCCTCAACCTTCCAGGCCGAATTCAAATGTCACCACCTTTATTAACCTTTTCCACCTTCTCAAGAAAAGCTAGAACCTTTCCCTCCCCTTTGTCCCATGGCAAGAATGTACTAAATGCACACCTCTGTCAGAGCTCAGACGCGATATTATTCTTTGTTCTCTCTGTTTCCTTCACCAGTCCCGGAGCCGATAGGAGGAAGGAACCAGCTTTTCTTCATTTTAGTAACAGCCACAGCTCATTATCTGTCAGGGTATCTATAAGCTTAATCCAGGTTTGTCAAGTGAAGGAATGAATTGGTTCCTGAATTGATTTAAAAATTTAGGAGACACTTGGGCCAATATTTCAGGGAAAGGGTACTGTCTGTGATGCTAGAGACTGGGGCTCAGGTTCAGCGCTGAGGAACTAGTAATGTTACCTCTGCTAGATGTTTCTAGCCAGACACCTGCTTCTCAAAGTACAATCTAGGCCAGAAGCATTGATGATACTTGGAAGCTTGTTAGAAATGCAGTCACACAGGCTATAGCCCAGACATCCTGAATCAGAACCTGCATTTTCACAAGATGCCCAGGGCATTCATATGCACACTGAAGTTTGAGAAGCACTTGTCTAGACAGAGTAGCATTTCTCAGACTTTTGGGACTCATGAATCCTTTCCACTTCTAAGAATTATTCAGGTCACCAAATGGCTTTTATTTATGTGAATTATATCTACCTATATTTTCTGCATTTGAAATTTAAAACTGAAAAATTTTAGTATCTTCCTATTAGTGTATTTGAAAATAATAATAATAAATCCATCGCATGTTAGTATTTTTATCAAAATAAATGTATTTTGAAGGTTGAAAGTATATTTAATGTCTGCTTTAATGGAAGGCAGCTGGATCTCATATCTGCTTCTGCATCAGCCTAGGGTGATATCTCCTGTCTTGCAGCATCTGGAGAACTCCACCTTACACACATGAGAAAACTAGAGTGCAGAAGAAAATGAAATCTTAGTATTATTGTAAAAATAGTCTTCACCTCCCTGGGCTTACCTCGAGAACCACAGATCTAGATAGACTATCATTTTGCACAAAGCATGTGACAAACCACACCAAGACTAACCTGATCCCTCGGGCCTTCTTCCTGCATTATGCTGAAATTGTGGCCAAGTCAGCAAGAAACATCACTTTTCATGTGAAGGAGACACAGCTACTATCCAAATGTCATTCCTAATACTAACGTGCAATACATTGCCTAGATAGTAGCTTTCTTAACCACTGGCCAGAGATTAGAATGCTTTTTTCATGTTTAAGTGAGGTTAGTTTTATTTTTAAATAACTATTCTTCTCCAACAACATACTTACTGCTTGTTGTCATCTTGTTTTCTGTTATTTAAAAGGCAGAGCCTTGAAGGTAAAGGGGTATTTGCAATATCCAAGTAGAAAATTTTCAAAACTACAGGAAATGTGATAGGCCATCTGGTCTAGATCTTCATTTTACAGATAGAGAATAAATACCCAAGAAAGGTCTAGTGACTCGCTCAAAGTCGACCAGCTGGAAAATTGAACAGCTAGTCCCTTCTGCTAGCACTCTCCCTGCCCATCTCCCAGACTGTGCATCAGTGCCTTTTAGGGAATTTTGTTACAAACATTTTTAAAGGAGGCAGATGAGGCAGGTCCGTGTTTGCACTCTGGACATTTACAGGTCGGGGAGATTCGGTAGCTTTGCTCTTGAGGGTAACTGCTGCCCGTGGCTGCCATGGCAGAATTAGAGCTCTGACAAGGAATCCAAATCATCTATCTGCTGAGCCATAAGGGACAGAGTTGGAGATTAGCTCATTTTTTACTTTTTAATAGGCATTTCAGGCACAAAAAATGCCCTGCACAGATGGACTTCATCTGTCCAACAAGGACTTGCACAAGTTCAACCCCAGTCTACAAGTAGCCCTGCCGGATTGCTCACGGAATAGATTCCTGGCAGCTGGTCAAGGCTCATTGGTTTTCCCTGGAATGAGAGGTTGTCACTGGTTTTCAGTTGCCTTTGGGTTTATGCTAATTTCTCTTATTTGCTCCAGACACAAATTGACTAATTTACTCTTTGCCACTTTTTCTTTCATTTTTTTCTCCAACAAATATTTACTGACAACTGACAGCATAATACACAATATTTAAGAATTATGAGGAAACAATGTTAACATTCTGTTGTTTGCACATCATACTTTATTTTTCAGTTTCTAATGGATCGATCAGGCAATCTGAACTATCCCCTAAATTCTATTCTAGCATAATTCTAATCAGGAGCCAAAGATGACCAACTTAGAGTGCAAAGGGTGTTCAACCAGGACAACTTCTTGTGCACATTAGGACTCCTCTTTTTGACTCATGTGTTGTACTTCATCTGAAGCTCAAGCTGTTCATATAATCGTGTGACATCTTCTCAAGCATTCATTTTGTGACACTTTTAGAAAGGAACCTTTTCTCTAACACACTGGAGGAGACGTGCGATGTGGGAACAAATAGCCTTGCCTCTGGAGCCAGATGGCCTGGGTTTGAATGTCACATTTGACATCTGTCATCTGCATGACACTGGGAAACGTACTTAACCTCTCTGTGCCTCCATCTCTTCACATGTAAACTGGTGGGAAAATGTAACTTTCCTTAGAATTATTGTGAGAATTAATCTCTGTAAAATATTTACAGTGGGGCCTCACTATTATTTTATTTTGAACCTCAACATAAACACGAAAGAGCTCAGAGTTCAGCCTACTACTACTTCGTCTTGCCTTCCCTAGGCTTCCTCCACAGAGCACTGTTTGGAAAAAGTATTTCTTTTGAAACTGTTCCCAAAGGAATTGCTCAAACAGGAGCGTGTCTCTTCAGTGGCATTCAGATTCTAACAGTACAATTTTTCACTGAATATCCTATTCAATCTCTATCCATTCTGATGACTGTAAAGATGAAAATACTGCAATACTAATGGCATTGCCTTGTGCAATCCCAGCCAGTCCAGTTGGAGAAAGCTGTCAGTGAGCTAGCGTCACTGCCTCTTATGGAGAAATAGTTAGAAACAAATCCATCAGCTGGACAAAGAGCTATGAGTACCCACCCACTCAAGTTGATGGCAGTAGTGGTTAAAGACATTAGGTGGGAGCAGATGATAACAGTACAGTGTAAATGGTGGTAGGAGGGGAGCATCAGAGAGGAATTCCTGGAAGTTCTGAGACCAGGTAAAGATTTTGAATAATGAACAGGCATCTAGGCAGAAGAATTAGCCTATTCTGTTCTTTCTTTCTTATGACCCTCACAACAAATGGAGCAATCACACAAATGAACGAGCTTACCATTTCTTTATGTCACTATCCAAGATACCAATCCATTAGCATAAAATTCTTTATCAACCTTCTATTCCTTTTATGCTTCTGTATGACACATTTGTTCTTCCAAGCCCATAAATCCTTAAATTGTTCCCACTGTCATGGGTAAGCACCAGGGAGATTTTATTTTTTTCATTTTATATTCATTGCAAGTCATTAAGCTGATGCTACTACAACGTCCAGAATTTGATCATTCTGATTATCATTCTGAATTGAAATAAGTAACTCACGAGTAATCCTCCCTGCTCACGAACTCTAAAGAGAGTCCCAGGCTGCCAGCGCACACATGGAAGTTCGGGAGGAAGCCGTGCATCATCATGCACACTTTGCAGCACTGACTGGGCAACACGGCTCCTTTCCGATGACCCGTACCGATGCACACCATCTCTTCTGTCAAGCCTGCCATTGTCTTTGCTGGAAGTATCACTTGGGTCCCAGATTCACTGTCTATAAAATTTCTTTTGTGTCCTTTTCAATTTTCCTATCTTTTGTCTCATAGAACTGCCAGCGGAACACAACAGGAGAGCGCTGTGAGAAATGTCTAGATGGTTATATCGGAGATTCCATCAGGGGACCCCCCCAGCTCTGCCAGCCATGCCCCTGTCCCCTACCACAACTGGCCAAGTAAGTCCTAAAGGAAGATGGTTTCTTCTGCTGCTCACCCCCCTCTTTTCGTCCCTGTCCAGAGTTCTGAGGGTTTTTTCATAGTTAAAACTGTGTACCTCTTGTTGAGATGAGACTGGAAAAAGTACTGAAAGGGTCTCTAGCCTAAATATACCTGCAGGGAAGCTTAGGCACTTGCAGTATAGGTGATGACTCCATTCCCAAAATATTAAGATGAATAATAAAGTGAATGAAATGTCCCAAGTTTTATAAGCAAAGTTAGTCTCAGCTTTTCTTGGTTATGCCTTGATCCGGAGAGATCAAAACTGTTAATGCCAACAGATTCATTATAACCCAATATTTTCAGTGAGAATGTTTCTTCCGACTCTGACAAAGCAGACATTTTCCTACATAGGCTTTTCAATAAGAATTAAAACACAGATAAACAGAATGCATGATTTAGGCTAATTACCTCATAGAAGATCTCTAAGAAAACTAATTTGCAACTCTGGTTATGTTTTGACCTGAGTGAAAAGTTAAAGCGAATAGATGTGCATCTTAATGGAAATAATGGGTTTTTTCAGGTACCTAATATATGTAAATCCGCTAGTCAAGTCATGACTAGACATTGTATTGGCTTTAAAATGACCAACTGTAGAATTAAAATGGTGTAGTAGTGTTTCATTTTCCAAATATTATCCAGTTCTTCCGCTTTTTTAATGCCAACTCAGTATCCTACAATCAATTCAATTCTGGCACTAACTACCCAGAATTAATGCAGACCCCCGAATTTAAGGACTCAGTCCCACTGCAGAAGCCAGCCAGAATGAGGTACCCAGGCTTTTGTGATTTTTTTTCAGTCAACTACAAATCTGGGGACTCCTCAGCCCCACTTAGATTTGACAATTATCTAGAATGACTCACAGAACTGGAAAGTGAGTCTTCTTATAAGGATATAACTCAGGGACAACCCAATGGAAAAGATGCATACGGTACAGTATGGATGAGGCGATGGGAAGGACCAGAGCTTCTGTGTGCTTGTTCTCCAGGGCACTACCTTTTCAGCATATCAGTGTGTCACCAACCCAGAAGCTCCCCAAACCTTGCCTGAAGAGCTTTATTCAAGTTCCATTACATAGCCACCATTGATGAAATGATTGGTGATTAAACTCAACCTTCAGCCCCTCTCCTCAATCCTGAAGGTGCGGAGGAATGGGGTTGCAAGTTCCAACCTCTAATAGTGTGGTTGGTTCCTCTGACAGACTAGCCTCCATCTGGAAGCTAGTAGGAGCCCTCGAGAGTCACTTCATTATCATAAACTGCTGTGGTTGAAAGGAGCTCATTAGGAATGACAAAGACAGTCTTGAAATTTCAAAGTTTTAGAAGTTCTGGACTAGGAATCTGAGTCAAAATCTCTATATATAATATATTTCAGGTAGACAGAGTAATGAAACTAGTTTAATAACTGTGCTCTGGCACATAATAGCTATATGATCTCAGACAGGGTCTCAATTTCCATGGGATTTGGGGTCCAGAAAACTAGATTCAGATCTTTTTCTCTTCATTGATGTTTTTAGCCACTCTCATAGAGCTGTACTAGGATAATATGTGTGGACCATTTGGGTTAGTGCCTTACACATAGAAGGTATATGGTAGGTGTTGGATTCACTAAATTCATACTTTATATTTTTTTCTGACACTTATATTCTGCTTACTCTATGTCAGGCACTGTTCTGAGAGTTTGGATGTAATCTTTACTTGATAGCGGTTGTAAAGATTAAATTAAAAATGCATGTAAGATAAATAAAAAAGGCCTGAATAGCTGCCGCACACATGCGTGTGCACACACACTTTCTTAAAAAGAGAAAAGAGAAGATGACAACCAAATATTCCCCTAATTCTTTGTCCTTAATGGAATACCAGCACTGACAAACATTTCACCTAATAGCTTGTGATTTGTTCAGATCCTCCGATGGCTCTGACAGCCGGCGAGGAAGTCAGACATTTTGCAGCCCCATCTTACTTTAAAAATCATTAAACCACCTCACCCTGTGCTTTGTGATTTTTCATGTCTGATGATATTAACAATGTGTGCAAAACTGATGGTACTGAGAGTGAGAGTAGAAAACTCCAACATTAGATGTTCTGTTATTTTCACTCAAGTGTGTCCAATTTATGAGCCCCCTTTACCTCATCTAGGTGTATTGTTTCGTTGTTCATTGATATTCTATCCTCAAACATCAGTCTTAACTATACCTAATGACATGTTTAGCATGCTGCTCTCTTACTCGATATAGTCATTTTGTTAAATATATTTACCTCCAGCTTCCCAGTAACAGGTTTCACTCATTTGCCCAAGTAAACAAAGATGCTGTATAGCATTAACTATTCACAACAACTTTAGAAGCTTTGAGCTGCAGTTTATTTAGAAACAAACAGATGAATTAGAAAGGCAATCCCAAATGCTAAGTGTATTGTCTTACTTCTGCACTTTTTATCCCATTCCTATGACAAGAGTTTATCTAAATTATTTGATGTTAATGTCTTGAGACAAGAGACTCTTGGAGCCTTATTTCTATGGACTGAGAAGTTTGTCTGCATGCAATCAACAAATATTTATCAAGCACTTAAGTGCCAGTCATGTACCAGTCGCTGGTGACAGCAGTGAAGAAAACAGTCCAAAAGTCCTGCCTTTATTAAGATAGGTCAAAATACAGCAGCGCAACGAAGCTCCTAAAGCAAATGACCTTTTCCCTTTTGAGCCAGATTATCCAGTATTTCAGTTGATTAAGAAGCTATTATGAAGGCTGCTAACTCATTTAAATAATCGAAGCAGCAACTCTGCCAACTGGGGAAAGCCTTCTTGCCTTGAAAGAGGCAAGGTTCCATAGGCATCAAGGATCACCATGTCCACCGTGTTCATTCTCTCTGTCTGTGAGTGGATCCCAGTTCCAAAGAACAATCAGAAGTCTTAGGGAATGTGCTCTGCAGTTGGGAACATATTCACAGACACGAAAACTGAAGTCTTCATAGTACAGATTTAAGATCGAAAAACCTGCTGAAAATTAACACAAAAACAAAAATACATCACCTAGAAGTAAAGAACATACGTGGGGATGTTGGAGGAATTGGGAAGGGTGTGAGAGGCCTGCTGGTGTTTTGTTTTGTTTTTTGTTCGTAGTGGCAATAGTTCTGCTTCTTGAATCTCTGGTAGTGAAAAAACTGGCTACAAAAATGGGGATGGGAAGGTAGTCTGTGATCGTAGAACAGGACAAATTAGCCTGGATCCTACGAAGTGCTAGCCTTTGATCTGGACTTGTTACTGACTTAACTGATCTCAAATGCTAATCAAATATATTATCGAAAATCAATTGCACCATTGCCTCTTTCAGATTTTAAAAAATTCTTATTTCTACTTTGTATAAAAGTGAAACTGCCAGTACTGTTATTTAAGCTCTGAAAGGCACCAAGTTACGGAGTCTAGATTATACTTTCAAAGATCCGCTGTTTGAGACTATAGACCCAGGATTTGGATTTCAAGTTACAATAGCCACATTGGAAAGCAAGGAAATAACGTCTGGGGGAGTTTAGCAAAGTCTATTTTTCTTTAAGTTCCCTGTGGGTTTTCCAAGAGCAAAAGGCTCCCTTCCTCTTTGAAAGGGCGCCATGGTTGTTATTGTGGCTGGGAAGGTGCCGCGTTTTCATTTCCTTAGCCGAGGCAGACTTTACTCTGAGGAAAATACAAACAATGAATGCGGATGAAAAACAAAAAAGGAACCCTCAGTGTCTGGCGTTGCCTCTGAGTCTCCCACCACAGACACCAGCGGTCATGCAGCTATTCCCAGGGACCACTTGCGCGGAATTCATTTATTTATTTTGGGGTTGGCCAGACATCCTCCGTGTCGGCTAGTAGCCATGGTAATGACTCCAATTAAGGGAAATGTCATCTGTATGAAACAGCAGGACATTAGCTCAAGGCAGACGACTCCAGACACCGACAGATGTTTCAGTCCTTCAAGCAGTCAGCAGGCTGCGGGGCGAAACATCTTCAAAGAAGCGTGCATGAGGGTTTGTTCGTGCTCTGGACTCTTAACTGACAGTGTTTCGTTAAGTAGGCTAAGGAATAAGAACAAGCAAAATAAAGAGTAAAGACCAAAGACATGTAATTTTGTGGGAATGTTTTTAATCAAACTGTTAGGGAAAATAAATTGTGGGTATTACCTTTCACTGAGAAGCACATATTGTTTTCTGACTGATTGTATAAATATCTTCAAACAAAGCAAACACATCCATTTGCTTTCCTCCAGAAGCCCATTAGGGTAAAATTGCTGAGACAGGCAGGAATGTGAGAACAGCAGATCACAGTCCATTGATTGCACAGCACCTAGGCCAAAGCTAATTTAAAAGTCTTTAAAACTTTCCCACCCACCTCATATGGGTGGATTCATGTGTTAATGTAGAACTTTCCAAACATGAGGAGAATAATATTTCACTTCTCCTGCCTCAGTATTTAAGATGGTTATATATTCTGTGGAATAATATTTTTTATCACTTTTCTGTCCTAATTTTTATTATCCACAACAAAAAATGAAGATGAAGAATCAGGACAGGGGTTCCATAGACTAGAATCCTTTTTCTGTGGGTCCTATTGTTTGAGTACTTGCTCTGTGACTTTGATCAACTCAGCTAGTCCCTCCATTCTTCATTTCTAATCTTCAAGGTACACATAAAAGATATTAAGGCTCTGTGAAGATCGTATAGTTTAGAATTGGTTCATATCCTTGAAGAATGGAAGAGATCTAGGGAAGAAAAAAGGGTGAGGCAGACTTTCAAATTTATATACAAAAAGTGATGGGAATAAGAGGAAATTCTCATATTAATCTAAAATTGCAGGCAAAATTTGATTGTTTTATTTCTCTTTGGAATATGTATGGTTTTCTGATATTCCCACTGCTTCGAGGGAAAAAATAATGAAATGCCCCTATGAAACCTGGAAGATGGTTTCACAAATGGAGTGGCATTTTCTGGCTGAGACTGTTGGTCTCAACTTTCCTGAAAGCAAGAAGATTTATTTAAATAAAGCAAATGACCGCACTCATTTGCAGACGGTCTTTTCGATGATTGACGGAGTTGACTTCTAATAGTCCCTTACAATTCTAGTTTTGCAGAATCCTGCTATAGGAAAAATGGAGCTGTTCGGTGTATTTGTAAGGAAAACTATGCTGGGCCTAACTGTGAAAGGTAAGCTAATAAAATGTACTATTTTCCATGTGGGTCAAAGGAAGCCTTTTGTTTCTTGCACTTATCGGCTCTGCCTCGGTCCCCTTCAGCAGGCCCTGAAGCATATGCTTGAGAGAAAGGAGTGGGTGGCAGTACTTCAAACCCATGGGGGAGCTTTCCTAATCCCCTCCCCAGATGCAGATACACACCATGCTCCCTGGGGGTCCAGGCCAGGATACATGCACCTGGAAAGAAGTGATGAGTATGCGCATTTTAGAAAGATTTCCTGGGTGGTTTTGGTAACACTTCTCTCTCTATCACTGAGAACCAGTAGTATAATCAATAGAGAGTGAGGCTTCCTTGGTATATAAAAAGTGAATCCAATCCTCTATTAGAGCAATACATTGACAATACATTGAAATGCACTGAAATAAAGTGGAAGATTGAAAATATATCCTCTATCAGAGCAATGCACTGAAATACACTGAAGAAAATCATGAATCTATTATTTAACTTATTCTTTACACCACTTCCTCTCATGAAAAATGAACAAGTTTCATGAGGCTTTGTATTTTCTGAGTCCCTGTTTGGTACTTACACCTAACTCTTTGCGGGGGGTGGGGGGTTGCTCTGGGCTCTGCTCAGTCAAGAAAGGCCTTGGTGGCTAAGGCTCCGAAGCTTCCCACTGAATTATTTCTCGGCGAGACATTTCCCATTCTCCCGCCCTGTCAGCTGCTCACAGTTTTCTATAATAAAGTGGCTTTCACTAAAAAAGCCTCACAGAGATGTCTTATAATTCTTAGCAGAAATACCATTAACATTGGCCTCATCACTGTGTTTAGGCAGCAAAATGATATGTGGTGCCATAAAGACAGAGAGGGAAGGGCCAAGAGGGTCCAGTCAGACTTGTAGTCCGACATGGGCAGGGTGGTCTCCTCGGAACAACACGCTCCCCCCGGCCCTGAGGTGACTCACTCAGTCTCAGGCTCAAAATGTAAACCTTAAATTATAAGACATCTCACTTCCTAAAAAAGAAAATAAAACACCTTCCACCCCTAAAAAATTAGTTCTGGAACTCTTAATAAAAAGCCACAATGTCTGTGGTACAGAGAAAATCTCTGTACTAGGAGGTCAACTGCTGTTATGACTATTAAATGTGCAAAATGTGAATAATTCTTTCCCTAAAGAGTTCTATGGGAATTTGCCCTTTCTTTCCTTTTTCCATTTTTCTTCTCTCTCTCTCTCTCTCTCTCTCTCAGGGGAGGAAAAGTGAAAGCTGAGGGCCCATATTAATTTTATCCTCTAGAGATGATCAGATTACCTTTGGTCAATTGTTTGTGACACATTCATGCTGTATTTCCTTACTTGGGGACCCAGTAATATGAGGCACTTGATTTACTCATTTCCTGGCTCAGTGGGGGTCTGAGAGGACTGTTAACCGGCCAGAGATGGAGCTTTTTCTCTCTGATGTCTAAGTTTAAACTTGGTTTAGTCTGATAAGGACTGAGCTGTATTACCAGAAAATGAGTGTTTGGTGGCTCCTGTGAGGGGAATTAATGGCCTTAAATAGATCCCTGCTAACCTCATTCAAGAACTTCCAGAACTGAAGTAATCTTAGCCCCAAAAACTCAGTCCTGCAAAATCACACGGAGGTGCAGCTAAAGGTTCTGTCAGCAACAGTGGGGGACCTGGCACAGGACAACGTGCCCACCTGAGAGGTGGGATTGTAGATGATAAACCCCCCAATCCACATCAGATGCTCCTGGGACCTGTCAGTACCAGTAAGGCCAAGTGGGACTTGGCCTTATGATGGACCTGAATTGATAGGCCGGAGGAGACAGCACTAGTTTGGGAAGTGGAAGTAGACCCTGACTGAGTTGGTATCTCAACTCCAGTTCTTTGTGATCCTCCTGGGCAAGTTATCTTGACCTCTAAGTTATTTCTGTATCTCCAGGATGGAGAAAATGAAAATAGCCACTTTATAAAACTGGTTGTGAGATGATACTGCCAAGTTTTTAGTATGGCACCTGGCACTTGATAAAGGCTCAATAAAAACTAACTGGTGACAGTATGGGTCCTTGTGGTCCTTCTCCGGTTCCCACCACTGGCACAGTGTGTGTCTGGGACATGCTGGCTCATTACCCCGAATCTCAGTTTCCAGAGCTAGAGATGATGGCTTTGAAGTAAATAGTGCCTTTTACTGATTGTCTCTTGCATCCCCATCGCTTTACATTCCTCATCTCTCAGGCTCATAACCATCCTAAGAGGAGGCATATTTTGTCATTTGGTAGATGAGAAAATAGGGTAAGGGAGGAGATGGGACTTGTCTAAAGTCACACTACTGCTACGTGGGGGAACCAGGATTTGTACAGTTTAACTTAAACATCTGGACTCTTCCCTCCCCCTATTTTAAACATTGACAATTCACGAATTAGATGACTCTCTGATATGCAGGAGAAAAGTTGTTGATCTGTTACTAATTTCCTTCCACAGGAGGCTGCACCTGCTAAGGTGCTAGTAGTAAGCATCCCTTCTAAGTCCTTTTACCTGCATTGGGGAGGATCAATTCGAGCAACTTTTTTTCTTCTCCTCTCCTTCTCTGTCCACCCTTCCTCACACCCAATACTTCAAAAGAGAATGTACTGAGTCTTTTACATCAAAAATTGATTTTACAAACCAGGGGATTCCTCCTAAAAATGGAACTGATCACACGGCAGCTTGGTGGAGTGGACAGGGATGCAGAAACTTCTGAGACATGATGTATTGTTCTCAATGAAAGTCAAGGCTAGCAGAGGAGATAAACCTGAAAACCATCCATTACAAAGGCAGAAAAAAGAAAATGCTGAATAGAAAAACAAACAAAGATTCTTCAAGAGTGTAGTAGAAAGAGTGATTTCTTTCCCATGGAGAGGCAGGATCATTAAAAATAGGTGGTCTCGGCTGCTTTCCATTTGTGTTTGACCCTGGAAAGGAGAGAGGGTATCTGTGTTGAGTTTGGCAGCCAAGTTGTGAAGTTGTCCCAGTTAAACTTCATCTAATCTATGCTCTCAGTGTACTTGTGGACTTGGACTTGTCCACAAGATCTTTTCAAAATATGCAGCTGATTTGTATGGGTGTCTATTTCAGACAAAAATAAAAGTCCAAACTAAGAACTCTCTGGGTGTTTCTGTACTTAGAGATTATTTAACCATCTGTTGGTCTTCAAATCGACTGTACGTAAACCTTTAGGTTCAGGAACCTGAAAACCTTTAGGTACCTTTAGGTTCCTGAGCCCTTCTCAAAACCCCTCCATGCCTTACTGTAAAAGGACCCAGGAAGTGAGTCCTGGGAGCCCATTGCATTCTCCCACAGTCCTCTCACTGCACTGGGAACTGCTACCGCATGTCAATCTTCAACACCACACCAGCAGAATAAAAACCAGTGTTTCTCAAACTGTGGCTCCAGGACCCTGGTAGCCTTGAAAAAATTTGTGAAGTTTAATGGCTTCTCAGTAAATATTAATTTTGTGTTTAATTTCAGTGATAATCTTGATTTAAAAAGTTAATTGAACATGTTCTGGACTTTCTGTACAATTTTATAATAAAGGGCTGGGGAGAAAATAACAGCCAATGATGTGTCAGTGACATACTACAGACAACGGGAGGCTGGAAGGCACGGCATCAAAGCAAACGGAGTTATCGCACAGCTCAGGGCAGCAGATGTGTGCTGAACTCAGTCCCACCGCGTCATATCACAAGTGGCCATTTGCTTGTAATGAGACATCAACTATTATCTCAAACTAATACTGTTAATTTGAATTGGATTAACTTTACAGTTTTGTTTGCTTTATTCAGAAAATTCATCTTGGTTTTCAAGATCTTAAAAGCCATAGACATAAGGAATTTCTACCTGTGTTTGAAATATTTAAATATTTAAAGATAATTTAAGTGGACACAGGACAAAGTATTCTATAAAAATGTTTGTTGTATCACAAGGATTCATACTACGTACAAGTTTGAGAAATGTGGTCTAAAGCAAAAACATGAGCCTCTTACTGTACCATGTAAAACACCTCAAACACACTTGTCTTCCCAGTGAGGTCAACATTTCTTAGCCTGCTCTGGCCCCTGCCTCTCTCTTCCCAAAGTCCTTACCCACCTCACAGTTTAAAATTCACCTGTTGTACATGTTGTACCTGCTGCTCTCGAAATCACTCGACCAACTGTAGAGCTCACCACACTGTATTCTGATGATGATGGCAAAAATAAATACTAGCATGTATTGTTTACTGTGTGTCAGGCACTAATGTAAACATTTTACATACAATGATACATTTAAGCCAAAAAGGATCCTATGAGATCTATTTTTATTCTTTTACAGAAGAAAAAAAGTGAGATACAAAGAAGTTAAGGCATTTGCCCAAAATCACACAATTTTTTAAAGATCTGAACTATTAAACTATGAGTTTTTGAACAAAAGTAGCATCATTTCTTTAGCCACTCTTTCTACATCACAGTATTGCATGTGGTAAGCACTCAGTTATATTTGTTTCCATAATACTTTTTTCTTTTACTAAAACAGCAAAGGTACTTTTAATGTCCGTTTAGAAGACACCATGTAGTGAAAAGTCAGTCCTTTCTTCCCCCGTGGGACCCCTCACTTCCCACCTCATGCCAAGAAGTGGAAAAGGGTTTCCCAAGTTACTGCCCTCCAGCTGAACAGAGGTCCAAAGGGGTGTTATCTTCTAATACAAACAACCTCAGAATGAACAACCTTAGAGACAGGAGGTTTTCAATTTTATCCCAATGTGATCTTTCCTCTGCTCCTAAATAGTACATTTCAAAGATGATGACCCTGAGGTTCAGAGCCACATGGAGGTTTAATCTGAAGTCACACAGGCAGTTAGTGGTAGACCTGAAACCAAACCCATGACCTTCCATATTCAATCTGAAGTTTTTCATTAATAAATGTATATAATGTTAGTGCCTCAGTATTCCTCATTGTCTCTGATGGCAGCTTTAATAGTATACCTTTATCCATTTGATTTTGCAGTGGAGTGAGAGACATGCTAAGACCATATGAGGATTTATCATGTGGATCATGTTGTTTAAGGATCAGAAGAGAAGAATGGGGCAAATTAAAGCAAATTCCAGTGGACCTTACAACCCTAACAAGAAAGGCTAATCATAATATCATAAGAAGATGATGATAGCAGTGACAATGATTTTGATGTTGGCTTTGATGATAGAAGAGTAAAGAAGAGGAGAAATTTTTTTCTTTTCTCTTTTCTCATGTATCAAGGGTTATTATGACTCAGGGATTTGTTTTGATTCTTTCTACAGGTGCTAAGTTTTCAGAAGTTCTGTTATCTGTAAAGAATGCTTCTTATGTTTTCCTACTCTCTGCCTTGCTCTGCTTCTAGATTCCTGTTTTGTGACCTTGATGGGTTGCTTACATTTTCCTAGTCTTATTTCCCCCTTTCATAGAGAAGCAGAGAGCATTTATATGCCACCTACTGTTGCAACAGGCACCTTTTTTTAAATCATTTAATTAAATCCCAATGACAGCTACAGAGAAAGGCTTCTGTGCCACCTGTGAGTTTTGGCATCCTCAGTAAAGGCATTCACTGACACCTGTGGGGCTCTGGGAGAAGAGGCAGAGGAGAGGAAAAGAGCTCCAAAAATTCCCAGAACAATAATTACTGGTGAAAATTTAGCCTGATTTCCAAAAAAACATCCTTTTGTTTTCCATTTTGCCCAAATAACATAATCACTAACTGAGATGACAACATTTTTAATGGCACAATTCTTTCATTTAGACTCTGCATTTCTCAGCTCTATTTTCTCTGAGTGAATCAAGTCACTAATAAAGCTAGAAGTTAAGTCATGGAAGAAAAACAAGTGGGACCAAGCTGCTGGGTACCAGAGCTCCAATATTAACTATTGATCCTTTTATATCCTTTCTCATTTTCTCTTTGAAGGCAGGAATAGGGTGCATTGATATCATTTGGCTATCCAACTGTTGTAATCATTAACTGATTTCTTACTTAAGGTATATGAATGTCGGGCTTATGGAGTTGAAAGAGGATTAAATTTGGAGTCCCATAATTGGTTTGAGCCCTGCAGCAAAGAGCAAATTTTTAGCTTCTCCATGCTCTAGTTTCCTTATCTATAAAAGTAGGGAATTCTATGAGGCTGTGAGTCAGAAACCTAGCTGTGCGAGCCTATAAAATCTGCAGGGCTGAAGTTTGTACTATGACTTCAGAGTTGCCTCTGAACTACCACCAAAAAATGTCTTAAAACTCAAGGTAACTTAAAGTAGGTTTCCAGTGTGATTGAGATCTGACTTACAGGATAGAGAATTTGGTTTTTCTCTTGTGGAAGACCAGGGTACAATCTATGGAGGTCAAATACAGTGGAGTTAAACAGAGAGGAGAAAGTAACGGTCATCTGACTTCTGTGAGCTTGAACAAGTCCTTTTGCTCCTGAGACCTCAGGATCCCCAGCTACACATTAAGGTGACAGATCTGGTCCCATTTCAGTGAGCCCGAGAGTCTAATATTCTGTTTGGTGAACTGTAGCAAAGGTTAGAAATTCAATCCAGCCTCATGTTCCATAGAGGAATGATTTATGCTGGCTTGGGGACCAGAGGCCCAGTAAATTAGAGGTGCAAAGACATGAATGAGTATGAATGCAAAACTCATTAAACATTTTCTCTTGGGGATGTCTCTTTGTAGGTTGTGTAGCATTTAAATTCAGTCTTATCTTTATCATAGACTTCATTTTCTACAGTTCATGATATTATGTATAATTATGCTTAATTTGTTTCCTGTTCTTTCAGTGTATGGGCTATGTGGTTTTCCCTCTTCCTGTCTCTCTGTGCCTTTCATAAAATAGCCATGAATTGTCTCTCTGTTGGATGAATTCACTCATTTATAGCAGCAGCAGTGTGATCCAGGGTGGAGTGAAGGAGAGAACATGAGGGTCAGAAGGTCTGGGTCTTGCACTGTGACTTCTTAGCTATGTGAGCCTGGAAAACCGAAGTAATCTCTGAGCTTGTAATCTCCAGCTCAGAATGTCAGGCCCATGTGTCCTACCTCCTGGCTGTCTGTGGTAACTAAGTAAACGCACCCAAGTGAAGCTATGAGTTACAAGGCAAACCAAGGGTGTAGAGATTGAACATACACTGTCATTACAACTACACCAAAAAACTGAGACATAGGAATAAAGGCTGGAAGATCGTATGCAAAATGCTGAACAATGATTTTATTAGGTCTTGGGATTACAGGTGTGGGTTTTTTGTTTTGTTTGTTTCTCTATTTTCCAAAAGTTCTTTTTTTGTATGATGTGGTTCTTGTTTTTATTTTGTTCTTTTTTTACCTTTATTTTTTAATTCTTTTTTATGTTTTTTTTTATTGCTGTTTAAGTACACTTGTCTCCATTTTCTCCCCACCACTCCCGCAGGCCCCAGCCATCTCCACTTCCCACCCTTGATCCTAACCCCTTTTGGTTTTGTACATGTGTCCTTTATAGTTGTTCCTGAAAACCCTTCCCGCTTCCCCCCCACTGTCCCCTCTCACCTCCCCTCTGGTTGCCAGCAGTTTGTTCTTAATTTCTTAATTATGATTTTATTACTTAAAATGGGAGCTTTTAAAAATGTAGCGTCTTATTACTACTGGCCAGGTGTTACTAATTCCCAAGGTCAATGCCCTATCCCAGGCCCTCTATACCCCACCCGGGTCCAGACTGCAGTCCCCCTTGCACCCTGAAGCCAACACTGGCTTCCTTACTTTCATCGCACTAAGAAACCTTCACTGGCTCTTTCTTTTTCTCTCCTATGTCAGAACTACCTCCTCTGCCTGAACTCCAGTCCCATGATAATATGACTGCACGTTCTTTCCAGCCACTCCCAAAGCATCTTCAGCTCCACTTGGCCAATCTTCGACACTAGTTTAAGGTCTACAGCAGAAAGGAGGCCACAGCCAGCCAGCAAACGTGTATAGTTTGGCTCATACAATATTGTTACAAAGTTTGAGCCAACCTTGAAAACTTGAGATTTCACATAAAATCCAAACTTCAATTTCTCTCTTTAAAAAAAGAGAGACATACAGGTCCTTCCTTCCCTCAAGGCTACAGTCTGGCAACAGCTGACAGAGACCAAGTGGCAGCTGGCCCTTAGATGGGGTCTGCAGTCCTGCCACCCACAGCAGGGCCTTTCCTGGCCCAAGGAGCACCTTTGGGAAAACTGAGAAAGGCATTTCTTCCTCTGAGCAGAGGCAGCCCCACCCCTAGTGCACAGGTCGACAAGGCCAGCAAACGTGGGATGGGTTTCAGTTACTGCCCTCCAGCAGGGCTAGGCTGTCTCCTTAAGGGCCCATCCAGCGTGACCATGGGCACCAGCTGTGCCCCCACAACAAATGCAGTTAGATGGCTGGCCTCTGTATGCTCAATGATATAAAATGTTCAGAAGAATGGCTACCAGGGCTTCAACTCTGTTGATCTGTGGTACTCTCTGCTCTGCCCTCTGCTTTGTCTCCACATTGCCTTCCCTCAGTCACAGTGTGACCGTCAGAGCTAAGAAGAGCTCTACCTGACTCCTCATTCAGCTGCAGATGAAAAGAATGCCATCCCATAACCCTCAAACAAGAACGCTGAGCTTTACTTCAGTTGAATCGCTCTTGAGCCAATCCATTTCAGGTTTAGGTTATCTGATCTACAGCAAGGTGAATGGTAATTTATACCAGTGTTTCTCAACAGAGGTAGTATTAACATTTTGACCAGGGGAATTAGCTGCATACTAGTGGTGCATCTCATTGCAGTGTATTAACATATCTGGCACCACCAATCATATGCCAGCTGCACATTCCACTTGTTGGGATGATCCAAAACGCCCACACACTAGTCCCATCCACACACTACTGCATCTGGAGGTTTGGCCAAACTGAGTGGACTGTAACTGAGTGAGGAGGGGTGGTTCCTTAGAAACAAAGTCTAGTCTTATTAGAAAGATGGGAGATGTGGATAAATTCTGGGAAAGCAAACCACAAATATTAACTACCTTTTTTTTCTAGGTGGGAAAGATTAAAAAGGAAGAAAAACTATGGCTGCTAAATTTTTCACATGTGATTCCCCTTCAGATGCGCTCCTGGTTACTATGGAAACCCCTTGCTCATTGGAAGCGCCTGTAAGAAATGTGACTGCAGTGGAAATTCAGATCCCAATCTGATTTTTGAAGACTGTGATGAGGTCACTGGCCAGTGTAGGAACTGCTTACGGAACACCACTGGATTCAAGTGTGATCGCTGCGCCCCCGGCTACTACGGGGATGCCAGGATAGCCAAGAACTGCGCAGGTGAGCGGGTCAAGGGCAGAGCTTAATCATCATTCGGTTTCCTCAAGTTGTCAGAGCAAATATCTGAAATAGAGTATAGGAATTGGCTTCTTTTAGACTCAAATGTACACATTTTATTCATACTTTTTCTAACCCACTTGCCACATAGAGTGAAGCTCTTCAGAAGTTAAAGTTAAATTGCCTTCCTCTAGAAATAAAGGAAAGCTGAGGTTGAATATTCCTTACTCTTTTGTGACTTTGAGGGGAAGAAGGGTGAGGAAGAGATATTGTACTCTCGTCGTGGCATGCTCTTTTTGGAAACCCCCTCGCTAAAACAGAGTCCCCCTTAAACAGACTTTAGGAAGTAAAAAGTTTCCTACTGAGAAGGGAACACATGTGAACTGCAGAAGTCACAACAGAGCAAACATGTCTGCAAGAAAGCAGTGTGCACAGCGGCCTAACACCAGGGCAATGCAGTGGGAAGAAGGAGCATGTCATATTATCAGCCAGGCCAGAGAAGAAGACCAGGCATCAGAAAGAACGCTGGCAAAGTCAAGCCCTCAGACATTGATGTTCTGATTCTCAAAACATTTACGAAACTCGGGCTGAAACCACATAGAAGCAGAACACTCTTAGAAAAGAAGCTAATGTTTGAAGCAATAAAGTATGATCTTGCTGAATTGTTTAATAAACATGAAACAGCTGAAATATAATAAATGCATTGCCCCTTAAGCTAAATTTTTATGATTTTTCTGTAAGGACAGTTAAGAGGCGGGGGGGGGAATCACAATTCTATTTCAGTTTATTTTAACATGGATAGCTTAGGAATTCCTTTTTAAATATCATGAATTTATCTCTATTCTGAAACACAGTGGAAAATGAACAGGCTGATGAGAGGGGTTTTTTTTTTTCCCCAAAAGGCTTTCTTGGGAAACATCAGTAGATGAAAAATGGGCTCTTGGGTCTTCCAAATTTATGTAAATATGGTCCTAGTTCTTTCCCCGATATTATTCTTACATCCCACGGATAGCTCTCATTTGGTGGTTCGGACTCAGCCTTGCCAAGGGTCAAGCACGGAGGAAGCCAAGATTCGCTCTTGGGCCTCCTCACTCTCTCCTCGCTGGGCCGCTCCTCCCTCACACCTGGCAATGATCAACCCTGAAGTTGGATTGAACTGGAGAATCAGCCTGCAGTGAAAGGCTGGCTTTGAGATTCCCCTTGAATAATGGGCTCCATGATTATGTTGTACCTTGTGGAATTTACCCAGCTCTTTCTGGACTGAAGCAGTTTACACAGTCATGTCAGAATGCCCCCCAAATTGGGAGGGGAGTCCTGGTAAATTTAAATTGCTTTTGCCACAGGGTCATCTTTGAAAATCTCACAGGGCTGGGGCTTAATTGGGTGGGGGGCACAATCTCTATATTATAGAATAATTGATCCCCATTGAGTAGTTATACCTGATAGCCAATATTTCTAGAAACCATGAGAATGTTGCCATCTTTTAAGCATTAGGAAATGATTCCCTAATCTCTTGTTTTCGTTCCCCACAGCGTGCAATTGCGGGGGAGGCCCCTGTGACAGTGTAACCGGAGAATGCTTGGAAGAAGGTTTTGAAGCCCCTACAGGCATGGACTGCCCAACCATAAGTAAAAATAACAGTACATGATTAACTAACCCCACTTTCTCTAATGTGCTGCAGGTGCAGGATTAAGGAGAGCTGTGCCATACCCTCTCTCTAGAAACTGCCTGAGTTCCACCCCGACTTTAACCCTGTCTGTGCCACAAACAAAAGGACCCTAAACAAAAATATTCAGTTGTCTACTTGATTCCAATTAGCAGATAGGTGATTTATATTTAAACACCTCTATTTCACAAAACTTATTCTCTCAGATCTTCAAGGTTAGCATCTTAACTAGTGGATAAAAGCAAATTCAGAAATACAATTCCCAACGCTTGAGTTTATTTTAGCTCCCTTTTCTCTTCAGGCCACCAGATAATATGATACACAAACAATGCCTTACAATTCTGAGAAAATGAGATGCCAAGAGATTTCAGTGGCTTTTCCCCAGTCACTCCAAACCTGAAGTGACACCAGAAATAAAATTTCCGGGCCTTATGAAAAGGATTATGTCCTGGGTCACTCCTGTCAATCAAATCATGAGCAGTCCTGATGGCACAAGGATCTGATGGAACATTTCAAAACAAGGTCCCAGAACTGGTCTTAATAACTTTTCAAGTATCCTTCAGGCCCTTAGTCTAAAATAGTCCATTGCTGATTCTTAGAAGGATTTAAGGAAAGCTTTGCTTTAGAAAGCCTTCTAGCAAGAAAGTAACTAATATTTACCTTTACCTAGAATGCTTTAAAGACTATCTTAACATTAGGTATCCCCTCCCCCAAACAAAAGTCTCCTAACCTCTGAGTCCCTCTGGGCACAGGAGGTTAATATTACCCATGAATCACCTTTTAGAAGATGGCACAGACTGTTAGGCACAAGCAGGGCTAAGTTTACACACTCGTGCCATAGGTGATCCCCTAAGCGAGGTCCCTTTAAGGACATCAAGATGCCTGCCTAGCCCATCTTCTCATCCAACCCGATGTTCCTCTGAGAGTGGATATGAGTAAGACCATGTTAAACTTCATGTAACAAATTAACATATTAACACCTATTAACACTTCGGTCTCCATGTATCAGTTCTCCGGGAGAAAGCACAGTCTGGGAGAAAGAGATTGAGAACAGGAAGGTTTCCAAGGGTATCCTTGTGAATGTGTCCCCGGGGGACACTGGGTCCCTGAAGGGTACTGGCAGTGGTCAGAGGATCTCTGCGGGGAGCAATGAGAAATTGCAGTGACCCCTCCAAACAGGAGGTCAGTCCGTGGGGAGGCACGGAGTCACCCCTGGGGTGAAGCCAAGAGGTGGTGCTAGAACCTGAATCAAGGTGAGGAAAGGCGATAGGGAAGGAGGAGTGCCTAGCAAATGCCCATCTTCACCTGCGGGCACCGAGCGGAAGCCCAAAGCCCGACATGGAGAGAGTCATCCCAGAGGGCTGCACGACACTAAAGAAAAGTGGACACAGCTTTGCCCTGCCTGCCCACCTCGGGTGGCTTGCCCTTTCGTGCTTTCTTTCGGTCTCAATTCAGCAGTCGGTGTTCCTGTTAACTACTTCCCCTGTTGCATGTGTTGTGTGTGCCTTTTGTCACGTTTTCAGTGGCAGTAGTGCTCGATGTGCAGTTTGGCTCATTTTGGGCTCTTCTGCACTTTGAACATGAGGACTGGTTCTGTGGACCAGAACGGCACCTCAGAACACAAACATGAAAATAGCATTAACTAAGGAAGTACGTAGAGTGATGTACTTAAAGCAGCCTGCTTCCCATCTGCCTCCCAGCCGACTTTTGATTTCGAGGAAATGACGTGCCTGTTCTGCCTCCAGGCTGCGATAAGTGCATCTGGGATCTGACGGACGACCTGCGGTTGGCGGCGCTCTCCTTCGAAGAAAGCAAGTCCGGCCTCCTGAGTGTGTCCTCTGGTGCCGCTGCCCATAGACATGTGAATGAAATGAACTCCACCATCCACCTCCTCAAAGTATGCAGCGACCGTGTACCTCCCGCGTGTTTTCCTTCTGGTTCCACAGAGTCGCTCCTACTAACTCCTCTCCCTCTTGGTATCTGAGTCCCATGGCTGTATGACAGATTGTGAGACCTAGAAAATTGTGAAAAGTTAAGCATGAGCTTCAGCCTAAACCAAGAGCTGCCATCCATAAAAGAGGTTACTACAGACAATGAAGTGACTGAGAAGCTAATATCAATATGCAAAACTACTGAGGAAAGCGAAACACTTGTTTCGTTGGTGAAGCTGCATATTGGTCATTCAAGTAATTACCACAAACTTACCGTTACCTTAGCCTCAATTTTCAATGTTTTCAGGAGTTTCTCTAGCAACTTCCCTGTCTCTCTGTTTATGTCTCTATCTTTATTATTCTTTCTACCTCTATCTCTGCCCCCTGCCCTTAGGTCTCCTTCTCACTGTCGAACTTTCTCTCATTTTCCCACACATGCACACACACTCTGTTCATGCTCGTAGGGCTGGTGGTTCATCTCTAATAAACAAGTTAAAGGCAGGCAACGGACTAACTGCTCTTGTGTATCTAAGCTTTCAGAAGTAGTTCTATTTTCTCCCTCTAAATCATGGGCTTCTACCACAACCAACAGATGTTTAAAAAAAAGACAACAATAATAATTAGCTGCAAGGACAATAGAATTAATACCAACACACTTTTTTTGTTAGTTTAGTATAATAGTTAAGAGCATAGACTTTAAGTTTAGATTGTTTGCCTTCAGATAACAGTTCTGACACTTACTAGTTATGTAAAGTTAGGTAAATTATTGAACCTTTTTATTCATCAGTTTTCTCATATGGAATGAGGAAAATTATTGAACCATCTCATGAACTGTTGAGAGATTCAGTGTACTGATATATGTAAAGCAATTAGAACAGTATCTAACATAGCAAGTGCTCTGTACTCTACTTTTTGGAAATGCAAATGACATATACAACAATGAGCCAAATATGCAAAGTGCAGAACAAACAAAAATCACAAAATTGTAGAGCTCGATAAAACCTTAGTGAGCATTCTATTCCAAACTTAGAAATCATTCTAGTCCAAACTCATCTGTTTGGACACGTGAAGGCACTATTCTCCTGATACCACTTGAATCCTCTTTCCCCAACAATACAAGACAGGGATAATTTTAGGTGGCAGGAGGGCTGTGCCCAGATCAATGGGCTTACTCCAGTGTAATTGGAGGAAAGCAGCATTTGACCCAAACTCCTCAAAAATGAAAATGAAAGGGACAAATGGTCTGAAATAAAGAGAACTACTTTCCTTACACAAAAAAGAAAAAGAAGGAGGAGGAGGGAAAGGAGGAGAGGGAGGAGGGGAAGGGGACAGAAGAAGAAAGTAAATTTCTAAATTCCATTTACATAGATCTGCGTGGGTTGACCGTTTCTCCCTTCCAAAGAGATTGATTTAGGCCTTCCAAAATTGACATCTTAAAGCACAGACACCCAAGGCCACCTCCTGTCTATTTTGTGCATTTGTGCCAACTAGAAAAAGGTGCCCTTTCCCCATGGCCAGCACGTCCCAGACCTGGGTCTCCGCCTGATGAGCAGAGTTCAAAGAATTTTAGCCCCTAGGCCCCGAGAACCCTGATGCAGACCCCAGCCTCCACGCTGGCCTGCAACAGCTCTCAGACCCCACTGCATAAGGAACAGAGGTTCACGTTCTCCTCTGCGTCCTCTAACACCGGAAGAGTTTTGTGTTCATTTTTTCAAACCTGGCGTGTACGTCTACTGATTATTTTCAAAACATTTTTTCCATAGACAAAATTGTCAGAAAGAGAAAACCAGTATGTCCTAAGGAAGATACAGATCAGCAACGCTGAGAATACAATGAAAAGCCTTCTGTCGGACCTACATGAACTAGCTGAAAGGGTAAGTATTCCCACTCTCTGAAAGGGCCTGCCTTCAGAGAGAGGAGTTGGCTGGTGTGAGCCCAGCTGGTCGGCAGCAACCAAGGCTTAACACAGCTCAGAAAATATGCAGTGACTCAAGTACCTTAAAATAAATCAAGGGTATACTTAGACTCAACTGTTTCTTCCTATTTTGACTGGTTTCCTTTAAAAAAACTGGCTTTTATGGGGAACTTTTAAAAAAAATATTTGCTGCTGGTTAATATGGTTGATATGTTTCAATGAGGATAGTTGTTCAGGTGTTTGCCTTAGCATTTTATTAGTAAGAGCAATAGAGCATCCAGATATAAGCTTACTATATAGAATATAAAATGTAAATGTTTGCCAAAGGATGTATTAAATTATAAAGGGAAAGAAGAATTGTGCCGAGAAAGCAATTTTGCACTTTGACAGGAAAAAAAAAATCACTTTCTACCCTCACCTTTTACCATATTCTAAAATAAAATTCCAGACAGATTAAAGACTCAAGTTTAAATCTCAAATTCATGAGAAAACAGAACTAAATATTTATTAAAAATTGAAATGAAATAAAAATACATTTAAATATCGGATGAGGCATTACAATAAAAAGATCTAACAGATTGACAAGATAAAAGTTCAAATGCCCAGTAAAACAAATAAATAAATGAAAAAGTCAACAAGACTAAGAAAAATATTGAGGGAATATTTGTACAATTGAGCAGAGTCAATGTGAGAGACTATTAAATACGCTCCCCAAAAGCCTAGTGGGAAAATAGCTATCCTCTGTAGTAATAAAAAATGCAGTTAAGCCACAAGGCACCAGATTTAACATATTAAAATGTTTAACACATTTTTTTATTCTTGTTCTGCTCACCACTGCTGCCCAGAGTACTCAGGAATTTCTGCTTTTCTATGCCGGTGTTTGACATAAACTGTTGAAAGGCTTTTCAAAAACAATTCTCATTTTCCATAAAAATTAATTCTGATAATGTCTTTTGACCTTGGAGCCCTTAAACTTCTAAGAGATTAAGCCTCTAAAAATGTTAATAGTTTATTTATTTATTTATTTATCTTTAGAGGGGAAGGGGAGAGAAACATCAATGTACGGTTGCCTTTCGTGCGTCCCCTGCTGGGAATTGGCCTGCAGGGAACTGGCCTGCAACCCAGAAATGTGCCCTGATGGGGAATCGAACCGCAATTGTCTGGTTCTCCGGCCTGTGCTCAATCCACTGAGCTACACCAGTCAGGGCAAAATGTTAATTGTTTTAATTGGCTCCTTGGAAGATTCAACTACTTTGAAATGCATATGAAAATTTTTCTTGCCTCCCCTGCAATGGCATGTATTAGTCCAACTATCAGCTTCTGAAAAGCAGTGAGATCTCCTAGGTGTCAAAGGAGATACCAGGAAAGAAATCTGTATGAAAAGCACATTGTGATTTCATTTTGGTATCAGGGCTGGAACTTGCCAAAAGTGTCTCAGTTTTTGAGGAAATGCTTCACCAAGATTAGTTCCTCCCACGGCTGAGACTTGGTGTAACAAATCATTTTGTTGTGTAGTTTTTCAACTTTCGATATAGGTTAAATGCAGGCTTTCATAGGGAGAAATAACGCAAGCTTGAGAATGATACCCCAGTAGAAAAGGCTCCTGGACAAGAACACTTCACCCACGCAGGAGGGTGAAAATGAAAGCTACCGGAACGGTCACCCCAGCTGTTTCCATTGATTCTTACTGAAAATAGGTCCTTCTGACTACAACCATTCTGACAGTATAGTCCTGCTGAAACATTTCAGAATAAATGCCTAGAGTTTGTCATAAAGACTTCTCAAGCATCCTCAAGCCCTTAGTCTAGAAGAGCCCACAGTTGATTCTAAGAAGGATTTAAGAAACGCTTTGTCTTAGAAAGCTTTTTATCAAGAAAGTAACTAATGTTTGGTTTTAAATAGAGTGAAAGATTTCACTGTAGATTGCCACAGTGATAAAAATCACACTAATGCTGCTTCTTGAACTTGAAAATAATTCTGTATGCAAATTACCTGGCATGTGAATCTCATGTAACCCTAATCTCACAAAATTTACATTGACCCAAAGTTAACTGATGTTGTCCCAATACCCACATCCAAGTTCTCTAGCCCCCTTTTAGGAAATCCTATAGCCCTTTCCTACACCCTGCCTCTGGGACCACCCTAAAGAACGCCCATGCATTCAATGAAAACAGATCTTTAGGCCCGGATACGTGCGGCTCAGTTGGTTGTGGTATCATCCTCTAGACCAAAGGGTCACGGGTTCGATTGCCAGTCAGGGCACATACCCGGGTTTTGAGTTCAATCCCAGCTCAGGGCACGTACGAGGAGGCAACCAATCGATCTTTCTCTCTCACATTCTCTCTCTCTCTCTCTCTAAGCAATAAAAAATGTCCTTGGGTGAGGCTGAAAAAAGAAAGAGAGAGAGATTTAGGAATGGAAGGAAAGTAGGTCACCTTCACATATCAAAAACATCTTAGTTTCCTTCCTGATTCTGACAAAAAGGCAAGACAAAAGATAAAAATAACTCCAAAAGACTTACGTAATACCTGGTATATAACCGTAATTGTGCTAGGTGCTAGAGATACTGAAATGAATACAATAAAACCCCTGCTCTTAACTTACAGTCTAGTAGGACAACCAGACACCTTAAGAAAATTATAGCAGCATTCGATAATCAAGGTATGATACAGCCTAAAAGGTAACTCTAAGGAAGAAATAATGAACCGATTCAGCAGGGGCCCTATAGGGAAGACTCCTAAGGGAAGATGAGCACTGACCCGTGCGTTGAGAACTGACTAGGAGTTTATTAAGCACTTCCAAGCGAGGGAAATTGCCACAAAACTGGGAGATATAAAGCAGCACTTTGTATTCTTGGCCTTGGCCTTCTGGAAAACTAATTTAGGGCAAGAAGCAGGAAATAATGCTAAAAAAATTCTCAGGGGCCAGATCATGAAGATCCTTGCCCACCTTGCTAAGAACATGTGAATTTAATCTTGTGGACTTTGGAGGACATTGAAACATTTGTTTAAAGCGAGGAGCTCGTCATACGCGGAATGTCAGAAGCATTCCGCCCCAGTAAGGATGCTGGACTGGTGAGCAAAGACTCTGAAGACAGGGACACAGTTAGGACACTGCCACAGCCGTCTAAACCAGAGTGGCTGATTGCTACCTTGTCTTCACTTGAAAAGAATGGCAGTGAACAGGGATCAGCTGAGACCTGGAAGTGGGGACCAGGAGGAGGACCCGAACGGCAAGTGGAATAAAAACAATTTGTTGACCTTGGTCAGGAGGATAAACAAGGAGAAAAACCTCTGGCTGGGAGAAATGGAGGACTAAGACTAAAAACCCAGAGTGGATTACGTTGGACACTTTAAGCATGAGGCATCTGTGGATAATGTCGGAGATTTGAGTCTGTTGCTCAGGGAAGAGACTAAGGCTGTTCTCCTCCCAGGGAGAGGTGTTCGGAAGTCTTAATGTTTAGCAGGTAGGAAAATCCACAAAAGTAGATATCACTGTACAGACTCTGAAATGGCACACCAACATTTCTACTTTTGTTTTGTTCAACTGTCCCTGTTTATGCTTATCTCCAGGAATGATTATTACAAGCTCTCCCCTTTCACTCTCAAAAGTGTCCCCATTTAAACAATAAAATATATGACTACCCTAGATGGATTTGAGTATTATCCTCATTTAATGTGGTTGATTTGTTTAAAAATTAGTATTTTATGTACATTACTCTTTATGTACTTCATAACAAAAACTTATTGTGACCTTTTTATCAACTATGTACAAGGAGAAATCACTATTTATGTGAGTAAATGATAACTCTGTTTGCAGTGTAAGCCATTAATTGATTCATGGTTATAAAATAATTTTTTAATTTCAGCTTTTCTTAAAGCAAGGGGCACCTGTTTTACCATGTGCTCGTTTCATTAATTTTCTTCCATAAACAAAGTTACATAAATAAAATGTAACATTTACATAAGGCATTACTACATATTATAGCCAGTAATCTTGCAGTTTTAAAGTAATAGATGTTCCTCTTTGCCCCTGAGCCTTTTGTTAAGTATAAACAAGCGCCCTCTGGTGTTTGTCAGAAGGAAGCAGTTTTCTCAGAGACAACATCCTCCAGCTTTTATTGCTTCAATTCAGAGAATAAGTAGCATAGACAGTAGGTAGAAAATAGACAGGGGCAGGGCAGGAATAGTATGGGAAATGTAGAAGCTAAAGAACTTGTGACACATGGACATAAACGAAAGGGGGGGGAATGGTGGGGGAGGGGTGTGCAGAGTGGAGGGAAATGAAGGGGGGATAGGACAACTGTAATGGCATAATCAATAAAATATATTTTTTAAAGTTTCCATAATAAGTTCAATGAACACATTAATAACAATAACATTTTTACTTGAAAGATGAAGCCAAAGTCAAAAATATGATGTTGTGCTCTGCAAATTAACTCAGTTTAAACTGGATCCAAAATCAACTTAATTTTTTAAAATGTTCTAAATGGTTTTGTTCACATTTTTAAAAAGGCTGAGGTGACATCAAGAACTTACTTTCTGCATCATCTAATTTTAAAATGACCACAAATTTTGAGTCACTGGAAAGCATTAGGGCAAGCCAAGAGAAAGACGGGAATTGCATGAAGGACCACACTGACTCAATGCGGTGTCCTTTCAGAGAGCCCACTGTTTAGGGAAGGGACTGATGGCTGTGTTACTGCTGGGCAGGGAGCTGCAAGTGGAGGGGATTTTGAACTTGCCTGATAAAGAAACTTCTAGGGCTTACGTTTCTTATGATACAATTTCTGCTTTCTCTTCCCTGACTAAGGGCCACTTGCTTGGGTTATGCCTGGGGAGGGTAAAAACATTCCAGGTAGAATCATGGCATAATTTTCTGGCTAAAACACTGGATGAAAGGAGAAGAGTCTGAAATGGCTACTTCCCTGTCCTGGGTAAACTGCAGCGGGTCTGCCAGCGCTCTGTGTGGTGGATCACCCTGCCATTCAGGTACCATAGCCCTTAGTGACAGAGCTGAGTTAAAAAACAAACAAACAAATAGCACCAGAAAGAACAAGTGGGCATCTCCCAAGTGTCCGACTGAAGGAATTCTCCTCCTCTTAAATATAACCCATGAGTCAATTTTCTAATGCCAAAAGGAAGTACATATCCCCCATGCCTTGCATACCGACCTGTCTGTCCTTGAACCATTTCTTAGATCAGCTGTGCCCTTCACACACACAGAGAAAGACATGCATACACACGCACCCCCACACATCCTTCAGAAGCTGCATCTGGGTTGGGATTTCAGCTTAACAAATACTGTGTGGGAACTCTGAAACAGAAGCTCCCAAGTTGAGAGAATGGAGTCAGCTTCTTGGAGAACAGCCCCATTCATTCTGAGCCAAATCTGCTGGAACAGTTTTTTGTGCACAAGTGCCATCGAGTGTTTATGAGAATCTGGAGAGCAGCAATGAAAACAGCATTGAGCCCAGTGAGCAAAACCCTTTGAATTTCCATGGTGATTCAGTTTCACCAGCGGCTGGACCACCCAGGAGCCATGGGACGCATGGAGTTTCAAGATCTGCCGACTTTCTCAGCAGTTTTCCCTTTGAAGCTTTAAGCTCTTTAGTCAGCACAATGTCAAACTGATCAGCACACGTGAAAATTTTCCCAGTCTGGCATTTTGAGATACAGTGAAAGTTCAAAGGGTAATTACTTATGAAAGCTGGTCAATTCAGACTGAACTGTGACTGAGGGCATAGAAGTGGCACTTGATCTTATAGCATTCTGTAATCCTAAAGCTGGTCACCACATCAGCCTTCATGCGTGGTTTCTGGGACCATTTTGTATGTTACAGAACTTTCTTAAGGCAGAGAAATTTGTGCTTATAAAATACACTATACCCATCCGCTCACACCTACCCAGATGCAATATTCCCGTCTTGTAAACTTAATCTGGTGTTTACACGGATTATTTCTAGGAAAGTCAAGCCTCAAGAAAGAGCCAACTGGCTCAGAAGGAAAGTACGGATACCATTAACCATGCAACTCAGCTTGTAGAGCAAGCCCACGACATGAGGGATAAAATCCAAGGTAAATATATCCTCTTCTGGTTCAGCTTAATGTCAAGGAATCATTCCTGTTATTAACAACAATAAAAAAAAATACCTACTGTTAGTGCTTACGATTGTGCCAAGAACTGTTGTTAGGGTGTTACAGGTTGGAACTCATATAAGGTCTGCCTTTCAACTTTGTTTATCTGGCATTTCTGAATACTCAACCTTGCTTACAATCTGTAAATTTTTAAGAATAAATGTACAGAATCATTCACTTTCCAGGCCTTTTGCAGGAGTGGAATGCCAAAATGTCTTTTTGGCAGAGGAAATTGTATGCTCTGGCGTCTCTAAAATGCAACAGTTGAATAGGATTCATATTTTTCCTGAATATTTGTAGCAAAAACACTGCCTTACGATGGCAGTAAACTGTCTGCCAACCCTGGTAGTCCTGACCTGTCTCCGATGCTCTTTCCCGAGAACCAGGCAGGCAACCTGCTCTCATCCTCAGTCCAGAAGAAAAGCGAAGCTGGGGGTTGGGGGGCGGGGAAGCTTTGTGGTAGATTTTATGTTCTGTCTTGAGGGTTCACTTATTTGTGCTCTAATCTCTGGTGAGTACAGGTTGCATTTTAAAGATTATTTTAATAACACATTGAAAACCAGGCTTCATTTACAAACAGAAAACAGGCAATTTTGTTTGTTCTAAGACACAGAGAGATTTCTTGGGTTATATTCAGTTAAAAAGCAGTATGTATGTCTACTGTGGTTTTCACTATCCTAGATATTAAGAGCTAGGCAGCAACATCAAGTGCATCTCAGAGCACAATGGCAGTAAAGGGGCCCACAGTGGGAGAGCCGTATCTTTGTACTGAGGTACGGGGGGCATACTCCAACAAAATGGATATATCAAGCCAAAATTAATCATTTGCTCTATTTCTTTTGGTGCCTATAATGCACAATAAAAACAAATGGCACATATTTGAAACACTTTCTACTCCCCTCATCATTATCGCATGCTTTTGCATCTACCTATAAAAGATTCTTTTCCTGTGACATTTAAAGTTGGTATTGATTTGTTCTAAAAGTAAGATTGAACCTGGATTAGCTGATCTCATCTAATTAAGAAATAAATGTCCCTCTAGGCAGCACATAAAGCCAGCATCCTACTAAGCCATTCAGAAAAAATTCACCTTTGCTTTTGTAACTCAAATTTTTATTAGAAAGTATTTTATTAGGAAAGTTTCCATGCCCTCTATTTGACCCTTTAAGCCAGTGATTTTCAAACATTTTTGTCTCATAGGACACATAAACTAATTACTAAAATTCTGCAGCCCACCAAAAAAAACCGTCTTGCCAATCTGACCAAAAAACGGATATAATTTTGATTCGTTCACACCAAATGACTATTGTTGTGTTGGCTGTTGTCATCTTTTTATTTGGTGATCTAAGGGGAAAGAGGTCAATGTCCCTGACTGAATAGTGTGGTATTGCACGTTATAAAAATTTTGTAGCACATTGATTGAAAATCACTGCTTTAAGCATAAGAAAAGATTTTAAAAACTATGAAAGAATGTAAACAGGAAACAATAATTTTCATCGGTTTTTACCTTTTTGTAATAATATATGAACAGTCTCCAAAGACCAAAGGCAAAAATGCTATTGTCTACATTTCCTGTTTCTGACTCCACCAGAAGCAGCTAAATAAAACAGACAAAAATTGTAAATATAACGTTTTTATCAAAACCAAAGAATTTAGCCTTGCAAGTGCTAGTTCAAAGGGGGAAAAAAAATCTATGTTTACTTTATTTCAGGATTTAGTGTTTTAGAATTTCTTGAAAAGTGAACGTTTAATCACTTCACAATATTTTTAGCATATCTCGGAGTCCCTATATCTCAGTAATATTTTTAGCATTAAATTCTTTTTCCTCACTTGTCTCCCTTCCTTCCCAGTTCAGGAATGTTGCCCAACACCAAGGCAACATTGGTTGTCAATGACATTGATGACACTGTGTCATTCCTACTCCCAACTCTCTCTCAAGTGACTCCTGGTGACCTTCAAGCTATTAACCATTTAAAATACAAGCCTTTACTTGGTATGGTTTATGTGAATGCAGCATTTGTCTGGCCAACCACATAGATCATAATAAACCACAGACATACAATTCCGTTTATGCCAGGAAGATAAAATGCTTCCTGGGAAGACAAGGTGGAAATTACGTAACTTTCATCTGATCGTATGTAACGGAAACAGGGAGTCCGAGAGCTCCTCAGCTCTGCTAGTATTTAGACCATTTATCCACACCCTCTGAACCGCAGCGGTCCTTCCAATTCTAAAAGTCTCTATCCTACTTTCAGGTGTAGAGTGAAAATAATCCACAATCAAAAATAGCACAGTCTTGACAGTCACACTACAGAAGGCAAATAGCAATTGCAAGGGGAAAAATTGCATATCAGAAAAAATTCATAAGCCTTTATATTATATCCAGTCTGTAAAATGAAATGAAAGGCTCACTTGAACAACTATAGTATACTCTCATTTTGACGTAAAGCCTTGCTAAATCCTTGGGTAAAGTGTAATTAATATGTCCAATGCATCCTACATATGACAGGAGATACCTCAGAACATTTTCTCCATGTTTTATGTGACTTAAATGTTTATGTTTTTTAATCATTGTGGAAACCAGGTACAGCTGAAATCAGAGCAGGCTTTGTATTAATCCCTTCCCCATTCTCAAGACACTAAATGGAAAGCAAAGACAAATGATTTCCTTAGGTTTTACTTCTCCCTGGAATAGATGTTGAACTCAGATGCTGGGTTCAGTATTTGCAGTATGAACATTGGTATGCTGTCTTTCAGTGAGTCTCTCTTTCCATGTGAGGACCAGCCCTGCCCTTTGCCCTCACTTGCCCACGTTTTCAATGTAAAAATGCCTAGTCATCTCTCCCTGCTGTCTTCATCATGTCCTTCCTTTCAGAGATCAACAACAAGATGCTCTATTATGGGGAGGAGCAGGAGCTTAGCCCTGAAGAAATCTCTGAGAAGCTGGTGTTGGCCCAGAAAATGCTGGAGGAGATTAGAAGCCGTCAACCATTCTTCACTCAGAGGGAGCTTGTGGATGAGGAGGCAGACGAAGCTTATGAATGTAGGTGCATTCAACTCCTAGGGCCTAGCACATCTCTGCTTTTTTTGTGAGTCCAGGAAAGGACACCGAGATACAGGGCAACATTTGGTCAAAGCAACCAATTCCCAATATTCAGAGCTATTTCGAACTTACCCATGGCCTCAGGGAATCATTCAGCACAACTTGACTAAATGACCACAGTTTTCAGATCCAGGCCCAACCTTGAGCTTTTGAGAAACAGCTGAAGTTCCACAAGGAATCTATTGAACTTTTTACTCCTGAGAAGAAGAAATCAGGGCTTAGCAGTTGCTGAAAATGTATAAAACAGGGGAAGGAAGGCTAATGGGAACCAATTCTCTGAACTACAGCAAGTAAAATTATGTTGAGGAGCCAATAAATCTACAGGTTCAGCAACATTCATGTTCTGAAGTCCATGAGTGACTTTTAATGAGTTTTAACCTCAATGGGAATTTAACATTTCTTTTAATGATGCCTGTAGACATCAAATCACAATAGTATTAGTGAACTTCTGAGTTGGTCCCTACATCAGTTATCAATTAATCAATTACTGTCTAACAATACACCCAAACATATCCATTTAAAACAGTAACCATTTACTTGCTCATGATTTCACGGGTTGGCAACTTGAGCGAGACACAGCCTGAACAGCTCATCTCTGCCCTCCATGGCATGGTTGAGTTCACTAATGTGTCAGGGGCCTTAGCTGAGATGGCTGGGCCTCTCCCTCCACAGCTAAACCTCAAGGAGGCTAGGTGGCTGCCTTCCAGGATGGCAAGAATGGAAAGTGTGAGGTCTCTTGAGGCCTATCCTTGGAACCCAACAGTGACATATTCATTCTGTTGGTCATGACAACTTAGATTCAAGGGCTAAGGATATAGACTCTTGATGGAAACAATTTCAAAGCATTTGTGTCCATTTTAATCTACACAACTAACAAAAGAAGCCACTGGTTTGCATATCATATTTTAACTGTTCCTGTTATCTCAAAACATTAAATTCATTGATAATTCAAAATTATAGCAGTTAGTAATCCCACCCCTAAATCTCATTATTTTATGCATTAATAGGGAAATATATTACCAATTTGTTTTTTAATATATTGGTCTCCTTTTTAATTCTATGTATTTTATTTTATGCATTAAAAAACATTACAAAAGGGGGTCTAAGGGACTTACTAGATTATAGCTGCACAGAAAGGATTAGTAACACCTGTACTAAAGCATTTCCCTGCAATTGTCACAATCAATTTCTGCTAATAATGTGAACACTCTAGAAGAGGAATGTTCTTGGCATAAAGGGATATTATGATAGCCCTTTAGCAAACGAACAAAGTCATAGTAAAGCCAAAGTAGAATCTCAGGTCCCACTTCTGAGCCCAGGATGAAGCCCTCAGTCTGGAAAGCAGATACTCCAGTCCACAGCCAGAGCCTTCCATGCTCCTAGCCTTTTTTGGAATGTAACACAATTGTCCCTGGGAAATGGGGCCAATCACATCTCCCACTCAGCCACTTTCCGCCTAGTGACAGCGTCTTCAACCACTTTCTTTTCTCAGCCATGAATTTGTGTCTCTCATGGTGAGGAAGGAAAATATAAAACATGAACAAGACAGACTGATATTCCCTGGAGGGAAAAAAATTAAGGTGCCTAGTCAATGCATGTAACTTTGATCAGAGAACTAAAGCATACACAAAGTTTAAAAATATACCATTGCCATTTCCTCTTCTTTTCACCCAAAATAATGATTTAGGTTTGACCCAAAGGAACTAACTAAAAACAGTTATCTGGAGAAAATACAGAAAATGAATGGTGGTAAACCTCACTTGTCAGTAACAGACAAAATAATTTTGGTTATTTTAATAGTAACATAATATATCTAAATCCCCTTTATATGGTAAAATCAGGAGTAATCTGGGCAATAATCAACATAGTATAATGCCATGGTTTCCACATAACACATAATCTCAATAGGAAAGCTAACTTTCGTCTGGCTACCCTCCAGGAGCTCTCAAACCCTATGAAATAGTATTTTTCTTTTTACTTCAAATATAAAACGTGGGCTTATTTTGTGAACAACACCATCGATCTCTATCGCTAAAGGAGGTGTAGCCTGACAAGTTTGTATCTCTAAATGCTGACGGAAGGGGAGGAGACAGCAGAATCGCAGACTGAGTTTCCGTGTCATTTTTCTTCCCAGTGTTAAGCCAGGCTGAGAGTTGGCAGCGACTGTACAATGATACCCGATCTCTGTTTCCTGTGGTCCTGGAGCAGCTGGACGACTACAACGCTAAGTTGTCAGACCTCCAGGAATCACTTCACCAGGCCGTTGTCCATATCAGGGACGCGGAAGACATGAACAGAGCCACGGCATCCAGGCAGCGGGACCACGAGGTACAGTGGACACTAGAACTGTCAGTGAACTTCAGGCATAAGCAACACCACACAAGGTTGTGCCAAAAGGGTGCAGTCGGTACACAATACATTTAAATGTGCCAGTATTTAAATTCACATCTTTAAAACATTTGTACATTTTTGCCACTATAATTTGTTCATGTAAATGTGTACATTTAAAATCAAGTTGAAACAATGAAAATTGTTTAGACTTTTCATTGATAAGAATGTAATCATTCTCGGTGCTTGGGTCCTCCTGTATGAATGTGTTGCTCTTGCAAGTGAGTATGTATTGCACTGTTCTTGTGCCTAACTTTTTTATTTTTATACTGACAGCACTAGAACACCAAAACAACCCAGAACCATGTTCCTGTGAGGATATGTGAAATTTTTAGAAAGGCATGATAAATAAATCTCACAGCCTGGCTGGTCAGCAGCTGCAGACATAGGGAGTTTAATTCGAGCCAAGGTCATGCAAATACAAAGAAGTGAGGAAAATCCCAGATGTGTCCATAGCCTGCAAAGGCAGTTAGCCCTATGGGGCCAGGATTTGTACATGCACACACATCCAGGGCTAAGAACAGCTGTGGTCACTTGTGTGCTCCAAGCAATGCATGCACTCATACCACCCACGAGCGGAGTCCTCTGATAGAAGGACATGTGCATATGTCGACATACTTATGAATGCTAGAATGAAAAAGTAGGAAACTATGAGCAAATTCATTAATTCACTTATGTTTACTTTTATGGTTTACTTTTTTAAAACAAAATTGATTTAAATTAGGCTCCCTACCTGATTTTCAGTCATCATGGCCTCTTGGTAAGTCCTTGTAAAATGTCCTAAATAAAAGTAAATTACATTTATCACCACCATTTTCTAATAGCAGCAACCCCATAGCCAATATTTTTTAGAATAATAATGGTCAGGATAGCATTCTCTGTTAAGCAAATGCATGATTACCTTATGCAACAAAATTATAAGTGTAACACAAGATAATTTCTTCAAATAGATTTCAAAAGAGTTACTGAGACTCATCCTTATCGTTGAATTTCCCTTCTTTCTCACCTCCCACATCTAGTCAACCACAGGATCCTGCCAATTTTACCATCGGGTTATTTTTAGTTCTGTTTTCTCTTTCTCTGTCTTCTCTAGCGTGGGCCTTCGTTTCTCGACCAGAAGAGCCTCGTCCTCTCTGTCCTGCACTTCTGCTCCCTTCCAAGCCGTGCTCCCATCCTGCCTGAGTGGGAGGCTCCTCCCCTAAAGTGCTGACCGTTGTTGCCCTTTGCCCTTACTAAAAGACTTCATTTTCGCCTTACAGCCTATACAATGCCTTTAACACTACAGCTTTCAACCATTTAGTGCAGAGATTTTTAACCTTTGGCATCTCATGACACACATAAACTAACTGCTAAATTTCTGTGGCATGCCAAGGAACATACTGTTTGTCACCAATCTGACAAAATAGGCATAATTTTGATTCACTCATACCTAACGATTATTTTTGTGTTAGCTGTTGTCATTTTTTTAAATTTGGCAATCTAAAGAAAAAGAGGTCAGTGCCCCTGACTATTTTAGTCAGGTATTACATGTTTTAAAAATTCTTGCAGTGCACTGGTTGAAAATCGCTGATTTAATGATTCATAAAACAAGTTTTGAGTGCTCGTAACCAGCATTTTTTAAGAAAAAAATTTGTATTTTAGTTAGGTATGATTACTGGATTGCAACCTATTGTAAAATACATTGTTTTACTGTGAGTCATGGTTAAAAAAAATTCAAAAGATACGTCTTAGAGGATAGTCTATGCTGTTTCACATGGCACACAGGAGTCTCTCCGAGGGGCCCTTGCCAGCCACAGCCCTACCTCTTGCCATCTGCCTGCTTCACACGTTCAGTTCAGGCACTATCACTCTACCGATAATCCCATATGCCTGAAAAGCAGACTTCTTTTCTCCTTTACCTAGATACCCCCAGGTATCACCTCCCCCAGGAGGCCTGCCCCACTCTTCTGAATTAGCAGGAGCGCCAATGCAGCAATCCTATAGGATGCCTTGTGCTCATCTCTTTCTGTAGCGTGACCAATCTCTTAATGGATCTGTCTCCCCCACTCAACTTAAGTATTTTAACTTCATCAATCATAATAACCCCCAAATTCTAGTCTTTATACAAAACCAAATAAAATCACTTTGATTGGTGCCAACAGAAAATGCACAACTAACAATTACATATTTATTTCATTTCCTACTCCCAATACCAAAGGGTAGCAGCATGATAAATATCTTCTTCAGACAAATGTAATATTCTGTATTTCAAAAATAGGTTAAATACTCTTGACAAAGCACCATTTACAGATTCTCATAAGCTTAAACTCTGCCTTCCCAGGACTGTTTCTATTTTTTTTTCAAGGACCAGGATTTTTTTGAAATGAATATTGAAGCATGCAGAATAATGTTATGTCATTTTCATAATTATTTTTTCTAAAACTTTCTTTTGTTCAAGTTGGCCATCTTCCTGTGGGAATATCTTTACTTGTTTCAAAGTTAATTCTACTCATTCTAATGTTTTGGGGGAGACCCTTCAACTTGAAGCACATTGTTTTCTAGCTACTACAAATCAACTTATCCCGCAGGGCCATAAGCACATGGCTTTGAAGTTTGACTGTGACCTCGGGGTGTTAGTAGTTGTTCCCTTAAGGTGACCCAGAGGCAAGGGCTTCTAGGTGAGGTTATAGCTCAGACTCTGTAAAAAGAAAAATGTTCTGAGAGATCTAAGTAAATATTTGATGCAGATCCCAGTTTGTGGGAGAGAAAAATCCTCGGCCTCCTCCATGACAGGCCTTTATTTCTTTTCCTGGGCACATTACATGATGGTCCTCATTAACTATGCACAGGTTTGCTTTAGGTGGTCACCTTTTACAGAAAACCAAGTAGGTGATGCCACTAATCACATCATAGAAGAAGGATATCTGCAAATGAAAAGGGAAAAGTGATTGAACCAGTTACACTCATCCTTGGAACGTTTAGCATGAATTTTAGTAAGTTACTTTGCAGTAAATGTTTTCTGCCTCAATTCAGGGTGAGAGAGTTTTTAGCAAAAGCAAGTCTCATAGCAGTCTGGGTACAATGCAGGCCTGATTTCCCACAGGAGAACCTATCTGTGGGCGTGGGTCCTGTGCATCTCATCTCTGAGTGGGAGCTGGGCCCACACCACACAGAACGGTCTCCTACAAACATCAGCCTTTTTATCCTCCTTTCCTTATATACTTTAAAATATTGCTTTTGTGCACAGCTATATAACTACTTCTCCTTGTAGGGATAAGAATAATTAAGCCCAGGTAGTAACACTGTATTGAGCTTGATGGATACTGAGATTTTCAATGTTCTTGCATTATGAGGATGTTCAAATGGGATTCTTTTCTGTCCCTAGAACTTCGTCTTCCCCTGTAGCAACACATTCAGAGAAGATGGATTCCATCTTCGCTTCCACTAAATCAGGAAATACCTCAAGCAGTCCGAAAAACATTAAGATGAACTTAGAAGGTTTTAATGTACATCCTGCTATAACTGGGCTTCTCTCATTATTCCTAGGATATCCTAGATTATACCATATCTTACATATTTCAACCCCAACTCAAATTATTATATCTAAAGTAACTTAAAGTCATTTTTTACTCAGATTGTAAAACGAGTCTTTTACTTTTTCCTCTTAAAGTTTCATTCTGTGTCGCTCTCAAACACTGAACTGATTTGAAACTCCATCATATTTCTTCACAATAACAACATCCAGTAGTGAAGGTGGAAATTAAAGCATTCATCAAGAAATATATTAGCAATTTGGGCAATTTCCCTTCTCAAAAATTCTGAGCATTTAACATAATGAGCTCAGAGTGGGAGAAAGGAAGATCACAGTTTTGTGCTTTGATAATAAAGGCCATTTTAAATTTTATAAAGGACATTATGATAGTTTTGTCTATGCTTTATTCCTATGCAAATTAGCTATTTGTGCCCCAAGTTAGCACATGATAAACACTTTTTGAATTCATTGATTTTCCTGTTATTGCAAGTGGAGAGCTTACGTTCAATCCTGTATTCATAATTTCACTTTATATTTATGAAGAGTCAAGTGTTAACTCTGAAATAATGACGTTTTAAGTAATAATCACAACCACATGTTTCAAAGCTCCAGGGTGCTTCCTTTTGTTCTCACCATGTTGTAAATGAGAAAACTGAGCATTCAGAAGGTAGAATTCCCCAAAGTCACATGGCAGTTAGGTAGGTGGTAGGGCTGAGATTGGAACCCTGTCTATCTGGGTACAAAGACAATGAGTTGACACTGACCACTCTGCCTGATGGTTTCTCTAAAGCCGCCTTCTCTTCCTCTCTCCTTTGCTCTTCCTTCCTGCAGAAACAACATGACAAAGTGAGGGAACACATGGATGGGGTCAACGCTTCCCTAAAGACGTCATCGGACTCTCTGATAATCCCTCGTCTGACTCTTGCAGAACTTGACGACATAATAAAGGTAAGAATGCGTGTGCCCTGTTCAGGTTTGTACTGATAGCAGATTAGAACAGCAGCTCCATGTCACAGAACAATTAAATCCAATTCAAATATATCAAGTTAGCTGGCATTATAAAAATAAGATCAAGTGACTGAGTTTTTCAGTTTCATTGACTGTGGCCACTCCCCATATATGGCTACCTAAATTTAAATTTAAGTAATTTAAATTAAAATTTTAATTCCTCAATCACATTAGCCATAGTTCATGTGCTCAAAAGTGCCACATGAGGCAAGTGGCTACTATAATGCCCACTCCAACAATTTTCTGGCCACATGGATACATCCTCCATTTCATTTATACTTTTCTCGTATCATCTCTGTATCATCTCTTCCCTCTGAGTAGCTAAAGTTATCAATATAATCATTCTATAATCACAGATATTATCATAGAAAGTTCTGTTAGAAGTGCAATTCAGGAATATCCTAACTCTACTCATAAGTTGTCTGTGTAGTAAAGCTGGTAGTCAAAAAATAAAAGTCACACTTTTTAAAGTAGAAAATTTCCAATAAAATGCAGTGAAACAGGCCATCACTGAATTACTCTTAGCTCATTTTTACTACTTTTGAAAGGATATCATTTTAAAGTTATCTGATCAGCCCTAACTGGTAATGGCTCAGTTTTTTGGAGATTCTCCCATAAACTGGAAACTCATGGGTTTGATTTCTGATCAGGACACATGCCTAGGTTGTAGGTTCAGGCCCTGGTCAGGCCAGGTCAGAGCGCATACGAGAAGCAACCCATTGATGTTTCTCTCACACTGATGTTTTTTAATCTCTCTCTCCCTCCTTTCCCCTCTCTCTAAAATTAATAAATATGTTCTTGGGTAAGGATTTAAAAAAGTTATCTGATCGCCATCTCATTATATTTCAGCACCGAGCTCCCTGTCTTCCTCTCCATCCCTACTCCCATTACTCTCATTACAGAGATCAAAATCCAGAGGGATGAGCCCACCAGCTCTCAGACCTCTAGCTCCTTGAAGTCCTGTCCAACAAGCTTTTCCACCCATCCACCTCTGTTATGCCAGTTATGGCCATACCCAAGTCTTGTCATCAATAACAGTGCCTCTTCCCAAATCCCAGTTTCAAGCACTTCCTTCCCATAACACCATCTCATCTCACTCACTCGAGAATGCCCACTCCAACAATTCTCTGGCCACATGGAGACCTCCTCCACTTCATTTATCCTTCTCTCATATCGGCTCTCCCCTCTGAGCAGCTCAAGTTATCACTATAATCGTTCTTTGTAAACACCCTTAACTTCCACACTATTCCCCTACTGAACTCACCTGGGAATTCTAACCCTGTATCCCCAATAAACACAAGCACCCCCAGCATCGTGGCCACACCCAGTGCTGCCAGCATAACTGGGGGGAAACCAACCTCCTGTTCTATCTGTCTGGCTGATGGATTTGCTTCATGCTTCACTAAAAAACTAAGAACAAAAAAAACCTCTTCTCATATTTCTTCCCCAAATCTACCAGCTCACCTGCATCTGTATCAAGATTTCTACCTTCCTTCTTGTAACAAGTAATAAAGCACTCCTTCTTCCATCACAGTCCCATCCCTCCACCTATTTTCTAAATCCTACTCTTCCCCACCTTAAAAGCAAGGTAGCAGGGCATGGCTCCCAAAAGCATTCCCTCTCTGATTCACCCAGTTCTTACCCTTCACTGGATCATTACTGCTAACATACAGACCTGCCTAATAGTCCTTATCTTTTAAAAATTAAAAAGAAAAAAAAAGCCCTGGCTCACATTTCTTTTAATGCCTGCCTCATTACTATTCTGAGCTTCACAGCAAAGTAGCTCAAGTCATTTACAGTTGCCATTTCCACCCTCCAGCCCCACACTGTCTACTGTTCTCAACCCACACCAAATGAGAGTCCATGCCCCTCCTCCGAGGCTGCGCTTGTCCAAGGCACCAGCAACCTCAACACAGACAAAAACATGGTTCCACTTCTCTCCTCAGCGTTCTCAGCCTTGCACTGTGAACCATTCCTCCTTATTTAAAGATCATGTTCTGGGTCCTCCAATACTGCACTCAACCTGGCTCCCCTCCCACCTCATTGGCCATTTCTTCCCAGCCTCCTCTGTTGGCTTCACCGCTGTGCATCCTCTCTGTGGTAAATATTTCAGACTCTGCGGGCCATATACAACTGTTCTTCCTTATTCTTTTCTTGGTTTTTGTTTGTTGTCATTTTTTTACAATTTTTTTAAATGTAAAAACTGTTCCGGCTTTGGTCCATACAAGGCATTGGGCCAGGTTAAATGGCTCACTACTCAGTCCTGGGCCTTTCTGTCTATTCACACTCTCTTGCTAGTTAATCTCATTGAACCCTATGACTTTATAAAATAATTTTATGCATTATTCCACGATTTACACCTATGACTCAGATACCTTCACCGAATTCCAAACTCTTATATGCAAATGCTTACTTGATGTTTTCAAGTAAGAACTCTGCATGGTTTGTAGCAAAACTGCAATTTCATCTACTACTTGGATATGTAACAAGTATATCAAATGTAGATTGTCTGAATAAAATCTGCTTTTCTTTTCTAGTCTCCCCCACCTTAGTACATAGCACAACTCATTAGCTCAAATCAAAATTCTGGAGTCGTTCTTGATTTCTGCTTTCTTCTCACTCCCATTTCAGCAAGACCTGTTGGCCCTCCCTCCAAAATAAGTACTTAACCCTCTTCTCTGCTGCTACTCCTTAGTCTAAGTCTCCTCATTTCCAGTGTGATCTGCCTCCTACTAATCCATTTGCCTTCACTTCTGCCCCTCAAAACTTGTCCTCTGCAGTAGCAGAACAATTCTTTAAGTACATCATCAGATCATGTTATTTCTCCTACATAAAACCTCCAGGGACACTTAAAGTAGGAAACACCTCTTTATACCATGGCCCAGGAGACCCTGAGTGACCTGGCTCTGGCCCACCCTTCTGACTTCATGCCCCACTGTCTCCCTCACCCACTACACTTCAGACTATCACACCCCAGCTCCCCTCTATTTTCTAACACACCATAATTTTTTCCTGCCTCAGCATCTTCTTACCTGCTGTCCCCAAATTTTCCAGTGGCTAGTGTTCCGTGACCATTCAATCTAAGTGAACCTCTTACTTCTGATCACTCTCCAACACCTCTCACCTGTTGTATCTTATTCAGTAGACTTTTACTCCCTGAAATTAGCTTGTTCACTTATTTTATCACTTGTTTATTATTATCTCTCCCTTCCCAGCAGATTGTAAATTCCTTGAGAGCAGAGACTGTGTTCGAAAATAGACACTCAATCTCCTAAAGAGTACCTGGCACATAGTAGGCACAAAATAAATATTCTTTGAATGAATCAATGAGTAAAGGTAGAATGTCCATGGCAATTTTTCTGTTTCTACAGTTAAAAATATTTTTTTAAGTATTGATCCCCAGGCAACCAACCAAAAAGCTAGAGGTTTAATACTGTCTCCATAAAAAGAAATCCTCTGTGCCAGGAAGTATATTACATTCTGGGAATGCAAAGTAAATTAAACATAGTTTCTGTCTCCCAAGATTGTGTAATCTGGTGAGTGCAATATTCAAATGAAAGGATTACTGTAATAAAGTACGTAGACTTAAAAACTGTGTGACCGCACTGAACTCACCCCGGAGAAGTTAGGGGTAGCTTCATAAGGGAAGTGATATTTGAGATGAATGTGGAAGGATGAGTAGAACTTTTCCAGATGATGATACAGAAAACAAGGGAACAGTATTCTGCAGACAGAGAAAATAGGATGTACAAAGACACAGGGGCCTATGTAGTATGGTGAAGAGTGATGAGAAATGAAATTGGTGAGAGAGAAGGGCATCAGCTAATGAGATGTGCTAAGGAATTGAATTTGTACCTGCAAAACCATGGCTGATTTTGAGAAGGGAAATAACATAATCAGATTACCCAATAGAAAGATCAGCATTCCTACAGGATGGGAGGGAATGAATTCGAAGACTGAAAGACTGAGCTCAGAGAAAGGAGTTAGATTTCTTGGGAAGGAAAGGGCTGAGTCAAACCCTGAGGAATACCAGCTGTCAAGTTCTCCTTCCTGACCAGAGAAATAGAAGACCGACTGGGAGAAAACAGCGACACAAATGCTAGTTTAGTTTAGTTTTCAGATCAGAGATAGCAGAGCACGTCTGAATGCTAGGAAGCAATGTGTAGAGAACAAGAAATTGAAGATGCAAGAGACATAGATAAATATTGATATCTACTTATAAAATTGTAGGCACATGTTGACCTGGCCTGAAATTTACTGAACTTTATAATGGGAAATAATGGAGATTATCTTTTGATGCTCCCTGGGGAAAATGTTTTTAAGTTTTTCTAAATTAAATTCATTTTTAAAAATATTTAGAATGCCTCGGGGATTTATGCTGAAATAGATGGAGCCAGAGATGAACTACAGGGAAAGCTGTTCAACCTAAGTAATCTCAGTCCCGATTTAGTCCAAGAAGCTGTTGACCATGCCCACAACCTTCATCAAGAGGCTGATGAACTGAGCAGGTAATATCCTAGTTTTAGAAATGCAGATATCTCCATAGGCTGATTAACTTATTTTCATTCAATTCCATATACCAGAGTTACTGGGGTATAATGTTAGCAGGTTGGTTTAAAGATTGGGTTTGTTTGTTTATTTGTTTATTGATGGTTAGTCTGAGAACCAATAATTTTTTTATTATAATTGCTTTGAGGAGACAGTTTTTCAATTTAAAAAAGTCTGTCGGATCACAGACCTGTGTTTGGGGTAAAGGGGGTTCTGTTTTACAGTTATTAATAGAATGACCTAATGCATTCACTTAGGGCCATAACTGTTGCAAAAAAATATTATCAAGTAGATCCCTTTACAAGGTCTAAGTCTATCATCATCCTGTATTTATTTCATAGGCATTATTAGTTTTCCCCACTTAAGTGCCTTAAAGTAAAGCTGATTAGAAGTTGGCAATACAACTGACTTCTGGTAAATACTCTTAACATACCACAGTTCCCAACAGGATCCATTTCATCTTGACACCTATTAAGAGAAAAATCAATGGACAATTTTCCTCATCGAATTTAGAACAGAGTCATACACCCCTTGGGCAGTCAGTTAGTGTTTATTGAAATGTGCTGACAAATTGGAATTGAATTCATGACCCTGAAATAATAGATAAATAATGAGATAATTATAGAGAAAGGACTGCAAATCTGGCAATTAGGAGCAAGAATCAGTAAAGGTCATGAACAAAATAAGAACCAATAGCAACTTCTGTTCAAAACTTAAATCATTTAAATCATCTTTTTATTCCTGATTATCAAAAATTTCAAATATCTTTCCAAGTCTCCTGAGAATTGAGAGACAGAGAGAGAGAAGTTACATAAAGTCTTGATGTGTGAGATGGCATTATATCCAGCTCTGTGTCATGCTCCCAGAAAATGTGCTTTTGATGAACCCAATAAAATGGAACTTGGATGAAATACTGCTTTAGATAATATGCTATACTGGTAGGATATGATTTTTGAGACCCATCCTGTGATACTCTTCAACATTCTTTTGTCATTGTATCAACCAGCCTACTGATGGGGACCCCCACACTCACCTCCCAGTGCCACTCTGCAGCAAGCAGTGTTCTAGCATGACTCTAATTTACAACTGCTTTCCATGAAATGTGTTCAGGAGCATAGGTCACCCTGAGGTCCCTTTTATGTTTAGGATATTTCTGACTAAAGATACGCAGGGCACCATCCAAATTTATAGACATATTTCCTTCAAAATGTGAATATTACATACCCAATGATTTTCCTACTGTGCTTCAAAAACATAAACATAATTCATCAGGAAGCTTCCATTTCAAAAGCACATTTTATTTTGTATATTGATATAGTACCTGTTTTGTGTCTATCTATAAAAGTAAGTAATTAGGCTTTGTTTCAAGGTCCTTGGTACATCTTCTTACCACTCTAGCTTACAAAATTTTAAAATATTAATAAATAGTTGTAGCATGTTATTTCTTTTATCCCTTTATTATAAAACTTCCTTGGTTTTTATTTTCTAAGCCATTTCTAAGAACAAGGGGTTGCAGGGAGGAAGAAGCAGCAAGATCAGAATTACCTCTACAAAGCAGGGCTGCCCTGTGATTTTCATGGGCCCCGGATACTTTTGGCTCTGTGGGCTCTTTCCCTCATAATAAGTTAAAAATTATATATCATGACTGCAATAAAATAAAAACAAAACAGTATGGAGTTTCATCAGAAAACTAAAGATGGAACCACCTTTTGACCTAGCAATTCCACTGCTGGAATTATACCCTAAGGATCCTGAAACACCAATTCAAAAAAACCTGTGCACCCTAATGTGCATAGCAGCACAATTTACAATAACCAAGTGTTGGAAGCAACCTAAGTGCCCATCAGTAAATGAATGGATCAAAAAACTGTGGTACATTTACACAATGAAATACTACTCAGCAGAAAGAAAGAAGGAGCTCCTACCCTTCACAATAGCATGGATGGAACTGGAGAGCATTATGTTAGGTGAAACAAGCCAGGTGGTGAAAGACAAAGACCATATGATCTCACATGTAAGTGGAGATCATCAAAACAAACAAGCAAACAAAATAGAACCAGAGACACTGAAATAAAGAACAAACTGACAGTAACCAGAAGGGAAGAGGGAGGAAATAAGGTGGGGAGGGGAAGGGTCATCAAGGAACATGTGTGTATAAAGGACACACAGACAAAACCAAAGACGGCCAGGATCAAGGGTGGGAGGCAGGGGTGGGTGGGGTGAAAATGGAGACAACTGTACTTGAACAACATTAAAAAACATAAAAATAAGTTAAATTTAAAAATAAAAACAAATGTAATCATTATACTCGTTTTTTCTTCTGCTAAAAAAAAATAAGATGAAAACATTTCTGTAGGCCCCTACTATGCCTCACGGATAGACCAGCCCTACATCAGAGGAACCAGAATAATAATGGCCTTGAACAATGAAAGAGGAGGAAATTGCCAAGGATACACAGAGTCAGTCAGAGCCTTAGAGAGCATACAAGAACTAAAAGTGGATGCAGTAGACTGAGAACCCAGTCACTGAGCTCAGCAGGTCCCTAAGGGAAATAGGGTGTTTCAAGAGATGAACCAACCTGGGATCTGGTATCTTAATACCAGTCACAGAGAATCTTTTGGAAGTTACTGCTGAGTTAAGGGATGTTACTTGTCAATGTTTGAAACTGAGAAAAAATTGTGAATCTAGTAGATTTAAAACTGAATCAAATTGAGACAAATAACAGCATGAGCCACAGAAAGAGAGGTGGCATTTATGTTATAAAGGAAAAAAAGTATTTGTCAATAAAATGAATTATTGACTAGTTTGAAATTATAATTCAGGAAATACCTTGCTATAAAAATAAATCCTGATGTTTACCAAATGCCAGGCATGGCACCAATCATCTCACATGTTTTACCCCTGTTGTACCTTGTATCAGTCCTCTGAGTCATATACTGTCATCAGCACCTCTATGAGTGTCCAGTGCATTATGGGTACTCAATATATGTTAAATGAACATTACAGAAGCCAAAAAGGCAAAAGCAGAGAACATGGTATATAGGGCAGCAGTGGGGGAGAGTATGAATAGAGCTGTGTGCTTCAAGGAGGCAGCTGGGCCTCAGGAGTGAGAAACCTTATCAACGTGTGCCTTGGGCAAGCAATGCACCCTGTTGCAGAGCCTTACTTGCTTCTGTAAAAGGTCACAGATGTGTTAAGGGCACATATATGCTTCATGCATGTTATTCCCCTTCTTAAGGAAAAATATGATCTGTAATATAAGGAAAATAGGGCCATATTAGAAAGGAGGAAGATAAGGTTGAATCAATAATGAAACCAGCTGACACCTAACATCGTGCTGAGGTTGTGCACTGCCTCTGAGACCCTTGGTTTCTTCTGTGGCAAGGGAAATAGCTGTGCTGATCTGGGTAAGTTGATGGGGGTGACTCTGCCTGACCGCCACCACACATAAACTCTGGCTTGAAGAGGTGTAGAGGGTTGTTTTTAAGTCATTTCCTTTTCTTGTGGCTACTGCCAGCCAGGCAGCCACCGTGGAGCCAAAACGGAGTGGTTTTGGAGTCACCAGAGGCAGACGAATGCAAAGGAGATGTGCCCCTAGGAAAGGAGCTTATGAAAACCTTCTGAAGCCAGATGACTGTGAATAACAGGAAGCGCCCAGGGTCCTGGCAGTGTCCAGTCAAGCCCCACAAATGGCCCTGTTTCCCAAGGAGATAAAATAGAAAAATAATGACAAGTTTGTTCATTAACAGGAATTTACACAGTTCAGATATGAACGGGCTGGTTCAGAAGGCTTTGGATGCTTCAAATGTCTATGAAAATATTGCCAATTATATTAGTGAAGCCAACAATACAGCAGAATTGGCTTTGAACGTCACTGACCAAATTTATGATGTGAGTGTTCTGTTATTTTAAAGTTAATTTATATGTTGTCTTTCCCAGCTATGACTTTTCTGTTTCCTAATGTCATCTGTTGAGCTTCTAATGTAATACAAATGGCAGAAAGAACAGAACTAAAAAAATCATTTTATTTATATTATGAATGTTAACATAGTGCAAGTTCTTCAAGATGTGTCCTACTCCAGAGAGCAAATGCCACTTTCTTGGCCAGTGTTTTTTTAAGCCATAGTCCCTGGATAAAACATATTTAAGACTAGTTCCTGGTGATAGAGAATACGCTTATGCATATATTCAGATTTTTTCTATTTTCAAATTTATTTCCCAAGTACAGTTGACATACAATATTATATTAGTTTTGGTGTGCAACATAGTAATTAGACAATTATGTACCTTACAAACTGATCAACCCTGTAAGTCTAATACCCACCTGGCACGATACATGATTATTATAATGTTACTGACTATATCCCTAGATTCCCTTTACATTTCCATGACTGTTTTATAACTGGCAATTTGTACTCCTTAATCCCTTTCACCTTCTGATTTTTCAACTCATAAGTTGTTTATTGATGGCTTCTACATGACAAGCACTTTTATGGGACCTCAGCCAGGGACTATTCCTGGTTCACGGAGTTTTCCTCAAAAAACATTTATCTTGAAAATGCCAAGGACATTATTGTCTTATGTTCATGTTTGACCTTGCTTTTGAGCTATGAAAATGAACCTGTATGAATTTTGCTTTGTGTTTAGCAGATAAACTGCATCATTTAAATCCTAAAATCACAAATAACTCTTCTGCGATCATTCTTACTTTTTCCATTTACTTCCTTTGTAGGCTGTGAGTGGGATTGATACGCAAATCATTTACCATAAAGATGAGAGTGAGAACCTCCTTAATCAAGCCAGACAACTGCAAACAAAGGCAGATTCCAGTAAGTACCTTCACTTTCCCAGCTTCCTTCTGATTTATAGCTGCTTCCTCCTTTCATACTGCATGTACGCATATAGTCAGATTTCAAAATTCTAAAATTAAAAAATAAATGATATTTCAACTGAATTAGACATGAATAGTTCCTGCTCAGAATCAAGGCATAATAAAGCAGAGATTAGATATTTTAAAATAAACTGTGGGTTTTTAAAAAATCCTTTCATATAGTAAAACATGTGATAGATTTTCTTTTCTGTTTTTAGATCTTCACCTGAGGATACATATTTATTGACTTTATTGATTTATTGCTTTCTTCATTTTAGAGAGAGAGGAAGGGGGAGAGAAGGGGAGAAAGAGAGAAACATTGAGGTGAGGCAGAAACATCGATCTGTTGCCCAGCAATCAAACCTGACGCACTTTAGTGCATAGGACGACACTCTAGCTAACGGAACCACCCAGGCAGGGCCATGTGGTAGATATTCTTGCTAATCAAATAGACTAACTAATATAAACTTACTATAAATACTAATTATTACAGAGATAATGCTATAAGATACACTTAATACTGAAACTATATTGCATATGTTCACCCTTTCTTGGACAGTTCAGGAGGTTCCTTAAAATTTTACCCAGGATGACCCATTAAAGTCATCACTGTGAGAGTCGGGAGGGTAGGGTACCACAGAGCCATTTGGTTATTTGCACTTTCTTGTAGTTTGTGTTCTTCAAGTTTACTGTAGTTAGGACAAGCCTAATGACCATAGAGAAAGAAGCACTTTCAAAGGCTGGGGTTTGCCTCTGCTAAAGCAAGTACCTCCAGGAGTGAGAGGAGAGGGAGAAAAAAGGGGAATAACTTTAGTCAATTTTGTATCTTGCAAGTTAGTCTTAAAAACAATAGAATTGATTAAGAATTTCACTGAACATTATTCATCTCTGAAGTAATGAGCTCATTTCTAAGTATATTCGAGCATTGACTAATGAGATTGGAAATCCATTATCTAGCTAATTTCTAACTACCACCTAAAAACAAAGGCCAAGTTTGAAACTGAAAACTTCATGGAATTTTATCAAAGCAATTAATCTCAAGTCTAATTGTGCTTTTTATTTTTTACAAAGAAATACATAGAAAATAAATGCACTTGTTTTTCATATGCAGAATATTTAACTATTTAATTACCATAAAGCCACTATTAATTTATGTTTCTGGGTAAAGAAAGGCAATAAAAAATGCTATTAAGTTTCTCAGTTCTAATTAATTATATAAGTCCAGTCTTGAACATACTCTTTAGAAAAGAATTACAGTATTAACAGTAAAGAATGTGATTAGTAGTAAAATATTTAAAAATAAATGTTGCATATGTATGTATAACTTTTGTTTCATGTGGTGTGAAGACCAGAATGAGCAAATCTTCATAATTCAATGACTTAAATAGTTTATTCTTCTTTGTAATTTGTAAGGTATTTTCTCAGCACTGTCATTATTGACCTCATGAAAGCAAGTTTTCCAATTTGGGACTATCTCTTCAAAGTTCCATATTTTGCATACAGATAAGTCTCTCCATTGGTCTCTTTGAATATATTATATATTTGGTCACCTATGTCATGATTTTGTTTGGTTAAATCCCTTCATTTATTGATTTGTAAAAGGGACACCAAAAGACAATTAAAACTGAGTGGTTAAGAACTTGTCTGCCTTTAAACTATACACACTTGTGATATAAATCTAAATTTTCAAACTGAACCATATTCATCTACTAAGATACATTGTAATTTCAGATTACTATGAATTTATATCCCAATGACTTTCGGTGATCAATCATCTTTATTTTCCAGCTTTCCTTTTCTTCATTGTCTATAGAAAATAGCAATCTGTAATAAACTCAGGAAGTAGCTATTTAAAGGAATTGTCTATTGAATTCATTTGTAAAATTTAAAAAAAGTTTATGTAAATCATGAGTTCCAAATAGGACACACTATTTATGAAACATTTCTTCTTATAAACATCTAGCCCAAAATAGATTTTTGTTCTCCTATTTTTATCAAGAGCTCCAAATATAGAGTTAAATATATTCTTTCTCAGTATATCAGCCAGTGTTTTTTTGCAGTCACAAGACCCAAAAAGAATAGCTAAAAAGATTTTTTGTACCACAATATTTAAAAAGTAAAACTAAAAGCAGGAGAGAGAGTGTAATACAACTAAAAAATATGTGTAAGTTCCTCCTTGAATTCTGGGAAATTCTCAGGCACTACCCAGAGGAAATAAGAAAGAAGTGCTGGTACTCTGGTTGCATTGTACTTGGTGACAGAATCAACTAAGCACCACCCATTGTATACCCATTGTACACATGTGGGGGGAAAAGATAACTGAACAAAAAACCAAGCACACCAGACTATACAAAAGAAAAGAATAAGTACCCCATGGGAGAGTATATGTTTATTTATAAGCCCATTGGAAAGAAAGAATATAATAGAAGATGAAAAAATATTTTTCTGTTCATTGAGAAGCATAAATTCCTTGATGATTTGTAAAGTAAAGAAAGCATGAATCCAACATTTTGGGAAAGCCGATTTTTCAGTTCAGGTGACAAGTTTTATTCCATCTTAATTTGTTTGGATTTGGTCAAAGATAACCCAGTTTAAGGACTATGTTACAGGCACACTTTCAAGAATCGTTTTTAAGAAAAAAGACTGTCAAAAAAGATACAAGAACAAATAGAAAACCTGATGGAGAGTGTATACATGCATAAAATATAGTAAATTTAATCAGTAATTAAACCCTTCCCACAAAGAAATCTCAAGCTCTGAAGACTTCATCAACGAATCTTCCAAACTTCGTAAGAAGAAATAGCACCACTCATATATAAAATCTTCCAAAAAATGGAAAAAGAGGAAATGCTCTCTACCTTGCTCTATGAGGTAAACAAAACTGAGATACCAAAATTGAACAAGGGTATTATAAAAAAAGGAAAATTATAAACTAAATTCTCTCATTAAGAGATATAAAAATCTGGATATTAAGATATCAATAAATCAAATCTAACATACATAAAAATGATAATACATGACCAAGTTAAGTTTATTCCAGACTTCAAAGTTAGTTTAACACTTAAAACATCAATTGTAATTTACCTTGCTTACAGAATATAAAAGAAAATTAGTACAATCATCTCACTATATGCAGAAAATTTATTTAACAAAACTCAATACTTATTCATGCTTTTAAAAAACTCATGGCAAAACAGACATAGACTTAAGCTTTTGCAATTTAACAAAGAATAATGAAAATAATATTCAGCAAATTAATACTAAAATATTGAAAACTTTCCCACCAAGAATGAAAGCAAGACAAGAAAGCTCCACATTACCAGTTTAGTTCTATGTATACCAATTAAAAATTAACTCTAAAAAATAACACCATTTGCAATAGCATAAAATACTTAGCACTAAAGCTGATGAAAGATGCTAAGATCTCTACTACACTACTGAAAGAAATTATAGAATTTCTAAATAAGTGTAGATCAAAACCCGAATTTAGACCTAAAGAAGAGTAATGAAACTGTATTAATTAATATGAAGTCTCAAATTTATAAAAATGACAATTCTGACAAATTCATCTATACATTCAATATAATACCAATTAAAGTACCAGCACTACATGCAGAAAAATTCTAGAATTTCTATGGACATGGAGAAGGGAAGAATAGCCAGCACAATCCTGAAGAATAGAATCTTGAAAGAGCAAGACTTAAACCACCAGGTATAAAGACTTATAACTCCACTGAAATTAAAACACATACAAAAAGTATAAAAATTATAGTAGTGTATTATTTTTAATACAATTTAAAAACAAACACAACTAACACAGAGATATAAATTTTAGAATAGTAGTCATCTTTGGGTAACCACAGAAGTCCCAGGAAACTATAAGGTTGCTAATAATATATTATTTTCTTGACCTAGATTCTGGGTATATTTTGTATTTGGTTTGTGAAAATTCATCAAGGTGTGCATTTATAACGTGTGATCTTTTCAAGATGTATGTTATGGATCAATTAAAATTTTATTGAAACAATTCAGAAAAAAAGAATTATTCTTACATAACCAGTCGTCACCATAAATATAGATGGTTCTCTTCATCTCTTAATCACCTGTGCTTCTAGGTGTTATTAGTCACAACAGTGCTATATTTTTCAGTCAAAAAAATTAGCCAGCATCTCTATACCTTTTATGAGTCACTTAATGGTATCTGAAATTACTCTCAAGAAGCTACCCAGTTTCCTGCACTCTTGTATGGAATGCCAATCTCCAGAATTGGTGGTCTATGCTCATGCCATATTCAGAACATTGCAGGTGCAAATTAGAATTTTTTTTGTTGAAATGGATATATTTTTTTCCTGGCATCCTGGCCTTACTGGAACTTCTTTTGACTTCTTCTCCACAGGCAATGTTGAGGCAGTGGCTGACACCAGCAGGCGTGTGGGTGGAGCTCTAGCAAGAAAGAGTGGCCTCAAAAACAGATTAAATGATGCCATTAAACAACTACAAGCCACAGAAAGAGGTAAGGATCAGACGGACCAACAGAACTTAAGCCTCACCTGTTTGTTCTGGTATTAAGATTCACCTTTGAGAAAGGAGTAGGTGATTCCTTGCTCATAGACCTTTTTATAAATAAATATTATTTTCTGATGACAAAAGAAACTATGTTCATACATACACAGACACACACACTCCAAAAAATAAATTCTGGAAAATAATGATAAAAGCTGTAACCACACCATGTAGGGGGGACCATTAAATTTGAATTTTCCTCCAGCTGTTTGTACATATGTGTGTGTTTTCATAGAATCATACTATTTATATGTACTGTTCAGTAACCTACTTTGTGAACATCCTTCTTTATTAATAAATATGCCCTAATATGGTTACTGGGTTTCTTTGGCCCCAACTGTAAACAGCTGGTCTCTGTTACATGCCACGTCATTCTTCTAGTACAGGCAAGGAGACCAGTGAGCCAACTAGAGAAACAAGAGCACTCACTCACGTTGCCTAATCTGAGACTACACTGGTATTTTAGAAAGACCTGATTGGAAGCAGATGTGCCTTCCCCGGCATGGTGAAAGTTAAAACATGACCGCTAGCTGTGGACGCTTTACTACACAAAGCAAGTCCAGCTATACCAAAGCCCAGGCCAGGAGGGTGCCATCCATTGAAAGTCCCTGTCGTCAGCACCATCAGAGCCACCACATGCTAGGAACTGGGCTGTGTTTTTCATACATTATTTCATGTGGGAAAGGATCACCATTAGCTTTAGGCTGATGTGAACCTTGAGGCATGTCAAGGTCAGGGAACTTGCTCCAAAAGACACAGTCCCAAAAAGAAGCAGACCCAGGAGTTAACACTACTTCCATCGGATTTTAGAGCATGTAACTGTTTTCTCCATTAAAAAAAAAAATTGAAGCTACAACCCACCCGATTGATTTTTCATTGTTTTTTTTTTACATAAATAATGCATGAGCATTATAGAAAGATTAGAAAATGTAGATTAGGAGATAGAACAAGAGAAGAAAGATATTTTATTTTCTCATTACCTAGGAAAAATATTTCATTGTAAACATATTTTTATTTTATATAGGTAGACTTTCAATAAAAATTGAATTTCACTCTATATGCTCTGTTGCAACTTGCTTTTATTATTCAAAAATACCTTTCCTGACTGACTTACTCAGTACTAGAGCATCATTTTTATAGCAAAAATTGTTCCACCTAGAAGAAAGTGATATTTATGATAAATTTCAGACACAAACATTGCATGAGTTAACTCTCAATGCATTTTCTGTGGCTTTCTTACCAGGTCTCTATCCTAAAGAAATAATAATTACACTTTTTTAAAACTTACTTCTAATTGGAAACTATTATAAGTGAGCTACATGATTTTAATGAGACTTTAGAGTCCTTCAAACTTACTAATACTGCTTACAGTATTCTTGTACGCCTAACTTATACCATAATTAACATATATTTAAAGATCTTAGGTTGGCTTAAAAGCTCTAAATTTATGATCTGTTTTATGCATTGATTAAAGGGCTGTTACTGTTCCCAGCTTCTCTGGGTCCTGGTTAATGGTCCTGCTTCTCTGCATAGTGAATGTCTCTGTGTTCTGTGTGAAGGTGATACTCAGCAGCGCCTGGGTCAGTCCAAGCTGATCACCGCGGAAGCAAACAGGACCACAATGGAAGTCCAACAGGCTACAGCCCCGATGGCTCACAGTCTAACCAGCTGGTCACAGAATCTTCAAACTTTTGACTCTACTGCTTACAACACTGCAGTGGACTCTGCCAGAGATGCAGGTATCACTTAGAAATATCTCAATTCACATCCAGTTGAGGAATTGACCAATGAATTCTGCATATAGTTTGTTAAGAAGCAATTTTCTTTATTTGGGTTTCAGATTGGAATACTGGAGAAGTTAGCTTAGAAAAGGAGAAAGAGTTTTTTTAAAGAGATTTATTTACTTATTTATTTATTTTAGAGAGAGAGGAAAGGAGGGAGATGATGAGGGAGAGAAACATCATTGTGAAAGAGAAACATTGACCAATTGCCTCTCACACGCACCCCAACTGGGGATAGAACCTCAACCCAGGCACATGCCCTGACCAGGAATCAGACCTGCAACCTTTTGGTTTGTAGGACTATGCCCAACCAACTGAGCCACTCTGGCCAGGGCAGGAAAAAAACTTTCACTTGGTTCATCTATCAATACGTGTGTGTACACAAGAAATATATATATATATATTTATGAATGTGAGCCTGATCCCTTCAGGAAGGTCAGTTACATGTTAGGGTAAATAATCTTCACAATATTGCTTTCAGAAAAAAAATTTACTAAGCAGTAGCATTGCTTTCTGCTTATTCCAAAAAAAAGCAGGTTATAACAAACAAGTACTGAATATGGCCAAACATCTCTGAAGCTTCTCACCAAGAACAGTTTGTACCCCAACTGGAACACAAATTTATAGCAATGAAAATTAAATATTTGGATGCCTACCTAGTTCATTTAGTTTCACATAGATATTTAAATCACATATTACTTGGGTAGTTTTCTTTTTTCAGTCTCATATTTCTGTTGTCTTAAATATCAGTGTCTTTGTCATGACTAGAACTTTCTGTTCTCAAACATGGTTTCATGTTTGTGTTTTTTTTATTTTAATTTTATGTTTTAAATTACAGTTAGCTACAATATTCAATTTAGGGATACAACATAGTTCATCCATGGTTTTGCAGACCATATTACCTTTACTTCCATCTGAATTAAGAAACAACTTTAGCCCTGGCGGGTGTAGCTCAGTGGATTGAGCATGGGCTGCTAACCAAAAGGTCACAGGTTCAATTCCCAGTCAGGGCACATGCCTGGGTTGCAGGCCAGGTCCCCAGTGGGGACCATGTGAAATGCAACCACACATCGATATTTCTCTCTCTCTTTCTCCATCTCTTCCCCTCTCTAAAAATAAATAAATCTAAAAAGAGAAACAACTTTATTAACTCATATATGATCACTAGAAATTTGATCCAAAGTTGCAAATATTAATTACCATAATATAGTGTTCATTTTTTAAGTATACAGTCATGAGTTCTTTAATGTCCCCACTCACTTCATTCCTTTTTTTCTAAATTTTTTTGAGATGTTATTTATTTATCTTTAGAGGGAAGGAGAGAGGGAGAGAAATATCAATGTATGGTTGCCTCTCATGCGTCCCCTGCTGGGAACTGGCCTGCAACCCAGGCACGTGCCCTGACTGGGAATTGAACCGTGATCCTCTGGTTTACAGGCCCGTGCTCAATCCACTGAGCTACACCAGGCAGGGCCTCACTTCATTGCTTTTAAAACTTGATCTTTAAAGAATTGCTTATATTACATTCAACATTAACATTTATAAAAATATTATCTCAGGAATATTTACTAAATCTGTGTTAAATTTTCCCCCTCCTTGTTCAGCTCTGTTTGTGCTTGCAGTAAGCATTCAGAACTAGCACTAACTGAAACTGTTTCAAATTACTCTGTTTTCCTCAAATAGCATTTTGTAAAGAGCATACCATAATATAAAATACTTTATAAAGACTCTCATATAAGATGGCTTCCTTTCTCTGAGAGAAGTAAGGGCAGGGGAACCTCTTCATATATATTTCCATAATCAAAATTTAATATAATTCTTTATACTTTATTACCTCTAATTTTTAAAAATCATTATATTATAAAATGCCTATTGTGACCAGTGATCCAAACAACAAATACTTATCTCTATAGTAATCAATACAGTAAACTGATAGTTGCTATTATTTTACTTAATCCCACTCTCTGTTCTGGAAAAGCATCTTGTTTCCTAAGTACAGAACAGAGGTATCTCCTTGGTCCTTATGGACATAGTCTCCTCAATCAGAGTTTAGTTGGTTTCAGTAAGAGGCTTCTTGTCCAGCTGCTAACACTCAATGACCATGGCTCTGCCCTTAGGTAGGAGAATACCCATGAGACACTAATTTTGAGTCCACTGCTTCTCAAACACTAGTGTGCATCAGAATCACCTGTGCCCCCATCATTATTACATTAGCCAAGATTAAAATGAAGGAGAGAATCCTAGAAGCAGCAAGAGATAAGGGGACAGTCACCTACAAAGGAGTTTCCATCAGACTGTCAGCGGATTTCTCAAAAGAGACCTTACAGGCAAGAAGGGGCTGGAAAGAAGTATTCCAGGTCATGAAAACCAAAGACCTACATCCAAGATTGCTCTATCAAGCAAAGCTTTCACTTAGAATTAAAGGGCAGATAAAGTACTTCTCAGATAAGATCAAGTTCAAGGAGTTCATCATCACCAAACCCTTATTATATGAAATGTTAAAGGGACTTACCTAAGAAAAAGAAGATAAAAAAGATGAACAGTGAAAGGACAGCAAACTCACAGTTATTAAGAACCACACCTAAAACAAAAGCAAACTGAGAGGACAGCTAGATCAGGAGTGAACCATAGAAATGAAGATCACATGGAGGGTTAGCAACAGGGGAGTGGGAGAAGGAGAAGGGGGGAGAAAGTACAGAAAATAAGTAGCATAGACAGTAGATAGAAAATGGATAGGGGGAGGGTAAGAATAGTAGGGGAAATATAGAATCTAAAGAACTTGAGACACATGGTCATAAACTAAAGGGGGGGAATGGTGGGGGAGGGGTGTGCAGGGTGGAGGGGAACGAAGGTGGAAAAATAGAACATATGTAATGGCATAATCAATAAAATAAAAAAATATATATTAAAAAAAAGAATCACCTGTGTCCTACTCCCAGAGTTCCTGATTCAGTAAATTGGGGGTGGGACCAAACAATTTGCATTTCTAGAAAGTTCCCTGGTGAAACTGACACCATCACTCTGGGAACCACATGTCTAGAACCACTGCTCCAATTCATGAGACTTTGGATAAGGTATGCCATTCTCCATGTTTGGGGTTTCTCTCAACAAGCTGTATTTTTATGGCTTATGCTCTTTTCTATGTGTACATTATACATCAAAAACAAAACATAACCTAAAACGTCAGTATGATCTGCTTGTACCATCACCCTTGTTGGGACCACAGCCCATGACGGCCCACCCTCGCCTTGGCACAACTGCCACTATCCTGGGTGCTCCCTTATCTCCTCCATCCCCCTCTGCCTCTGCCAGGCCCATTGCAGCAGCAGAGGTGTGAGTGCACATCCTGGAAAACAGCCTTCCCCCTCCTTGTGCCCAGCATTTTTAAACTGTGATATCAGTTTTGTTGGGAATGCAAACAGAACCTATGCTGTGTAGGGAAAGGAACATCTGCATATTTGTCGTGGATCCTGCTTTTTAGATACGTACTTTATAAGTCTGCTTGTTCTGCATACATTTATAAATTGATATGTGCTATAAATATCACAAAATAGGAATTGATTATGCCTGGAGTTTAACTATTAATTTTACAGAATTGAAAATAATTTCTGAATAGTTCTACCAGAAGTAACATGTTTGTCTCTTCACCTGATTCCTGAAAGCTAGTTACTAATGAAATATTTACTCACATGATTAATTTTTATTAACTGCAGTAAGAAATCTGACAGAGGTTGTCCCTCAGCTCCTGGATCAGCTTCGTACAGTTGAGCAGAAGCGACCTGCCAGCAACGTTTCCACCAGCATCCAGAGGATCCGAGAGCTCATTGCTCAGACCAGAAGTGTCGCCAGCAAGGTAACCCGTGAAAAGAGTCATCATCATCAGTCACTCGGTGACTATGAGAACATGAAGAGCAGCTTCCAGAGCCTGGGACCTGTCTACTGTATTATCCAGCCCTGCAGTTCTCAGTTCTCTCTGTTCATCAGAATCACACGAAGAGCTTTAAAAATTAAACCCTTTCCTAGTCCCAGATTAAAATGCAGGAGAGAATCCTAGAAGCAGCAAGAGATAAGGGGACAGTCACCTACAAATGACTTCAAGAGAAATATACCAGGCTCTCAAGAGAAAAGGTTCAGCAATATACATTAGCCAAGGCTCTCAAGAGAAAAGGTTCAGCATCTGTATTTTCTTAAAACTCCCAATGATTCTAAAGTGTGTTAGGACCACAACTTAACCTAGTCAACAATGCTCATAGAGCAAAAGAAATTAAGTAAAACCAAGCACAATAAAAGACTCAATTATTATTATTATTAATTAACAGTTATTTTAGTGTAATTGCTATATGGAATAATCTTGCCCAACCAACCTTTTCAAAGAATTTCGTGGCATAACACAGAAGATATGAAGCTTTTACTGACCCCTCCACAGGCTTAACTTAGGAATCACATACCAGTTGAACCGAATAATCTCAACACAGACCCTGTTCTGAGCTGCTGTACAGAAGCACCTCAGCAACACCATAACTAGCTCCGCACTGGTAGGAATTATCCTGGTGCAACAGTGAACATTTACAGTGCAGCAAAACAGGGCTCGTTCTTGGCCTTCTTTTTAATTTTTTCTTTATTGATTTATAGGCCAGCAGCATTTTTTACAACCAAATTATAGGATTTTATTTTCTCAATTGAGAATTGGCCTGAGCAGACTATTAGCCCAGATTACTGACAGAAATAAGAGTTGAAAATCAGCTATTTTGTAATGAGGGAGATAACAACTGGTAAATACACCTGCCTCTGAATGATATATAGTGATTGATTCCGCATCACAAATTAGTTTTTTTTAGATACCTTGGAGAACATTTCAAAACAGGCTTATTGTCAAGAAATGACATTTCCAAAGCTGGGTTCTCTGTGAGTGCTTTCTCGTAGTTTTATTCATATAGAGTAGAATTTGGGAGCCTTAAACACCTAAGATAATTTTCTAAAGAGTCTTGGCGATGACTCTGGAATCCACTAGGCTCTTCAAAGTGAGATGCTTTTTGTACAGATAATACATCCTTCTTCAACTCTCAATTTTTACATTAATTCCATGTGCTGCTTGATTATTTATTAAGATGTGTTGATGTTTACTCAACTGACAGCATAGGACAGCTGCACTCTAAGCACCTGGGAATATAATCTTGAGCTCACTCACCATCACTATTAACCAAATCAATATTAATGAACTGATATAGATACATCCAGTCATTCAGAAATATTTGCATAAGTGGCATGCATATACAGTCTATCCACTTATGAATACTCCAAAAATCACCTCAAATCAGACTCATTTAGCATATCATATTGGGCCTTTTAGAAATGCATTTACTGAATTTTGCTTTGTTGTGATGCCTTTCCGAGAATCATTATAAAAAAACATTAATGAACTCATCCTTAGAATCGTTACAATGATAGACCCAGTCCTAGAAAGCATTTTTATACTTATCATCTTTTCATTCTCAGAACAGATTTATTGTCCTCATTTTACAGATGAGGAAACTGCAGGTTAGGTGACTTGTTCGTGATTATGTAAGTAGGAAGTGGCAGAGACAGGTTTTAAGACCTGTGTCAGACTTCAGAGCTGTGTCTAGACCCCTCCTAATTGTCCAGACTCACCCATGCTCTTCTTTAAAGACCCTGTAGACAAATTCCTATTTGTACTATTACCCAAGATTGGTTATACTTCTCCTGACCAGTTCATTCTTGTTAATCTTATAGGCCCTTGTGAATCGTATAACTGAGTGTCCCTCCAAGCTGCTTAATTCACCCCAAGTGTGTAGTTCATTGTAGAGTTCATATTTATACTCATTCTTAAACTTACTTTGTCACCCCATTTTAAATTAAAATATTTATTATAATCCACTTTAAATCCTTTCTCCAATGAGGCGAGGACACAAGTAAACAGAGGCCTGGAGGAAAGGAGGGCTCAGAGGCACATTAGGAATGATGGAAGCCCACTGAGAACCATGGGAAAGCTCTGTGCCCATTTCTGCAGCATACTTTTAACGGAATAATTTTGTAACTCCAGATCCAAGTCTCCATGATGTTTGATGGCCAGTCTGCAGTTGAAGTGCACCCTAAAACCAAAGTGGAAGACTTAAAGACCTTCACGTCCCTGAGCCTGTATGTAAAACCTCCCATTGTGAAGCAGCCAGAACTGGCCGGGACTGCAGACCAGTTTATCTTATACCTCGGAAGTAAAAATGTAAGAACGTGGGGTTTATTTATATTTTTTATTTTTATTTTTTAATTACAGTTTACATTCAATATAATGTTTGTACTACTGTCAGGTGTACAGCATAGTGGTTAGACAATCATATACTTTACAAAGTGGTCCCCCTGATATTTCCAGTACCCACCTGGTACCACACATAGTTAGCACAATATCATTGACCATATGTTTTATTTTTACATCCTGTGACTATTTTGTAACTACTAATTTGTACTTCTTAAAAAGAGGAAATAATATTAAAAGGAAAAATAGGTTCCTCTCCCTTGCCATACAACAAAGCTACCTAGGCCAACAACAAAATTCCCATTCTGGTAACTCAAAAAGTATAGATTGTTTTAATGCCCAGCCTAAAGTAGTGAGTTAAAGGCAAGTAATTCTTTCTGTGTGGAATATTTTGAGGCTTGCTTCATATCAGCCTCACACTGCTAACTTTGAAGTGTCTGAATGTAGCATTTCAAAGACCTTCAGAATACAGAAGCCTTTATGTTTGATGCTGAACTGTTTGAAGAAGCATAGCGGTTGGTATCAGCTGGCTGCATTACGTCCCTGGTTAACTAGGCAAGGTTAGCACACACTCCTGGCAGCCATCAGTTGGTTGCCTGCAGTTGCTTGCCTCCCTGTCCAGATGCACTTGGACAAGCTCAGGGGGACTGCAGACTGATGCCGCCACAGGGAGGTGGGAGAGGAAGAGGCACTGCCCAGTCTAACAGTAACTTTGGTAATAACTCATCCAGACATACCTTAATGCAGCCAAGCATTGGAATTGCTTATTGTTCTTCAAAGAAATGAAAGCAAAAGATGATACTTATTCATTTGGATTTTATTTAAGCAACTTCTACCCATTTCAGGCCAAAAAAGAATACATGGGCCTTGCAATCAAAAATGATAACCTGGTATATGTTTATAATTTGGGAACTAAGGATGTAGAGATTCCCCTGGACTCCAAGCCTGTCAGTTCATGGCCTGCTTACTTCAGCATTGTCAAGATTGAAAGGTAAAATGAATCCATAACATGGGGCTTGTGTGCACATTTTTAAGACACAAACACACACACACATACCACTTACAATCTTCCTGTGGGTGTTGTAAGTAGCATTTTCTTTCCCCTTCTTCCCTGTCTTTCTTCCATTATTCCTGTACTTCTTCCCAAATATCTTAGTGAAAAACAAAAATTAGAATATATAGTCATCATTTTTAGATACCAATCTGATCATTAGATCTTTTTATCTGGCTAATACAGCAATTAATTTAGAGATGGAATGTCTTTTTTGCCCTTCTGTTGATTGTTGACATTCTACAAATGCTTCTGAGTATGACAAAATCAAATCACCAATTCTGTGACAAGGTAACATTAACACTGTGACATTAAAAATATGTCTTTTCTGTAAATTATTAGGCTAATAAAGAGTGTAAACTATTTATCTCAACAGGGTAGGAAAACATGGCAAGGTATTTTTAACAGTCCCAAGTCTCAGCAGCACTGCAGAGGAGAAGTTTATTAAAAAGGGAGAGTTCGTAGGGGATGACTCTTTGTTGGATCTGGACCCCGAGGACACTGTGTTTTATGTTGGTGGTGTGCCTTCAAACTTCAAGGTAAGCTCTCCACCTATATTTTGGCTTATTGCAAATCTACAATAATTGTTTTCAAAACTCCATAAGACCTACAATGATTTGGGGATGGGATAGCAACCTTAATATTTTAAGAAAGAATTGAGCTCAGTAGGTAGTAGAATTCTGAACCAGGATCTACAAACCTGGTCTCTGCTACCATATTTTCATAGTGTTAAGTGCATTCAAGCTATAGCTAACACTTGAATATCAGTTCATTTCATTCTGATACATGCATATGTCATTAATATTACTCCCATCTATGGCAGGAGTGTCTGTACCTTGTAGATTTGTAACTTCAGGTTCACAGATGACAGTTTCAAAAGCTTCATTATCTCAACTAATACAAGCATAAAATAAAATACAAAGGAGGGGGTGGGACCTGGGGGAAAATGTTAGACCCGATGAAAGTTAAATAAAGGAAAGGCCCAAGAAGACGGGACATCAATCTAGGATTCAATTCCAGGACTGCTATTTACTAGTTATAGGCACATTACTGAGCCTGAGAATTACTTTCTCTTTAAATGAGGACAGGAATAACTACTTCACAGAGCTAGTATAAGGATTGATTTTGGTCATGAATTCATTGCCCAACAGGTGACTGGCACATAGTATATGCTCAATAAATCTCACCCTCTCTGCTAAGATATGTACAACTGAAAAATCATGACTTACCTAAATGTTTTGGCATAGAGTAGACACAAACTCAGGGCTAGAAAGATACCTATACCAATGTGTAGATCTAGACCTGCTGTTTGTTTAATTGCCTGTTTTGTGTCCTCCTGGTGAAATGTGATCATGGGACGGTTGACAATGCTTTGCCTGTTGCACAGCTTCCTGCCAGCTTAAACCTGCCCGGCTTCACTGGCTGCCTGGAGCTGGCCACTTTGAATAATGATGTGATGAGCTTGTACAACTTTAAGCACATCTATGATATGGATCCCTCCAAATCAGTGCCCTGCGCCAGGTAAGAAAGTGTTGAGTACTAAAGACTTTGAGAGCCATGCCAGAGCAGCAGGTGAGACAAGTGTGAGCCCATGTCTGAGTTCTCAATCTTTTCTTTGGGGAAACTGGTTTTGAAGCTGCATAATAATCATGCCTGTAAAATACTTTTCAGATTTTCTCTTCCATAGAAGAGCATGAAGAGTTATAAAAAGTGTTAAGCTACTTGTTTTGCAGCATTAACTGAGAATTCCAGAGACTGGGTTTTCACTAGAGACTTCTGTTCTCTTAGCACAAAGGGAAAAGAAGAAATCCATTAAAAATGATTCATTAACCTTAGCTGTAAATGCATCTTTATGTCACCATTCAGACCTCATGACTTCATTGAAATGCTGGAAAGTCCAAGGAAAATGTCATGGGATGGATTAAAAGGGCCTCATTGAAAAGCACAACATTGCAATACTTATATGATCCTTGTGTTTTTATTTCAGAGATAAGCTGGCCTTCACTCAGAGTCGGGCTGCCAGCTACTTCTTTGATGGCTCCAGTTATGCCGTGGTGAGGGATATCACCAGGAGAGGGAAGTATGGTCAGGTGACTCGTTTTGACATAGAAGTTCGAACACCAGCTGACAATGGACTTGTGCTTCTGATGGTCAATGGAGTGAGTACAGATAAAAAGTCCTACATTTTCTCCTTTACTTCATTTACTTTCTGCTATGCATATATTTCTAGGAACCTTCCAAGATTGTGTCAGGTCATCCAGCTGAAGTTTTAGTTTAGAAATTAAAATTGGGTTATTCTGACTAAATTGGATGTCAGCAATGAGTAAATGCAGCCCTGAATTTCCCTGCACTGCATTTTATTAAATACTAAATGTATATTAAATATCTCCTCTTTAATACACTGAAGAAATTTTTAAAAACAAGTGCCAAGATAAAGAAAAACAGTGTGTCTACAGAAATTTAACATTGGCTTTTTAAATTATCTTCCCCAATCAGTAAAACAAGTTTGCATGTTTACTATATATGAATGTATATATCTATATCTATACATTTCTTTATTAATAACGTACATATGCCATATATGAATAGAATATTCAAAATTGGGAATAAAAGACAATTATATAAATATAACATTGAGTAAAAATAAATGTTATTTTAAAATAAAGATGAAATTAAATAACTTATTTTATTTGTTAATGATACAAAATTATTGTTTTTTTTTTTCTTTTTTTTTTTTCTTTTTTTTTTTTTTATTGATTATGCCATTACATTTGCTCTATTCTCCCCTCCCCTCCCCTCCACCCTGCATACCCCTCCCCCACCATTTCCCCCTTTAGTTCATGAACATGTGTCTCAAATTCTTTAGATTCTGTATTTCCCCTACTATTCTTACCCCCCCCTATCTATTTTCTATCTACTGTCTGTACTACTTATTTTCTGTACCTTCTCCCCCTTCCCCTCCTCCCACTCCCCTATTGCTAACCCTCCATGTGATCTTCATTTCTATGGTTCTGCTCCTGATCTAGCTATCCTCTTAGTTTGCTTTTGTTTTAGGTGTGGTTCTTATTAACTGTGAGTTTGCTGTCCTTTCACTGTTCATCTTTTTTATCTTCTTTTTCTTAGGTAAGTCCCTTTAACATTTCATATAGTAAGGGCTTGGTGATGATGAACTCCTTGAATTTGGTCTTATCTGAGAAGCACTTTGTCTGTCCTTCCATTCTAAATGAAAGTTTTGCTGGGTAGAGCAATCTTGGTTGTAGGTCTTTGGATTTCATGACTTGGAATACCTCTGTCCAGCCCCTTCTTGCCTGTAAGGTCTCTTTTGAGAAATCAGCTGACAGTCTGATGGGAACTCCTTTGTAGGTGACTGTCCCCTTAGCTCTTGCTGCTTCTAGGATTCTCTCCTTCATTTTAATCTTGGCTAATGTAATTATGATGTGCCTTGGTGTGTTCCTTCTTGGGTCCAACTTCTTTGGGACTCTCTGAGCTTCCTGGATTTCTCGGAAGTCTATTTCCTTTGCCATCTTGGGGAAATTCTCCTTTATTATTTGTTCAAATAATTTTTCAACTGGTGGTTGTGCCTTTCCCCCTTCTGGTACCCCTATAATTCGGATGTTGGAACGTTTAAAGATGTCCTGGAGGTTCCTAATCTTCTCCTCATTTTTCTGAATTCTTATTTCTTCATTCCTTTCTGTTTTATCATTTTTTTCTTCCGTCTGGTTCTCTCCCTTGATTTGAGTCCCAATTTTCTTTCCATTATTATTGGAATCTTTTGTATCCCCATTCATTTCAATTAATTTAGCTTCCATATGTTTCTCTAATTTGTGGCTAAAGTCAACCAGTTCTGTAAGGATCTTTATAACCAGTGATTTGAACTGTGCATCTGAAAGACTGGCTATTTCTTCATCACTTAGGTCTATCGGTTCTGGGGCTCTGAGTTGTTCTAGAGCCATTTTTGGTCTGTTCGCGCTGTTAAGTGAGCGGAGCGAAGCCTTAGTTGTTTACCAGGACGGGCGACCCAGGTCGCTGGTTTGTGACGCTGTGTGTGGGGGCGGGGTCAGAGAGGGAGCGATGGCGTTCCTCTCCGCTAGCCCAGAGCATCCAGTCACTCACACAAACGCCTCGGGCTTGCTTATCCGATCCTAATTTTGCGAGCCTGCTGCGCCGCGCTCGGGCTTCCCTTCTCACTGGTTTCTCCGCACGTAACTGCGCGCCACCGACCGACCCACCGCGCCTCTTCCCTATGCGCTCCGCAGCCAGCTCACTGGCGATCAGCCCTCGGTTGCCGCCTGCGCGCGCCGCGCACCGCCGCCCCGGGAATTTTTTCTTGCTAACCTGCTCCGCTTCTGGTCTCGCTCCTTGTACCGTTCCAGCCGAGTATCTAGTTGTCCTTTGGACTCCGTATTGTTGATTTTCCGTATAGCTTGGTTGTGACTGCTGTTAAAAATAGTTGTTCTTAGATTTGGTTGTGCACAGAGGCGAGGTGGACCCTCCACCTACTTCTCCATCTTGGCGGAAGTCTCCAAAATTATTGTTAATAGCAGTATTCAAACAATGTAATTAAATATGTTGAAGTATTTTTGAAAGTCTCATTAAACAATTTGTGAGAGAATGATTCAAAGTCTTGTGCAAAGTCCAGTTTACTTCATTATTAAGTTTTATTGGCTGTCATAACTGGACAGGATACCTCATAAAGGTAAAGCTGTAAGAAGTTGACCACTGGCTCTGCTTTCTAAATCATGATACCATTTTTCAGTCTCATTCATCAACTGGCAAAGTAAAATTTGGTGCATTTTCAGCTTTTCTGATGTCAGTCTTGCCAGCTAATTATATATTTTGTCATTTTATACACTTTAACAAAAGAGTTCAAGACCACTGGATTTTTAAACAGGTTAGAAGTTTCTTTCCAGAAGTATTTTTAATAGTGCAGATATGAGCATTTTTATAAGAAGGACACTCATTGTGTTCATCAACAAGTTCACTTCACAGTAGAAAATTTTTCAAACATTTTTTAAAGGCCATCTCTCCAGTGTATAACTTCCTTCACAAAAATTTACTCTCATCAATTGTTATAATACACCTACTCTGAAATGATAGATCACGTATTGTTTTAAATAGTAAATAGGTTTCATATTACTGAAAGACATTTGTTATCACAAATGAAGGTGAATAAATTTAGAATAATCCATTTTATAAAGAAAATGTGTAACTCTTTAAACATCAGCATTTTTAATAGTTTTCAGGATGTAATTTGCAAACATCTATGTATCTCAAACTATTGTCACTTACTGTGTCTCTATAGAAAGTCATCACAAATACTCCATTATTTAAGTCATCTCACCTGTAAATGCATGTAACCAAGCACACTGCAATAAACTGCAGGAGGCTAAAGGGAAAGAAGTAGGTGAGGGGCTACTGCCAGCCTTCAAGTGTGGAACTGCACTCTTAAAGCCTCATATAATGTGTGAATCCCATGAATCTATTCATAAGACTAAGTGAAGGCCCGGGGTCAGTCCATGTATTATATATGAAAAGTTAGTCTATATTTATATTTTAGAGTTTTTAAATGAGTTGAAACAGAAGTTAAAATATTTCTTTCTGTTCCCCAATGGATTGTTTTCCACATTTTCAAGAGAATGCAAACTTCACTCAGAATATCAATTTCTGTAAAGTAGGGACTTTGCATAATACCTTATCATTCAAATCCATTGAATTCTTGTATCTATGAACTGTCTTCTGAAACAAGCAAGACTGACTAGTGAGTATTATGGTGTAAGTGTGATATTCAAGTGACTATTACAGAATTACTCTGGTTCTTGAACATAATGTGGTCCAAGTGAACAATTTCATATCTATTTACAAAAATTCAGTGCTTCAGGATAACACAGGAATGGCCTTTTTTATATATCCATATTTGCTGATAATTTTTTAAGGTTCTTTTTGGTGCCCCTTGGAATTAGTTTTAAATATCACCAATGTTCCTCTTAAAATTAAATGCAATCACATATATTGGTTTGTTATAACTTTCAAAAGTTGCCTGGAGAAAAGGCAGTTGAATGTGTATGGCCTGTAATACTCTGTTTTCAAAATTTTTAAAAGAAAAGGAAACCTTACTTAGGTGGTGACCACACTAGGATATTCCATGTAGTCGTATACCTAAAACCTATGTAATTTTTTAACGAATGTCATTCCAATAAATTTAATAAAATTTAAAGAATAAAAAATAAAATAAAAAATTTTAAAGGTCAATAAGGTAAATGTATAATTTCATTAATTTATAGGGTAAATAAAAATAACAGAAGATAGTTGTTTAAAATTGTATGTAAATATTCACATGTTGGTATATTAATATGAAACATAAGCACTGATGTAGTTACAATTTTAAGAACTTCATGAGCTATCCTTAGGCGGCCAACAATTTCAGTAACACAGAATACAGTATGATTTCTCAAATTGAGCTAAATCTGCACTTGTATAATAGCAGATGCTCACATTATAACTTCCTTTTCTCCACAGAGTAGGTTTTTCAGCCTGGAAATGCGCAATGGTTACTTGCATGTGTTCTATGACTTTGGATTCAGCAATGGCCCTGTGCATCTTGAAGACACTTTGAAGAAAGCTCAAATTAATGATGCAAAATATCATGAGGTACAAATGATTGCAATTTGGGTAGTTACTCTTTGATTTGGTTTTGTTTGAACGTGAATCTATTGATCTAATCAGATGTTCAACTGAGAGAGGTGGGAAAGTAATTACACTGAACACCTTTGTATCTAAAGACTGACTGAAGGACTTTCATCTACTTAACTCACTTAAGAGATGATATTTCATCTACTTAAGAGATGATATTTGCTTTAAAAAAATGGATGTTTTTGTCATAATTGACTTTTCTAAAAAAGAGTCACTGAAAGATTCATTTTAGTTGCTTCATTAACCAAAAGGCTCCTGTCATGCTCACTATCTTGATTGCAGTGACGCTCCTGTAGAATCCTCCTATACAGTTGTTGAAAATGCCAAAGAGTAGATATATGGCCATTTGTTTACTTATCCTCTGAGCCCCACTAAATACAAAAAGAGTACATATAAGTAATTAGAGAATCTCCTTTTAAACCGTTTATCCAGAACTTAGAAAATTCTAATAAAGTTTCCTTATAATGAGAACCCATAAAGAACACTCTTTAGTCTTGAAACAGATGTGTAGTATGTATAAATAGGATATACTTCATCTATTTTTATTAATAACTACTTTAAGTCTACAATTTAATAAAATGTTCAAAAGGCATAATATTTTTGAAGTTGAACTGAAATGCAGAGAGAAATGAGAGGGTACATTTCTCTTCTCAGTAAGTCAATAGCCTTCATGAGGACAGTTTACAATAAAAGATTGTTTTAACTATTTATCTGACTAGGATTTTCATGGATTTGTTAAGGCTTCTCAGAGTGTCACCAAAAAATAACAGCTGGTAACGTGCAACCTAGGTTCCAGGAGATACCTGTTTATAGTTCTTTCCTAAATCTTCTCAAAGGGGCCAAAGAAATCAGTTGGTCTCTTGACAAATTTCTCCTTCCCCGTGTGGAACTCCTTCTTCAGAAAATGTGAATTTCTGCATATCTGTGATTAAAAAAGGAAAACCTGTTCTCCATCTTGTAAACAAACAGGCATAAGAACATGGAAGTCCAGCTGTTTTAATCAGAATGATCAAAATATATAGTAGTCTTCAAAAAGTTGCATGTTAACCAATGGTCAAGGATTACTATACCTTATTTCTCCCAGATCTCAATCATTTACCACAATGATAAGAAAATGATTCTGGTGGTTGACAGACGGCATGTCAAGAGCATGGACAATGAAAAGATGAAAATACCTTTTACAGACATATACATTGGTGGGGCTCCCCCAGAAATCTTACAATCCAGGTAAGTTTTCTTTGTTAAGTGGTTGCTTGTTCCTAACAATGTACTGGCTGAGTATTCAACACCCAGGATAGGTCTAGCAAAAGGTTTAAGCTCCCCCCCTTGCTACTTCCACACATGTGCACAGGCACACACACACAGGTATGCGCTTTGGGCCCTCTGCAGCCAGTCCTCATGACCCCCTTAAATTAGTATCTGCTAGATGTGATCTACAGGTTTCTTTAATTGTGTCCCTTTATTTTCGTTTTAGTCTTATTTTAAATTTATTTTAATTCTCAAATAGCATCTGAAAGTAAAAATTTTAAGCTTATCCAAGGGGTGTGAATTAGGTATGGTGAAACATTATTCTAACATTCAAAAATTCACTGTCTCTTATTACATTTAATTCATAGCATCAGAGACCTGGAAGACTGAGAGATAACTTTACAATATTCCAGTCCAGTGGTTCTCAACCCTGGTTCTCTTAGAATTACCTAGAAAGTTTTCATAAATACCATTGTCCATGACCACTCTCCAAAAATTTGAGCACTCTGAGATAAAGCCACAATATAAATATAAAATTTAAAAAAAAAAAAAAACTTCCCCAACCAGGCAATTCTACTGAGTAACTAGGGTTGAGAAATGCCGATAGAGTTCACCCTCTCATCCAATACAGAATCCATATCTCCATTAGCCCTCACACGTCTCTTCAAATAAATGCAATGATATATCTATGATTAGCTGTGAATGCAAAAAAGTCAAGTTTAATGACTTTAATTTTTATAAAGTTTTTCCTTATATTGAATCACAGCTAGTAATCCCCCTTCCATGTCACAATGCTTCATGTGTTTAAAAGGCTCCCCAAGATTCCTCTTCAAACTAGATAGCCTCTGCAGTCCTTCAACTGTGCCACACTGGACCTTCACCCACCATGGTTGCTGTATGTGCACCCCGATCTGTCCCTCAGTATGACCCTCCCAGTATGATCTTGTCGGTGCACAGTTTAGGGACCTGTTACTCCTTAGTTTGGCTAGTGTTCATCTAAAATACATTGAAGACATTGTAACTGAAATAAAACTAACTTCATTCAATATCCAACCACATGTTCTTGGGTACTCCTATATACTAGGCATGATAATAGATATTAGGACTACAGTACTGAGAAAAATGCCATCCCTTATCTTATAGATAAAATATTTCTTACTTTCCTAATAACCCCAAGGCCCAACATTCACACTAGCATTAGTTGATTGGAGTGTGTGGCAAATTAAACCAAGAAGATAAGTATACAACCCAAGTGAATTAGTGGGAGACTGTACTGAAATCCTCACTTACCAGTTACGACATAAGAAATTAACGCTTCTTAGTTTACTTTGATAACTTATACCATGTGAAATTGCCAAGAACTGACCATTTTTACCCTTTAAATAAGTTAGTTATAAATGATTAGAAATAAAATTACATTGCATGGCCTTCATACATAGGGTAACATCGGCATCACAGCTAAAGAAGTACATATATAAAGGAGTACATGTATCAGTGAAGATTAATTTTTTTCCAGGACTCTAAGAGCACACCTCCTTCTAGATATAAACTTCAGAGGATGCATGAAGGGTTTCCAGTTCCAAAAGAAAGATTTTAACTTATTAGAGCAGCCAGAAACCCTGGGCGTTGGCTACGGATGCCCAGAAGACTCTCTTGTAAGTACCAATCAGAATCTTTTTAATAATAATAAATAATAGGCATAAAAGTTATCACTCTCAGAAGCTGTAAAGCTCTTTTCAGCTCCTTTATAATCCTAGCTACACCGTGGGTTCCTTTCTGCCACCAGCAGAAAAAATCATTCAGCCAGGAAGACCTGTAGGGTTTCTCTGTGACTGGTCCGGTTTGCCTCTGTTTCCCAGGGGCAGGGCTTCCAAAGCTCAGAGAGGCTGTGTGAGCCTCGTTACTCACTCAGGGTACAGGAAATAAAGAAGCTGAAACCCCATCTGTTAGAGAAACACAGAAAGAAGGTTCACGTGCTCCAATTTCATTATAAACCAGAAATTTAGCAAAAGACTATTAATACAGAAACTAGCAGACAAGACCTTTGGCATGTCAGAAACATGCATTTTAAGCATTTGGTAATTATCACAAACACTAAATTCACTCTTTTGACACACAGATATCTCGAAGAGCATATTTCAATGGACAGAGTTTTATTGCTTCAACTCAGAAAATATCGTTCTTTGATGGCTTTGAAGGAGGATTTAATTTCCAAACGTTACAGCCAAACGGGTTACTCTTCTATTATGCTTCAGGGGTGAGTATTCATTTTTCCCCCGAGGAAATGTCTTTGTATTGTTTGTTTTGTCTATTAAAAATGCTTTTAAGCACATGAATAGTGCTTAGTGATTTTTTTATTCAAATTCATTTTGACTCACATGTACATACACAGAATACTTCATCACATACACTTTATAAAATATTATATATATTGTACATCAGAGGTTCTTAACCTGGGATTCATAAACCCTAACCCACTCCTCAGGGGATCATGAAAAAATTCAGGAGGTCTGTCGATTTGGGTGGGGTAAAATCACATCTTTATTTGTTCTAACTAACATTTAGCATTTTATTCAATTGTGAATGTTGGCAGCAGATCACAAAAATATCAGCAGTACCTGTAACTTTTTCATTAATAGAAATAACAAGTACTTTTCACTTCATGTTTAAGTTATCACAGGTATCTCAAAATACTATTTTTGCTCATAGCTACTTCTAAATTACAATAGTTATTAGATCTGATACTAGATTTTATTATTTAATGCCTTCATAAAGAAGTACGTATATTACTATATCACAGATTTATTGTTTTGATATCTTGAAACTGTATTTCGATGTAATTTGTTTCCTTTGAGTTCTTACCCATTTTATTTTATGCACATGAAAACATTATTTCATGAAGGGTCCAAATGTATCACCAAACTGCCAGATGAGTCCATGGCAGAACAAATTTTAAGAGCCACTTTATGTTAAGAACAAACATACATGTGATTTACTTTATACATAACTAAAAAGAATGTACTTCTCTCTTCTTGCATTTGCTGAACACTTGAGCTCAACTTCAAGATACATTATTTCAAGAATAAAATGAGATCTGTAGAGGTTCAGTGATCTTGGTCATCACTGATAGATGCACTGATGGATGAGGTCATAATATGCATAATTTATGACAGCAGCTTTCACTTGTCATATTTTGTATCTATCACATATGTATTGAACTTCATTTAAATCTGTAGCATCTAGGAGAATCTACCCGAAGCACTTTTTAAGACCTCTGTCACCTAACCTGCCTCAGGTTACCGTGGTTAATTAAATAACACTTTTGGTCCCCCCAGAAAAGTAGTTACATTCTGGGCTAACTGTAGAGTTTGGTGCCCATATTGGGGAAGAGAAGCAAGATTATCATGTTGCCAATATTTGAAGACAAATGATAAGTGAATTCAGAAAAAGAGATGTTAAGCTGCTCTTTAAAGTATTTCTCTTCTGCCTCTACATATCAAAAATGGGAAACATTTTAAAAGCCAAACTAGCAAATTAACTTTTGCCTGGTCACCTAGCTACATCATCAAGGAGATTCAAATATTGCCTTGTCAACAGGGATTAAAAATGAGACATGGTAGAGTAGAAATGCCTGCGTTAGGAAAGTAACTGACATTAAGACAACTCTCAGTGTGACAAAATCACCAGAAATGTTCAGTTCTAAATATAGGTTTTTCCCATTTAAACATGTCTAATTGTATAGGTAACATCAACAAGCAATTAAGTATTTTGTTTTCATCACTATTCATAGAAAGTATTTTACAAGCAAACTTCCTTCACACTGGGTATTCCTTTAGGCAATAGCATTAAGTAAATGTTGAAAACACATTTACCTTTTGGATACATGAATCCCTTCTTGAAAACCTGTGCTTGCCTTTCAGTCAGACGTATTCTCCATTTCGTTGGATAATGGCACCGTGGTCATGAACGTGAAGGGGACCAAGGTGCAGTCGACAGATAAGCAGTACCATGACGGGCTGCCCCACTTCATCATTACCTCTGTCTCACCCACAAGGTACCACTCCTCCCCAAGTAGCCTTTCCATCAGATGGCTTTATATGTAGGGCAGGATTCTGTCAAAGGACCACTCTGAATAATAGGCTATCCTACTATTTTTCCAGTGTTAAAAAATATATTGGAAGGAGTTATTTAACTCCTGTTTAAAAAAATTTTTCTTAATTTTCAAGACATGCAAAATAAGTCACTATAAAATTACTTAACAGGAATATAAAGGTTTTTCCACCCAGCAGAACTACAGGCTATAATCTCCTTGAGAGAAGTGCTGGATGTAGTACTTACTCAGTGGAGGGCAGTGGTTGGCACATAGAGGGGCTCAGCAACAACTGGTTCCATTTAGTTTTAAATTCGGCAACTGAGAATGCTACATTTATGGCCGCATTTTAGAATCACTAATTGTATCATTAAAGTATATGCTGGATTTCATTTCCATAATAAGAAAACTTCCTGGGATAAGACATGAACCTCTGTTGCAGACTGTTCCTGCAAGTTCAATTCCATGAACCCCTCTCAATAAAGGAAAACATTAATAGGCCTTTTCTGGACTCCATTTCCAATCAGAATTAAAACCATTTCATGTGCTTTACAGTGAAAATGCTGTCCCACAAATGTGTTTCAATGATCACCGTGAAGTATGTTCTGGGGTTTTTTCCATCAAAAAGAAAGAAAAAAACAATGCTGATGACTAGTCATCTTAACTTCTTGCTTTTATGGGTTTAAATTCCAATCATGGTTTGGAAGTTCTTTACTGTCTGTGGAAATATTCATCGTTTTATCCTAGGCTTCATAAAGAGTCTAGAAAACTACTGTTTCTTTATTAACCAGATGTCCCATTTCAATTCCATGAGAAAACCTACAACCTTGAACTCGAGGTAGAATGTTAGCTGTGTGGGGCGTAAACGAGCCTTGTCCTTTGCAGATACGAACTGATAGTAGATCAAAGCAGACTTGGGAGTAAGAGCCCCACCAAGGGGAAAGCGGAGCACACGCAAGCAGGTGAAAAGAAGTTTTACTTCGGTGGCTCACCCATCAGTCCCCAGTATGCTAACTTCACCGGCTGCATAAGTAATGCCTACTTTACCAGGTATATTTTTATTTTTTATAAATCTGCATGATCGATAAAGAACATCAAGTCAGTAATGAAAGTATTTACATCATTGAAACAGAACTAGAATGTGTCGGAGGTGTTAGGGTAGTGTTAGAAGCTTGCATGTGCTTGAGCAGCTGACATTCTTGGGTTTGTAATTAGATTTGCTTGCCCTTTAATTTCTGTATAACTTGGTGGAGTAAACTTTTGTTACTTCACCTGCAAAATGCAGATAATAGTAGTACCTGCCTGGTACACTTGTTACAAGGTTTAAATGAGATAATGCACATAAAGCACCAAGCATACAGCAAGCTATAAACATTAGATGTGATTGTTTCTGTGCTTCTTATTAACAATACAGAACAGAGCAACATTCTCAAACCCTTGTTAGAGGTTTAAGAAAGTGTTCTTATTTTAATGCACGGCTTTAAACAAAGGCATTAATCCAGGTCATTAGCAAAGACAACGAGGACTCCCTGAGCACAAGAAAAAGCAAGGGAGGAATTTCACCCAGATTAAGTAATACAGAGGTGGCCCCAATCATCCAGAGTGTGGCGAGGAAAATCATGTTCATCTGTCAGGGTGTGCTGGTACCAGGCACAAAGTTATTAGAAAATTGGTTAAATGATCATATCGAGGATTCTGATTAAGATAGTGGTTGATGGATACAGACCCATCACACGCCCACACACACATAATTTAATTGCCAAAGTTTTCTGACTTCCCTAGTTTTTATCTTGTAATTCTGAACAGTATTTTCAGGGCTTTTTTACCCCATTCTTACAAACATAGGTTGGACAGAGATGTGGAGGTAGAAGACTTCCAGCGGTATCCTGAAAAGATCCACACTTCTCTTTACGAGTGTCCCATCGAATCTTCACCGTTGTTGCTCCTTCACAAAAAAGGAAAAAATTCCTCAAAATCTAAAACAAGTCAGAATAAAAAGGTAAAAGATAATGCTGTGCCAAGTTCCCAATTGTCCTTATATATTCCATGCATACAACTTTACATGCTGATGCTTTGTAGGATTTACCCTAGTTCGCAAAGATAAGATTCTTGTAGTAGCAGATATTCCAGTTCCCAGCTTTGTTGCATCTATTCTTGTTCATTAAAAAACCTTTTGAGCCCTGGCTGGTATAGCTCAGTGGATTGACCACGGGCCTGTGAAGCAAAGTGTCACTGGTTCCATTCCCAGTCAGGGCACATGCCTGGGTTGCAGGCCAGGTCCTCAGTAGGGGACGCATGAGAGGCAACCACACACTGATGTTTCTCTCCCACTCTTTCTCCTACCCTTCCCCTCTCTATAAATAAATAAATAAAATATTTTTAAAAAATGTTTGAATCAGCTTTTACCCATGCTTCCAGCTACTTTTTGATGGCATGGTAAATTGTTCCATACTTAACGATTTTTATATATCATGTTATTAGTACCATTATTCTCTAGTATCATTTGCTTTTGGGCAACAGTCTCAGACTTTTGTCATAATCATGGAAATTATTAAAGTTTCTGATCTTACCCTTGTTTCCCCCTCTTTCCCCTCCACTTCAACCACTCACATGTACAGCTGATCTGCGTCATCAACTAAAGCCAAAATCTTCGCTTCCATTATCAAAACGTTGAGTTTTTAAAATATATTTTATTGATTATGTCATTGCAGTTGTCCCAATTTTTCACCCTTTGCCCTCCTCCACCCAGAACTCACCATTCCCTTCAGCAGTCCTTCCCCTTATTCATGTCAGTGGGTCATCAGTATAAGTTCTTTGGCTACTCCATTTCCTATGCTGTTCTTAACATCCCTCTGCCTGTTCTGTACCTACCAGTTTGTACTTCTTAATCCCTGCACCTCTTCCCCTATTCTCTGCCTTCCCTCTGTTTACTGATAATGCTCCAAATGACCTCTATATCTATTATTCTGTTTCTTTTCTGCTTGTTTGCCGACTTTGTTTTTAGATTCCATTGTTAATTGTTGTGAATTTATTGCTATTTTAATGTTCATAGTTTTGATTTTTTTCCTTTTCTTAAATAAGTTCCTTTAACATTTTGTATAATAATGGCTTGGTGATAATGAACTCCTTTAGCTTTACCTTGTCTGGGAAGTGCTTTATCTGCCTTTCCATGATAGCTTTGCTGGATAGAGTCATATGGGTTGTAGGTTCTTGCTTTTCATCACTTTGAATACTTCTTTTCAGTCCCTTCTTGCCTGCAAAGTTTCCTTTGAGAATTCAGCTTCAGGCCTTATGGGAGCTCCTTTGTAGGTAACTTTCTTTTCTCTTGCTGCTTTTATGATTCTCTCTTTATCTTTAACCTTTGACATTTTAATTATGATGTGTCTTGGTGTGGTCCTCTTTGTGTCCATCTTTCACTTAGCAGGGGTGTCCAACCTGTGGCCCACGGGCTGCAAGCAGCCCAGGATGGCTATGAATGTGGCCCAACACAAAATTGTAAATTTACTTAAAACATTATGAGATTTTTTGTTTTTGTTAGTGTTTGTATATTTAATGTGTCACCCAAGACAACTCTTCTTCTTCTAGCGTGACCCAGAGACACCAAAAGGTTGAACACCCCTGAAGTCTACAGAAAAAGAAAATTGCTTTACAGAGAAAGAGAAAAAGGCAGAAAGCTGTCTCTCAGATAAAGAATAACAGACATTCTGAGAAAAACAAAGCCCAGATACCAGAACACCCAGAAAAGCAATGCCTTGTGTCTTCCTAGCTTTCCAGTCCCTGATTCTTGCCCCTGGGAGGACCCTAACCTTCTCTTAGGTTGTGTTCTCATATACTCCTACATCCTTATAACATGCTGCCCTTTTTCTTAGGTAACTGAAATTGTTTTGCTGTTACCCTAAACAAAGTCATCTTGCTAAATTGAAATTAGTACCGCTAGTTGGACTGTAACTAATAGACCCTCAGAGAAATAAGTTACATGGGGAAGGTCGGAGTCTAATGGGGTTCAGTGAGAATCCCCTACACATACACAGACATTTTAGGATAATAAACTGTCTCTGTACTATATGGTAGTGAAGTGATTAAATTATAACCTCTCTTTTTTAACATTAATATTCAGGGCATATATCCAGAGGATTTGTGGTATTTGGTTGCCATATATAAAGATATCGGTGTTTATTAATTTTTGTAGAAGACAAGAGAAAGAACTTAGTCCACGTATTCCCACATCGAAGCACAGAAAGGCAGGGCAGATAAACAGACTGTCATGGCCCAATAACCGTGGGCTTTGCCGAGACCCTATAGTCTAAATCCACTGTTGCTCTCTTTCCGTAGTTAAGTGGATGCACTGACTGAGGAAGAGTGAGATCCTCTCCGTCGGAATGGAGAGAATGAGGGATAGCCAGAATTGGCGAAAGCCCTCATCCCCCACCACCCTTTCACCCCCACCTGCCGGGCCCCATGCAAAGCATTTCCTGTGCCCTTCAATGAGACAAAGATGATCATATCTCCCATTCTAAGGCATGTTGCTTCTCTAAGATTGGAATACATGGAGCATGGAGTTTGGGGAAATTTCCCAAGTTATGTTAGAGGAAAAGTCTCCCTAAGGCCCCACTCCATCCTCTTGTGCCCACTCATGGCTTGAAGCTAAGGCCATTGTTCATAGGTGAAGGCCTCGGCCAGAAAACATGTGCAACTCTGTGTATTTCCTCCATCCAAGAGAGAAACCTCATTCTGCAGCAGGAACAGGTTCCGAATCCTGACTGCTATATAAGGAAGGGAAGAGGCAATGGTGGAACTGGGTGGGCTTTTTCTTAGGATGGGTCTCTGAGCCGCCACCTCGCTTTCTCTAACCTAACCACCACCGTGAGGGTCTCCCCTGCTGGAACCAGACTCAGAACTCTTGCTGGAGCAGAGCACTGGCACAGCTGGTCTGCCCTCTGCCCACCACACTTGGATTTTGACAGTGATTCTGGCTTTTGCCTGAAACCCTGATTTTGGGGTGAGGTCCTGTCTTTTGCCCATATAAAAGTAAGAATTTTATTGTCAGTCTGTTGCAAAAGGTCTTATGTCTTCTGGAAATTTTTATAATGCTTTGTGCTTCTAGTACAAAGCCTCCTAGATGTCTAGAACTAGGATGGATTTATTTTTATGTGAATAGTTCTTGTGACATTTCAATAGGGATTAAGGAGGGGTGGAAACTAAAGGTGTATGTTCATTCAATAATCTGGAACCTGGATTTTTTTTCCCCATCTAATCCTATATCTTACTCATCCTGGCTCTTGCTGAGTTCTCTGGTTCTCCCTACTACCAAACGTTTTCTCTCCTATCTGCCATTTCCTGTGTTACAAGCTTCCTTCTTAAATGGATCAAATCTGGCAACTCTCTGCTTTTAAAACCTTTGTGACTCCCCATCACTTAAAAAACAAAACCCCATCATCTAGCAAGCAATCTAAGCACCAACTTGTCTTCCAATTTATTACCTATACGCCTATCCTTTAAAATAGATGTTCAGTTTCTTAAAATATAAGAACAATTTCTCACTTTTCTGTTCCCTACACACACTGCCCAAGAAGCTTACAGAAACATTGGTTTCTTTCTCCTTCACTTCTACCTAATAGGTAATCAATCAATAAACATTTGCTTGAATAAATGAAAACTGCCTGAATGACCAGATTTCTTTGCATTTACCCTTGCTTCAGAAAGTAAGACTAAATAATCATTAGATAGTAGCCTATAGTTTCACAACTTTATATTTTAAAACCAACAGTGCAATTTTAAGAGCACAAGATACCTTTTTAAAGTTGTTCTATATCCTTCACATAAAAGTATGCTACACATCTTATCACCAAAAATATTCTTAAATATTTAAAGACATTCCTAAGTATTTTAACTTTTTACACAGCACGTATAAATAATAATGTGTGTGTTAAAGTAATCTTGTTGCCTATAATATGTGGATTTTATTGATTGATGCTTTAGAGTTGTTTTATTGCCAACTTTGTTGTTCCTCACCATTGGTTAAGATGTGCATTTAATTTAAATGATAGAGCATTATCCCTGCAGCTTCAGTTTAACTCTGCTTTACTATCACAGACTAGAACTTTGGGTTTGTTAACAAATTATGTCGCTGCTGGTTGCTGTTATTGCTGCAGCCACTGCTATCATCTGCTTATGGTGATGAGCATAAATACCACTTCATTCATGGGAAATGCACAAATAGTACCTGTGTTCATTGTTTTATTGTTGTTGTTGTTGTTAAGGAAATAACAAATGAATTTTTGCTACTAGTATGTCACTTTCATCCCTTAATATTATTTGTTTCCTATTCTTGTAGGGAGAGAAAAATAAAGATGCACCTTCATGGGATCCTGTTGGCCTGAAATTCCTGGAGAGGGCTGCTCCCAGAGACTCCCATTGCCACCTTTCCAACAGCCCTAGAGCGATAGAGCACGCCTATCAGTACGGAGGAACAGCCAACAGCCGCCAAGAGTTTGAACACTTAAGAGGAGATTTTGGTGAAAAGTAAAGTATCACTCTATTTTCCCAGAAACTTAATACCACGACTGGGCTTCATCTTAACTTGCCATGTATCATCTTTTTCCTATATTTCCTCTCTGGGCCACCTTAATCATATTCTTTTACCATCAAAATAAATAATAAATAGTACACAATTTATGCTTTCTGATAAATTATATTCTCTGTGACTTTCCTCCCAAAAGGTATATAAAGCAGCATTTCTCCTAGTTTTCTTGTGTCTTACCAAGAAGAAAAGACAATCAAAGAAAGGAAGAAAGGGCAAATTTCAAGGCCTCATCTAACCCTGACATTACCTGCTGTCCCCCATATAAACTGCTTTCAGGTTATAAACAGGAATGCTTCTGAACTGCTGGAAGGTTAATAAGGAAAGACTCTGAAAATACAAATATGCTTCCATCTCTGTTGGCCCTCAGGCTGTCTCTGAAGCCTCTCGTCCCTTCCTGGTATTTCACAAATCTCTAGGTTATTTAGTATTATTGAAATTTCTTTTAAAGCATTAGCACCCAAATATTCTTATATAGGTCTTCTATAGCTCTTTCAAATACTTATGCAGGCAGTGCATTCAATAAAAAACTCCTACCTAATGCCTTCTAATTTGCTATTTACCTACAGGCAAAAATCAGTATTTTGTATTCTTCAAGGAGAATTTAGAAGTTAACCTAATAAATGTATCTTATCTATGGCCTGGAAAGTTTTCATTTCTACACACTTCGGTGGCTGTGTTTAACATGTGATACCCATCAGTTAGTTTTTACTGGGGAAAAATGAACTGTATTTTAGATAGGACACAAGTCATGTTGTTTCTAGGCAAATTTCTATATACACATTAATTACTCACTAGTATTTTGTCCACATGAATAAGCTTCCTTAACATACAGGTTTTTGCTAAACTAATTGCAACCACATTTTTAAAGCAAGACACAATATGATCCCTAACTGAAACACTTCCTTAAACGTGGACTGTATCTCTGTTGTATAAGGAAAAGGAGAAGGATTTACCTTTTTGAACAGCCGTGCTTACCCAATAGTCATCAATAATGCTAAGGGACCATTAGAAGAAATGCTGCTTGAGAGTGAATAACATGGCTACTTACTGCTCTGGGCAGTCAAAGCTCACCCTCAGTCTCGGTTTACAAGTGGTAACCCTTTTCTTTTCATTTACCAGGTCTCAGTTCTCCATTCGTCTGAAAACACGTTCCTCCCATGGGATGATTTTCTATGTCTCCGATCAAGAGGAAAATGACTTCATGACGCTATTCTTAGCCCATGGCCGCCTGGTTTTCATGTTTAATGTTGGCCACAAGAAACTGAAGATTAGAAGCCAGGAGAAATATAATGATGGATTGTGGCATGATGTAAGTGGAAGGCAGAGACTAGTAGTACCTGCAAATACCCACCACTGGCAAATGAACTGACGCTAATGTCCTCCTGTGGATTTCTCTAGAAACAGCTATTTAAAAGTTGTTTCTACATGCACATAATTCAGTTTTTAAAACTTTTATTAATTTCTTATAAAAACCCTGAAGCACACTATTTAAAAGAAATACAGATTGAATATAATTTTCTGACCAATCAACTTTTTTATTTTAATGCAATTATTTTGACCAAAGAAGCAATGGCCAACACAAACTGAAGTTTGGTTTCCAAGAATTTTTTCCCTTGATTTTTTCCTACTGCCTATAATGTTCTAAATATTCAACAACAATTGGTGAAAGTCTTTTATGGACTAAGCTTTGGAAGATACAAAGTGAGAAGTATATCTGTTAAGAAAACAGGATATAACAGGGGGAACTGCCTAAGTATTGAAGCAAATCAGTGTGTACAGATTGGAAAAACTAAATAAGATAAGCTGACTTAAAATAAATTGCAATAAATTTAGGAGATAGCATGTGGGCTGGCCAACTGGAAAGAGCTCTGTTAAATATAAGCTGAATTCAGAAATTAAGCCTGTAACTTTCAGTCAAGCTTTAAAGGAAGAGACAAACTCTGACCTTCAGAGAAGGACTACTTTTTCTAAAGCACTGCTACAGATTTTCCACTGTATTGCAATGTGTAAAGTTGGGAGCAAAGGCAGCATGGCCTTCCCCCTAATCCTGGAATGTACTTGAGATGTGCTATTTTCCTTCTCTCCATCTAGGTGATATTTATTCGAGAAAGGAGCAGTGGCCGATTGGTAATTGATGGCCTTCGAGTTCTAGAAGAAAGTCTTCCTCCTACTAGAGCTTCCTGGAGAATCAAAGGACCCATTTATTTGGGAGGTGTGGCTCCTGGAAGAGCTCTGAAAAACGTCCAGGTGAGCCAGGCTGTGACTCGGTGGAGTTTGCCTTTAAAGCTGGAAGATCACTTAATCCGGCCCTCGTTGTGTGATTAGGAACCCGGCCAGAATGAAACTGTAGTTCAGCTGGAGATGGGTGTCCAAGTGAGTGTTGTTCTATGGGATGTCTGTCCACTCTGTGACATCGCAAAGTTAGGAGTGAGCTTTCAATTCTAGGGTAAAGGTGAAATGGAAAAAGTTTCAGAGGTATAAATTTCATGAAAATGTATGTCTCAAGAAGATGCTTATTAATTCAGCTAGTACCCATACTTTAGAGTAAAAAACAAAAAAAGGAAGTCATTTCATTATACATCATTGAGTGAAAAAAATCTTTCAGGCAATTATGTAAACTATGATCTCATTTTTGTTTCTTACACACACAGTTTGTAAATGTGCAAGGAAATATGGTTACTGCTGGGCAGAAGTGAGGGTATAGTAAGAAACATGTTATTTTTATAACTTAAAAGTTTAAAATATAATTTTAACTAGTATTAAGGGGAATGCATAAAAGACTACATTTTTCTTATGTAAATATAGCTTTAACACAGAGTTAATACATTTCTAAGACTCGTTAATATATGCAGATAAAGCAAAAAAGGGGCGGTGGGATTTATGTTTAATTAGATTTTAGGTGAGTAGTCCTAATTTTATGACAACCACTTTCAAAGATTTCAAAAGCAGTGTGAACTCAGTTATCCAAATGGGCCCAGTTTCATGTCCTGTGTTATAAATGTTCAAGCACACAAACAGCTATGAAACCAGAAATGCAATCTTTCTGTTTATCTAACTGTAGTATTGACTTAACAGTTAAGAAGTTCACTACCCCTCATCAGTGTTAGGTGATCTTGGGTATAGCTATTGTTCTTGAAGGAAAATGAACTAGGATACTTCTAATATTCAGTTTGAAAACACAGCTGCAATTTATTTGGTCATGGCATATGTAAAAATTTTTGTAGCTTAACTACTTCAGGCTGACATTAATCAAAAACGAAATTCCAGTTTCAAAGAATTAGTTAAAAAGCAACTACCTAGAAAACTATCGATCATTCAGATAGCTGAAATAAATAAGGAATTGCTTGGTTTCTTCCAAGATTCGAATCCCTTCTTTTTTATTCCCTTTGGTGTGTCTGTATTGAGAAAATAGATTGTAAGGAATGTCTTCTTCTCTCAGATAAACTCAGTCTACAGCTTCAGTGGCTGTCTCAGCAACCTGCAGCTCAATGGGGCCTCCATCACCTCAGCTTCTCAGACATTCAGCGTGACTCCTTGTTTCGAGGGTCCAATGGAAACAGGAACATACTTTTCAACAGAAGGAGGATACGCAGTTCTAGGTAACAATGACTTATGTTGAAAACATGAATCATGAACCACTTCTTTCCCAGAAGTGGCTTACAGGGAATTGGGGCCGAGTTAAAACATCAGAATGCCAAACTCTCTCAGCTCTAGCGAACAGCCTCTTTCCCCAAGGACCAATCTCTCCCTTCCTGCCTCTCCAAACGAGATACCCATGCCCATGCCTCTTTGCTTTTCCCACCAGAGCATCTCCACAGCTGCCAAACCTCTGGATGTAGACCATTTGGGCTCCTTTAGAATTTGCTGTGCTGCTTTGTGGTCTGCTTCATATCAGCTCCCGACACCCTGTTCTCCAGGTCTTCTCTGTTCCCGCAGGGCGTGCATGACCCATTGTCCCTACTAAAGGAAGTTCCACCTCCTCCCTTGCCCTGCAACGCCAGAAGATGGCACTAACCTACACAAATTTTATTTTTGAATTTTTATTCTCCCTGACTATTACTCTCATTCATTCAACAGTTTTTATTGTGTGCTTTCAGTATGACAGTCCCTCTGCCAGGTGATGGAACATAGTAGTTCCAAAAAATAAATAAAATCTTAACGGACTACTCACCATCACCATCCAATACATTGCAACATTCTTTAGCGCAACCATTAGGTGTGAGCATCAGGGTAGGTGTTGGGAAAGAGGATAGGAGATAGGTATAAAATGTTCCACAGGTTCCCTGCTCTCAAGCCACCTAGACACTTTGTGCATCCCCTTGAAGAAAGACATTCCAGTGCAGCCAAGTGAACCTTCTTAAACCACTGCCATGCTCAAGAGAGTAACCAGAGGAAATGTTTTCACTCTCATCCAGCTCATGATTTAACTTCCCTTTCCTTTTCCCTACTAAAACACCACACTCGCATTCCTCTGTCCTTCATTAAATTTCAGTGAGAAGACATGGAGATATGGATACCTTAAATTGATAGCAACCTGCACAATTTATGTTCTCCGTAAACATTAACTATTAATAGCAGGAAAAATTAGAAAGTTATTTATAAGAAGACACATCAAGTGGACATTATTAAGATGTCCAGTTTGCAATGAGTCTCTTGGAGGAAACAGCTATTCTTCAGAATTCATTTCCTTACATCATTGCAATAGATGTTCCTGACTGCCTTTGCTGATCACGCATTCTTATAAGATGCTCTGTAGCCCTGAATCAGTTATCTTTTATTTGTTTAACAATGGCTTTATAATACAGATCTGATCAAGTCGGCTTTGTTGTTTAATGAATTCCAAATAAAATCTAACTTCCACGCTTACACACAGAGCCCCTCCACCTTGCTACCTCTTCCCCTTACAGCGAACAGTCCAGCCACACTGGCCCCCACAGTGCCCTCCAAACATTCCAGCCTCTGTGCCCACTTTCTCACTTTGGAAGCATTCAATGGTCCTGCTAGTTGGAACCAATTCCTCTGCCCCAGAGCTCCCACAGCCACAGCATATCTTCAGCGTGCTGCCCCCACCCTACACCCCACAGGAGTGATGTGCTAGTATCTCAGTCCTCCACAGAGCTTTCCACAGTGTGTTCAACATGGAAACTGCCACTTCCTACTTATCTACTGAAAAACGCATCAAACTTTCAAAACAGATTCAAAAACATATTATTACAAAATCACACCATAGTTACAAACATTAGGTTGCTGTTCTTGAGACCTACTGCTATTTCTTTCCACAGACGAGTCTTTCAACATCGGATTGAAGTTTGAGATTTCGTTTGAAGTCCGTCCCAGAAGCAGTTCTGGAACCCTTGTCCACGGTCACAGTGTCAATGGGGAGTACCTAAATGTTCACATGAAAAACGGGCAGGTAGTGTGTTAGCAGTCGTTTTCACAGTCCGTCTCCTATGGCCTTGGATTCTAGAGCGAAAGCAGATTTATTTTACAGAATGATTTCATTAATTTTTCCTAACTGGAAGAAAAAAAACACAGGGAAGCTATAGCATGAAATTCAATCAAATGTATGCATTGGAAATTGATTTGTTTAGAACAAAGAGCCATGAAAATGTAGCACAGATTTTTTTTTAAAAGATGAAGAACAATAACCATATAATTAAAGGGTTTTAACAAAAGTTAGACCTTTTTAAAACAAATGGAAACAGCAAACATCCCCAACCATCAAAACCAACAAACACCACAACACGTATCTATTATATGCACCAGGTAATAAGTATATTATCTTTTTTTTAAGATTTTATTTATTTATCTTAAGAGGGGAAGGGAAGGAGAGAGGGAGAGAAATATCAATGTATGGTTGCCTCTCATGCATCCCCTGCTGGGAACTGGCCTGCAACACAGGCATGTGCCCCAACTGGGAATCGAACTGGCAACCCTTTGGTTCACAGCCGGTGCTCAATCCACTGAGCTACACCAGCCAGGGCTGTATATTATCTTTAAAGCTAGAAACAAAAATTGTTATAATTAAACACCATTTTCATTCTAAAACATTACCAAAGAGCATTCATGAGATTATTCAAATATAAAAAAAAGCAACGTATTATATTTTATTGGTGTCCTTAACTTGATACATGTAACTGATTTTTATTTGAGTTCTGATCCATCCTTTTAAACTATATAATAATAATATGAATCCTTACATGGTGCTTACTGTGTATGAGGTGCTATTCTAAATGCTCCATATGCAGCAATTCACTTAATCCCCCCAATGGCTCTGTGAGGCAGATGTCATCACCGTCATCCTTGTTTTACAAATGGGAAAACTGGCACAAAGTGGCAGAGCAGGGACACGATGCAGCCAGTCTGGCTCCAAAGTTCATGCCCTGCACCATGACCATAACTGCTTTGTGTAACGTCTTTAAAAGTTAAAGGAATTGATTTTGTTATCTTATTATATCTCTTCCCCTTCTCTCCTATCATCATTTTGTTCTCTCTTCGGAGCGTTCAGTTTAAACTATTGCTACAGCCTACTGCAGAGTGACCCCTTGTGTTCAAATTGCTTAGTGTGTGAGGCTGTTTGTTCAAGTATTGCTTCCCTGTGAATTGTTTAAGAAATGTAGTTTTATCCTGATGAAGAGAAATGAAATTAAGATGAACAATGCACCCTGTCTGTCGCAGGTCACAGTGAAAGTCAACAATGGCATTCGAGACTTTTCCACCTCGGTAACGCCCAAGCAGAGTCTCTGTGACGGCAGGTGGCACCGCATTACAGGTGAGAAGAGCTGCAGGTCCTGGGTTTTCTTTGTAACGTGAGTCTACTCACCCACCTGTGGAATGGTGTTTGGCGAGAGTAAGACTATAACTTACATGATGGAACAGATGATAAATGAGAGTCTAGAGTCAGCCAAGAAGAGAACCAAATGTTACTGTACTAAAATGTGTATATTGAATCCACATGTATTTGAAAAAATATGAATGCTGCCAAAATAGTCTTGGGGAGTTATTTAAATAATACATAACTTATGGGACAAAAACATGGCAGTGTTTTAAATATTCCTAAATATTTATATGAAAAGAGTATCTTATATAGCCTCCCTTTCAAAGGAAAATGTCACAGAGATCGCTTGCTTAGACGTTGATGTTTTCAACGATATAGAAGAAAATGGGGATTTATTCTGAATAAAAGCTATTGCTGTGATAAATCAGTCCCTTTCACGTGAAAATGGATCCCTGCAGCGCCACCTGTGACCAGTCTCTGCCCTGCGTTCTAGTTATTCGAGACTCCAATGTGGTTCAGCTGGATGTGGACTCCGAAGTGAACCATGTCGTTGGGCCCCTGAATCCAAAACCAGTCGATCACAGGGAGCCTGTGTTCGTCGGAGGTGTTCCAGGTAAGAGCTGTTTAATAAGGACAAGTTCCAGATCCAAAAACAATAACTTCTCATCATCGTTGTTACAATATTAAGAACTGAGCTATGTGTTATCATAGTTTACCTGACAACTCTAAGGATTTTATATGCAATAAAATTTTCCCTTTCATGGGAAAAAGCACACTGGCAACTGTGACTCCTCCCAACAAAATAACGCCTATGAACTAGACCCCAGCATTCTGATCAGCAGATATTACTCTCCCTCTGCCAGTCTTGCCTATTTTTTTCTTTCCCCTTTACATAGCCCAACTCAAATACATACAGTGAAACACACACTATTTTATCTCTAACACAAAGAACACTCCTCTTCTAACACTGCTCTTGAGTCTGAGAATCTTGGAGGACTAAAAGTTTGCCAATGATTGCTCCCCTTGCTTAGTAAGAAAGAGGAGAATACACAGCTCTCCCTGTCCAGATTAGGCCGAATTTCACAAACAGTTGTTCCCAGGTAGCAACATCTCCTAAGAGAGGTTCCCAGCTGCAGTTCTGGAATCATCATTAGCACCATCGCTGCTGTCATCTGCCAAGATGTATATATAGTCCAGGATGGTGAGAGGAAGACACTTACGGACACCCCACAATTGTTTTAAACTTTAGATGCAAGGACCACGGCCTTTTACTGAATGTGTCTGTTTTCACACATTTCACTAATTTGGAAAAACCGAATGCTATATATAGCTGAAGAGAAAGAAATAAGAAGATAATCAAGCTTTTACATCTGGAATTTGGTGTGGAGCTTAAGGAAAAACATGATTTTCCTTGCCTCCTCTAACTGGGTTACTTTAGACTAACCCATGTAAAGGCAAATTAGGCTTTAAGTAGGAGAACGAGAAACCACACATAAAATTATACATCTGACTTTGGGTATTCCCAATATAGTCATAACTAAATTTTCTTCTGCTTTGCAAAATGTAAATTTTTCAAACACCAGTATTGACAATGATAGTAACTCACTGATGAAATATTTGGGACACCCTTTATTTTCACATTCCCTTCCCATCTCCATTCCTGGACCCTCTCCACCTGCTTCTGGTTTCCATTCTGAAGGGGAATCTTGGCCAAGGCCACCACTGCATTCACATGGGTACCATGTAGAAAATGTGTCATATCATTTCTTACATTGCCTCACATTTCTTTCATTCTAGAACTCACAGTATAGTTCAAATTTCCTAAGGGCCTGCAGGATCTAGTTGAGCACAGTATGCAAGGTCCTTAATCATCTGACCCCTCCTTGCCCTGCCTTTGGGTCTTCCCACACCTTCCGGGACTTGCCCCTGAGTGTTCAATGATGCCCTCTGCTCCAGGTCTTTGCACAAGTGCACAGGGCCTCAGTTTCTAGAAAATGTTCTTCTGTTTTTCCTCCTCTAGTGCCCTTCAAAAAACAAGTTCTCCCACTCCTCCCCCAACACAATTCCATGTTGACCTTTAGGACTCAGCTCAGACTTCTGCTTGCACACATGTGCCCTTTCTCTCCCTAGAATGTGCTATGCATACCACTGTTGCAGCATTTATAACACAATGTTGTTGAAACTAAATAAATAGTATGCCCCTTGCTGCCAGGGAACTGACATCATTCAACACACAACAACGGTCTACTAAGCACTGTGCTAGGTTCCAGAAGATGGACAAAACAAGCATAGCATTTCTTCATGGAAGTTATAATATTTGTTCTTTACTTTGCACTATATCATTGCAAACAAATATTTGTCTGATTTGTGTTAGTTTTTAAAGTCTGATCCCAGCATTACATACTGCCATCATTGCTCACTACAACACTGGCTAAGCTCCACAAACTGGGTAGGCAAAGATGCACCTGAAGCCAAATTCAGCCTGCCTGAGACACATAATGAATAGCAAATGTTAGCTAATGAGCCAGCACTAGGAACTAGCAGGCCAGGGGGGCCTAACCACCAGCCCACAGCTTTTATTTCTTTCCAGGAATCATGCCAGCAAACTTAGAACAAAAGCAATTTTAATTTAAGCTGAATGTCATTAATTGCATCATTTTAAGCTTTTTAAGATTAATTCCACCAAAATTACATCAGAAACTGGGGCATGAAACACCATAACTAAAGGAAATTAGGCATAAATAAAATCCCTACATCAACTGAATTCTCCTGGAATCCCAACCATTTCTCTTTTATTACATGGAATCTTGGTGATATTATTTCTATTAATAAAGTTACTGTATTAAAATTCAATGATATATACCAAAATGAGTCCACTTTTTTGAATGATAATTTAAAAATCAAAATTAAAAGTAAAACAAATTTAAGTTAATATTGTCAACAGAGAGAGAGAGAAAGAGTTCTGACCATTCATTCCTCCGCTGAAAACCCTGCCTTTCTCTGTATACGCCCAAGCTTTCAATCTAAGGAATGTTCCCACTTAAAATCATGTATTGATTTTATTAATCATTTACATTAGGCTTCTGGAGCACTTTATTGTCTTTACCAACAATAAATTGTGTGATGAAATATGCACACCAAAATTTCTGTATGAATTATTTCCTCTAAATGAGGTCCCCGTGAACTAAAAGGTGTAAATTTGGGCAGAATCAAAATCCATGTTCTAAAACTAGTCTCCAAAATGGGTAGAAGAAAATAGATATTTCTACCTTTACAGTCTTTCTTGTTCACTCATTTTTATTCTGGTGATATATGTTGAACAGGTTTAAAGAATATATATAATCATACTAATCTAGAGAAAGAGAGAATTGATCTTTCAGGCGCCTTCCAAATCTAAAACTTTATAATTATCATTGTAAATATGAAATGCTATTTCCATGATTCATTTTCAATACAAAGCTTCTGCATATTCTTAACCTATCTTGCTTAGAAAACTTATTACAGCTGCTTGACGTTTAATTTGCTGTGCTCTATTATGTTCCTTCCTGAGTTACTGATTTCTAGGTGTTTTGCCTTTTATCTGCTACTGCTCACAAAGCTATTTGTACATAATAATAAGCTTTGACTAAATGGATTTTAATTTAATGATTTTCTAAGCTGTCTAAATTGCTTTAAATTATATTGCTTCTATCATCCCAGCACATTTAATTGTGTCTGTCCAATAAATAAGCATAAGGCTTCTTCTAGATCTCTAATTAAGATAAGGGAGGAAAGTTCTCCTGGCATACCACAGGGCACCTCTGCCCACACAAGGACTGGGCTAGTTATTACCCTATTTATAGTTCTTAAACCCTGAGCTCAGAAACATTAACATTTGGTTTATTTAAATTCATTACTTTTTCATTATATTTTATGAGCTTGGCAAAAATGTGGAGGCTTAAGGGTGAGCAATAATGATATGAATTAAATAGAAACATTAACCAAGTCCAAAAATAGTATAGAAGCTAAAATCCACTCCCCACCCTTCTCAGCAAAAGACAAAATAAATGAGGCTCATGTGAACTCCAAAAAATATAGGTAGATCCTGAAAATTTACCGCTGACGCTTTACGTGTAAGTGGCAAATTGCAGCCTTGGAAGACAGCTAAAACATACTTAGAAATTTGATGGTGACAGGCATGGCAAACAAAACTTTATAATCACCACATGTTCAAAAGCATGTTATTTTCCTGAGAAAATTAGTGAATAATTACATTCCATTTTTTGATGCATGTATCATCTTGATGTGATCAATTACTATGTATATTTTTACCATGAAGTATTATCTGGACTTGGAAGCCTTCAAGTGCAAATCTTTGATTTCTTTCTTTCTTCAGAGTCTCTACTGACCCCACACTTGGCCCCCAGCAGACCCTTCACAGGCTGTATCCGTCACTTTGTGATTGATGGGCGCCCAGTGAGCTTCAATAAAGCAGCGCTGGTCAGCGGCGCTGTGAGCATCAACTCCTGTCCAGCAGCCTGACACAGCAGAGCGGAGACGCCCAAATACAAAGTTCTTTACAGCACTGAAGGGAACACAAAGCCAGCGGGAGGAACAGCACCTCTTCCTCTGGTGGCATCTTTCAGCTGGTGGGGCAGGACTTAAATGAATGAATGAATCATCAGGGACTGGATGTTTATTATTTCTCATTCGGATTCTTACCTTGGATCCAAACTGTCTGCAATGTATGAAAATTGAATGAGTGTTAAACTCACCTGTATTACTTCCTGCTGGTGAAATTACTGCTCCTGTTTCTAATAAAATAGGAGGAATTCTGAATAAACACTGGCACACATTTTTTAAAGTATGGCTAGAGTCTCATATGCATCTTTTCTTTCAAAGGTAACTTCCAATCTAGACCAAAATGTTTTTGGTATACTGTTCTTTATTCTAGAAAATTTTTTCTAATTTACATAAAATCTAAAATTAGAAGAAAGATTTGCTTTTAGCACTTTTATTTAGTCTATCAGTGTAGAAAGAATATTTTAGGTTTATAGCAGTTATCAAGCTTTAGTAAAGTAAATTTCTAACAAATCGTTAGCAAATTTAAAGTATAATTTGATTTTTTTCTAAATCATGAATAAGGAATTAAACTACTTTTTTTCTTATTTCTTTAAAATAAAAATAAAACAGTAAATATGAGGAGGATCCTATAGATAGCCTCACAAACATTAAGCAGAAAGAATAGGACAAAATAATAAATTTGATTTAAAAGTATAAAAGCCCTTCTACTAAAAATTTCCCTACATATCTGTAATATAACTAATCTTATTTCTAAAATTTTATGATCTTTTTTAGATATATATATCAATAAAGACTAGAAAAAGAAAAATAGACTTGAATAACTGGCGGAATATTAAAATACAGAAACTGAAATAAAATAATTATAAATGAAAAAATAATTAAACTTGAAAACAAAATGAGGGAAAATAGGCCCTCATATCAACAAGATTGATGATATGGAAAAAATAACTTTGGAGCAAGGGGAGGGGATGAAATATTTTGAGGAATTAGTAAGGGAATAAAATAATGTCTTACCTTGGAAATGTTATATATGTACATTTAAATTCCCTTGCTACCCTTCTGTCTCAGGTACATTAATAATAATGTTGAAGACATAAATTAAAATAGCTAATATTAATTCATAGAGGACTTACTGAAGTTAATTTCATGTGATGATCATACTAATTCTATAAGGTAGGACTTGCAGATGAGAAATCTAAGACTTCAAACAGTAAAGTAAATTGTCAGTTGTCATTCAACCAGACTGAAGAGCCAGGGCTTGAATGAGGGGCAGCATGACTACCCTCCTCACTTTCTGCCTCCAGAGGACTGTCTGCCTTCAGGCCAACTCTCAGCTAGTCTCTAAAGCTAGGATCACAAACCCAAATGTCCATGCAGACATTGAAGTGCCCTAAAGCAGCAGCTGGTGGGGTGTGACTGAGCAAATCAATAGGGCACTGGCCATAACTGTCTAGAAATACAACAGGTGCTCGATGCAGCTGACTGTCACCATGACAGAACACAAGTCTTAAAGGGTCAGAACATCCAAAAGAAGATGGGAATATGAAATGGCAGTGTTTGGGGGTGGGGGAGACAGGAGGTGTAGTCTAGGACCTTAACTGGTACAGACTGGAACCCTTGCCTCAAATACACCAAACCCTTACAATACTGACTCTTTAATACCTAAAGAGTAAGTAGTGGCTCTGAAACTGTCTACCACTTTCTTTTCCAAAAGAGTTCCCGAGGTGTTCTGGAAGGCCACTCCACCCTCTCATTCTCAGCAGGAGCACAGAGCAAATTAAACTGGCCAAGTGGCAGACCCCGTCTGGACCTCCCGCAGCCCCGCAGCCCCAGCAGGCACGCACGCACACACACTCACATATACAGGGACTAAAACCACAGAAATTCTTCTACATTCTCCAAAATGTAGAAAGGAATTTGCAGAGTTAGTACTTCATATTCTTACGCTTGGCAGAGGAGACTCTACTGGCCCATATACCTCTTACGACCACACAATGATTTTCTGAAACTTTGAACTTACCATTTATAAGAGCTTGATTTAGGTCTTAGATGGGACCCTCATCTTCTCCAGTTTCTGTCTAGAGAGAGAATAACTAGATCTTTTTTCTTTGAGTCAAACATAGGATATGGGAACTTCATATAGAGAAATACGTGTTGGGTGCTCCTACTCTTTTGACCAGTTGTTTTCATGGTCCCTGCCAGTCCAGAGCCCCTTCAAAATGGAAGAGGCCTCCCACAGCCCCAGTGCAGAGGAGTGGCTACAGGAGTGGGCAAAGGAGTCCACTGCCTCCTCTCAGGGCCACAGCTGATTAGATGAGGGAACCATCCAACAGATTCCCAGTGAAGTAACACCCCATTATTTGGTGGTATGAGAAGAGGAATTCCAACAATCGAATGTTTTCTCTTGAAATTTTGAATTGAGAAGCATCGAAAGAATCAAACAGTAAAAGATAAAGCCAAAATGAAACTATCTGAAAGGATGATTTTAAGTGCTTACCACACACATGTATAGACACATTTTTAAAAAAGCATTTTCCATTCTGTAGACCTAGGAGAATATATCAACCTGCCTTTGTCTACAAGCTACCGCAGTTCTCAGCCCAGAGTTTGATGGGGTGGGAGGAGGACATATTTCAGCAGATACGGGAACATATTTGTCTTCTGAACTCCCACACTCTTGTGTGCAACACGGAAGTACAGGGTGTCAAGTAGTCTTTCCTGTTTCCTAAACTGGTGAGTATGGCCTATAGCTGGGACCATAAAACAATAAATATGCCACATTTAAGTTCAGACTGAAGTGTGGAGCCAATCCCTTCTCTGTTAGAACCGACTCAGGGAAGCCGTGTCAGCACAACCAGCAGTGTGACACTACATGCCCCCAACACATCTCACACACACACACACACACACACACGCAGAGTCTAGAGACTAGAAAGGCAACACAGGAGGAGGAATTGTGCAGAGTGTAAGCTCCACAAATTTTTTTGTTATGCATGATTGTGTTATAAAAGCCTAGAATAGTGTCTGACATGTGGATATATACTCCATAAATATTTGAGTAAATTTCAGAAAAGCAGAGTTTTCACAGAAGTTATCCCTTTACCACACCTTCCTAAGCAATCACTTAGAAAGTGCTTGGGAGTCTGAGAAAAAGAAAGCGGATTCTCCTGAGCCTCAGAGATCTCTGACTTGCTTGAGGGTGTGGAGAGAAAGTGAGGGAAAAAAACGGCAGCACCCATCAGCAATGAAGAAGCACCCCCTCATGTCTTTGGCAACATTTAAGTCCTGAGAAGTCTCAGTAAGTTGGGAAGAAGGTTGGCTGCCATGGATAAAGCCACATAGTTTATAAACTTCACACCAGAGGGCACCATTCCCAGATGACACTATTAGGGGGCAAGATCCAATGGGCAGGGGCCTCGCTGAGATTGAATGATAAAAGCCCAATATCATCTGCCAAAGCACGGGACAGGGAGGCACACATTAAGAGATATGTAGCTTGACACTGCCCATCAGAAGCAACAGTTGATTCTCTCGAGAAGTTTCTGAAATACAGTAATGATGTCTGCTTAGCATTGAGTCCCATAGTGAGTTTACATACTGAGTATACAGTGTGCTAGATCAGCCACCTCAACAGACCATGTTTTCAAATGATCATGTCCTAAGACAGCTGATTAATGAGCTGATGTCAACCTGGAGGCAAATTATAAAGGAATGAGGCAGTGGGATTGCCCTAAGACCTGTTTATAATAGTCCCTTATAGAAATATCTCGGAACACAGTCAATGTGGGAAACCATTTGTTCAAGTCAGAAGCTTCAGAGGACTGAAGAATTCATCCATGTTTTAAAAAATTTCATTTATCCTTTAAATGTCTTTATAATCTGTAGTAATGTCCCAGTCTCATTCCTGATATCAGTAATTTGTCTTTTTTTCCTGATAATTCTGTCTAGAGGTTTGTAAATTTTATTGATCTTTGTAAAGAATCAGCTTTTGGCTTCATTAATTTTTTCTATTTGTCTGTCTTTTATTTTATTGATTTCTGGTCTTCATTATTTCTCTCTCTCTGCTTATTTTGGGTTTAGTTTGTTCATCACACCTCCTGCTTTCTTAAAGTAAAAGCTCTGATCATTGACTTAAGATGTTTCTTTTTCCCTTATGAAAAAAAATCAATGTTTTCTAAGCACTACTAAACTGCACTCCATGCATTTTCATATGCTGTTTGGATTTTCACTCACTTCAAACCTCTAATTTTGGCATCATTTTTTTTTATTCATGGGTTATTTGGAAGCATCATTTGATATCCCAATATTTGGAGATACCCCAGATATTTTTCTTACTAATTTCTAATTTTTTATGGAACATACTTTGCATATTCTGCATACTTTGCCTGCTTTTCAGTTCATTGAGACTTGTTTTGTCCCTACATATGGTCTATTCTTGGTCAATTTTCCACATGTGCTTGAATAGAAGTACTGTTATACTGTCATTCTGCCGGTTGTGGACAGATGTTGAAATCTCCAACTGTAAACACAGAGTTATTTCTCTTTTCAATTTCATTGGGTTTTTTCTTCATGTACTTTGAAGCTCTGCATAAATATTTTTGTTATGACCTCTTTATCTTCTCAAAATGTCTCTTTATCCTTGGTAGTATTCCTTGCTCTAAAATCTTCTTGTCTATTATTAATATAGCTATTGCAGCATTTTTACTTGTCTTTTTTAAAAAAAAGATTTTATTTATTTATTTTTAGAGAGAGGGGGAGGGAGAAACAGGGAGAGAAACATCAGTGTGTGGTTGCCTCTCACATGCCCCCTGCTGGGGACCTGACCTGGCCAGAGACCTAGGCATGTGCCCCGACTGGCATTCAAACTGGTGCCAGAGGCTGGCACTCAATCCACTGAGCTACTCCAGACAGGGCTGACTGAAAAGTCTTGTCTTTACAATGTTATTTGATGGTTTTAAAGATACTGTTCCATTGTCCTTTAACTTGCATGTTTTCTGATGAAGTGTATACTTTCATTTTTATTTTTGTTCCTCTGAATGAGTGTATTTTTTTTTAAGATTGTTCCTCTGAATGAATGTGTCATTTTTTTAAGATTGTTTCTTTATCACTGATTTTCATATAATTAAATTGTGTGGTTTTTGTTTGTCTTGTTTTCTACATGTTTATTCTCCTAAGGTTGGTTAAGCTACTTGGATCTATGAATTCATAGTTTCCATCAAATAGGAAACAATTCAGCCATTATTTCTTCAAATATTTTTCTTATCTCCCCTCTCCTCCTTCTGGAAAGCCACTAACATACAGGCAAAAGTAAGTTTATAGTTGTTCGTATGAAAGATAATACAATACCTAATAAATAATACAAGAGTAAACTATTTCATGTAATCACAACTGTAAACCTTTTGTCTTCATCCTTATATATTAGACTGCTTCATATTAAAATATAATATTTATGCTTTTTTTCAGTCCTTTTTGTTGTATTTTATTTTCTATAATTTGGAACTGTGTCTTCAAGTCCATTAATATTTTTTCTTCAGTATCTAATCTACTTTAAATCCCATTCAGTTTACATTCTTTAAGTATTTTTCATTGATTACAGTTTTCCCAATTTTTTCTTTATTCCCCCTCCACCCTGCCCCCCCCCAACTTTCCAGCATCCCCCCACCTTAGTTCATGTCCATGGATTATACATATAAGTACTTTGAGTCCTCTGTTTCCTATACCATTTATCTCTTCCCATCTATTTTATGCCTACTAATTATGCTTCTTCTTCCCTGTACCTTTTCCCCCATTCCTCCCTTCCCCCTCCCCACTGAAATCCTTCTGTGTGATGTCCATTTCCCTGACTCTGTTCTTGTCTTGTTGTTTGCTTAGTTTTTGTTTTTCATTGTTTTTCTTTTCTTTTGGGTTCATTTGTTTATAGTTGTGAGTTTGTTGTCATTTTACTGTTCATATTTTTTATCTTCTTTTTCTTAGATAAGTCCCATAATGTTTCATATAATAATGGCTTGGTGGTGATGAACTCCTTTAACTTGAGTTTATCTGGGAAACACTTTATCTGCCCTCCCATTGTAAATTAAAACTTGGCTGGATAGAGTAATCTTGGATGTAGGTCCTTGCCTTTTATGACTTCAAATACTTCTTTCCAGCCCCTTCTTTCCTGTAAGATTTCTTTTGAGAAATCAGCTGATAACCTAATGGTACCCCTTTGTAAGTAACTCTCTCCTTTCCCCTTGCTTCTTTTAGGATTTTCTCTTTGTCTCTAATCTTGGGTAACTTAATGATGATGTGCCTTGGCGTGTTTCTTTTTGGGTCCAACTTCTTCTTTGGGACTCTCTGGGCTTCCTGGACTTCCTGGAAGTCTATTTCCTTCACCAGATTGGGGAAGTTTTTCTTTATTATTTGTTCAAATAAGTTTTCAATTTCTTGCTGTTGTTTTTTTCCTTCTGGTACCCCTATAATTTGGATATTGGAAAGTTTCAGGTTGTCCCAGAAGTTCCTCAGCCTCTCTTCGTTTTTTGGATTCTTGCTTCTTCATTCTGATCTGGTTGGATGTTTCTTTCTTCCTTTTGTTCCAAATCATTGCTTTGAATCCTAGTTTCCATCGTGTCACTGTTGGTTCCCTGAATATTTTACTTTATTTTGGGTATCTCTCATTTGTTCTTTCATTTTTTTAACCAAGCTCAATCAGTTCTGTGAGCATTTTAATTACCAGGGCTTTAAGTTCTCCATCAAATAGATTGGCTATCTCTTCGCTTAGTTCTTTTCCTGAGGCTTTGCTCTGTTCTTTCATTTGGGCCCTATCACTGTCTTGGCACAGCTGATTAAGTTGTAAAGGGGCGGGGTCTTAGGTATCCCCCCCCCACCCCCTCCACCCTTGCGCAGCCCCCGCAGGACAACCTTCATTGCTGCGCTGTCTGTGGGGAGGGGCCAGAGATGGAACCATGCTGCTCATCTGCCTGTCTCTAGAACACTTTCCAAAGGACTCCTGTGAGACTGGGAGAAACTGCCACTGTGACACATCCCAAGGTCAGCTGGAGCCTCAGTTCTACCCTGAAGTCAGTACCTATGGTGCAACCCCAGGAGCTCTGCAGCCAGCCCTGCCCCCACAGCCTGCTGCGTTGCTCGCTGTGGCTGCCTGGTCTGCCGCCTTACTGGTCTGGTTGTTCTGGTCAATTTTTTTCTTTAATTCCTTGTTTGTCAGAGTTCCATGCAGTTTGGTTTTCTTGGTTGTTTATTGATTTTAGATTGGTTGTTATCCTCCTTTTGGTTGTGTGAGGAAGTGAAGAGTTTCTGTGCCTCCATCTTGGCCGGAACTCTTCCATTCAGTTTATATTCTTATTTCAGATACTGTATTTTTCATCTCTGAAAGTTTGACTTGGGTCCTTTCTATACCTGCCGCTTCTCTCCTCATCATGCTTTAATCCACCACTGTATCGTCTGCGGTAGCTTGTCTGTTAATGCTGTCATCTGTCAGTCTGAGTCTGTTTCTGCTGACTGGTTTCTTGACTTCAGTTTGTATATTCCTTCTTTTTCCCATTTGTGGTAATTTTTTATTAGGTGCTCGTCATTGTGAATTTTACATTTTTGGTGCAGGATTTTATTTTAGCTCTTTACATTTTGAGGAGTATTTTTTCCCTCCTTGGATGCAATCTAGTTACTTGAAAATAGTTTGATGCTTTCAGGTTTTGCTCAGCTAGCACAGGTCCAGAGCTGCCTTCAGTCTAAAGTCGTTCCTACCCCCCAACCCCAGCATCACCCCCACTGAAATAATATCTGGCTGAGTACTCAGTACTCCATGTATTAAAAGATCTTTCCACTATGGCTGAACCATAAATCACTCCCAGCCTTTTATGAGCTCTGAGAATTTTTAATCACTCCCTTCTCCTGTCCTGTTATTCTTTCCCCCACCTGGGACAATTACGTTTCTGGATTTTGTTCTCCTCACTTAAGGAAAATTAATTTTTATTTGGCAGATAATTAAGTCATTTGTGGATCACCTTGATTCTCTCAAATTTCATTTTTAAGCTCCGTTAAAGTTGATACACATCAGCTTTTAGTCCAGTGCTGATTCAGACCTCCTACTAAGGCGTGGCTTTTCTTAGGTCTCTCTGCTCGATGCCCCACATGTTTAACAAGGTCTTTCCACTCTGGCTGGTTGGAATTCAAGTGCCTGCCAGCACTGTGTGAATTTTTCTAGTTTATACATATGATATATTATTAATACCTTATTGTTACATAATATATATGATATATAAAACTCTTAGAATTTCTCCATTTATAAATCCCTGGAAGTTTTCTTTTTTACCTCATGCAGTGCATATGCATCTACATCCCTACAATTATAAATTTTTCATTTTCAAAGGCTTATATGTATGTATACCTTCAGGGGCTGCAAGGTAGACAAGAAACTAGAGGAACTGTACCTAATGCTAAAGTCAGTCTTTTGTAGAAGACCAGTTCATTGGATGGATGGGTACAAACATCAAGAGGAAAAGAAATCGGGCTAAGTTTCTTGGGACTATTGCAAAAAGAAAAAGAAAAGCATGAAGAGTTGGCCTAGACCTTAAAGCTGATCCTTAAGACTAATTTTAAAAAGCTCCACCTGAAGTTTCTCAATACAAATGGCAGATAATTTCAAGATAACTGGCTGGGACTTGAGGCACAGTGTGAAGATGGGCCATCATTTTTCTTGAAAAAAAAATGGGGCTAGAACTATACCCTTTACCTTATTATAATAAATGTAACCAATAACGCAAGCTCCCATGTGCAAACACTTTATATGCTTTGCAGATTAACCATGGACTAAGAACTTTCTTTGGTTTTTGGTATCCTTCCAAAATGCACAATTCATGGAGCTCCATTTCTCATCCATATAATTATTCTCTGGCAGATCATATCAAAAGATATCAAGCCAGAAACTGGCTTAGGGTATTCAAGTAAAAAGATTCAGCTAAAAGCAACTCAAATATAAGCAAAGGAAATAGGCCTAAAGCACATCAAACATTTAGAATGGACCCTTCCTGATTGATAATCAAGGTGGAATAAGCATCCTGAATTATTATTAATGATCCATTGATGATCTCTAAGGTACTTTCTAACTGTGAAATATTACTCTGTCTTATCTATCAAAAATAACTGATGGCTTATTACTACACATGTTTTACAGATGACATTTCTGTCTTTTCCTACTAAAAATAAATATTTCAACTGTTGTCATCATCCAAAGGTGCCACCGCTTTTATTTGTTTACCAGATCATAAGATGATACTGACCCACTCACTACCCTTGACCTAGTCAACCTCTACGAAAGACTTAATGGTGCTATTTAGGATGCATTTCCTTGCTGCTTTGTGCAGGCAGCTTTCGCATAGTCGCATAGACAGTGATGGGAACATCAGTTATTGTCAGGCAGTGACTTCCATGGCATCTTCGGAGCTGCCTAAACAGAAGAGCAAGTGACATGTAGTTAGATACTAAAAAGGAAACCTTTTCAGAGCACCTAAGTTTGAGTAAATGTTCAACTGTTTTAAATAATTTTGATGTCCTTGAATGTCACAAAGTACTTATGACAGTGGCACAGATGAGGCAGACAGTTTACACTTATGTTGCAAGGAAGTTGTAGTTATTGACACACATTTAGTCACAGGGAATTCATAACTACAAAGATAACCCTACAAGTGTTCATTTTGAAAAGTACACTATAATTGCTAAATGTCCAAAAATTTTTAAAAGGAGGGTGTGCATAATTGTAAACATGAGTGATAATACTAAGGCAATTTACACATATATGCAGCTTAAAATCACTTCAGTTGAGTCTATTTAAAATGTTAATGGAATTTCAGGTTTAAAAGAGCCCTTAAATGACCTCTAGTTCAAAAATACATCTAGTGCCTGAGATTCCTTTCCAGCATTTCCACCAAATCATCATCCAACATTAAACGTTTCTAAAGACAAGTGCTCAGTATTTCCCAAAGTGGCCGATTCCACCCTTGAATAACTGACTTCTAAAGTACCTATCTTAGTAAGCTTAAATGTGTGTTCTAAAAATTTTCACTTTTTAAAGAAACCTAACAATGTAATAGTTGATGTTTTACTATGGTAAACAGCAGAAAAGTAGAACTAATTATAGTATAGTTTTCTTCAATTTTGCAAGAAATTATTTTGTTTTATAGAATCTTCATGCTCTCTATCATTCTCCACCAAAGTCAAAGTGACACTAAATCTAAGGTCTGCGTCTTCATATTCAAGATTTGCCTGTTTAGTTGGAACTTATCTAAACATGAAACTATCAATAAAAAAAACACCAAAAATTTATTGAAAAAAAAGAATTGTCCTATCATTAAGAGTTACAAAGACTTTAGAGTTATAAAATACTCTGTGCTAAGAAAACCTGAGATCTGTTAAAACCAATTTAATAGCAGTGATGTCCCGGGCTTTCTCCTTGCTAATATTGAACATCTGCTAGAGCTCATATCCACAATGACAGACATTACGCATTCCCTCAGCTGGCAGGGGAAGAAGACTTTACCTGGCTGGTGATATCTCTTTCCCATTACAGGCAACACTGGACCTCAGCCCAGGTCCCAGCCCAACTGTAGAATCTCCTCCTTCCACTGGAAACCTCCGTGTCTGGGCCCCAAACCGAAAAGGCATAATTCACTGAAAACCTAGATTAGAAAGCTGTAATAATGGATAGGGGTGGGGGGGGGGGTAAGTTATCCTCAAATAGTCATTTGGAATTTTTTAATGTTAATATTGATATTTTGTTACAGGCATTTTCTAACATTCAGAAAAAGACACTAAAATATCTATAAAACTGTATAAATACTATATTATACAACTCTTCTTAGGTGCACTGTTAAGTCTTACAACAAATACAGAATGGCCACTAGTTAATAAAACTGTCCTATGGTTAACATAACCGAAGTCCATTTTTGCTGTGTGAAAAGAATTCAGTTTGCTTTTATGGTTATTGCAATCAATAAGCTAGAGCCCTTACTCTGACCTCCTACTGCCTCTCTGCCTGTCTAAGGCCTTGTCTTCCTTTGAAGTACAGCTGAGTTTCATGTCACCATGGTATCTTCAGCTAACCCTCTGATCCTGGTCATCATTCATTCCCCACTGCCTCTCTGTATTCACAGTGTATTAGTTAAGAAAGTGTCTTGGGAGAGTTGAATTGACTATGTGATCTTAGGCAAGGTACTTAACAAAGTATGCTTCCCAAGGATAAATCGGGAATAATAATAGTATCTACTTCCAGGGTATATGGAGGATTAAATAAAATAATACATGTAATGTATGGTACCTAACACAGAGTTAGTGCTCAATAAAAGTTAACTATTATTATTCGGCAGACACTACTAAACATTATTAAATATATATACATATATAATGTAATGTGTGTGTAAAAATACACACACACACATACAGAGCTATATAAAATAAGCTCTTTACTGCCTACTGTTGCCTCCGCTTGGAACCCTTCCCCACCCCAGTGCTCCCACCCTTTACTTGTTTAGAGCTGACTCATTCATTAAGTCTGAATTCATATTTCACTTTCCCAGAGGAGCCTTCCATAACCCCCTCCATTATATAAGTTTTAATAACATATTTTATTTCTGTTTTGTAGCACTTATCACCATTCTAATTCAGGATTTCTCAACTGTGACAATATTGACTTTGGGATAGGATAATTTTTGTTGGGGAGGGAGGAGACTGTCCTGGGCATTTTAAGATATTTTGCAGCAGCCCAGGCCTCCACCACTACGTGCCAAAATTGTACCCCTCTCCAAAACTTCTGACACTCAAAAATGCTTCCAGACATTGCCAAACAACATCTAGCAGAGAAGAAAGGTGGGGGGGTCACCTTCTATAGAGGAACCAGTACTCTAAACTTTTGCAAATGTTTTTGTTTAATCATTGTACCCATACCGCATTCCATGTTTTTGTCACCACTGGCTGACTCCTTAACACCTGGAACAGTGTCTGGCACATAACAGGTAATTAACAACTCTATCATATAAATTTGCATGTCTTCAATAAAAAAAATAGAAAAAATGAAAAATGTCTTACAACTGTTACTTGTGCCCAGTTTAGTATCCTATGCCTGGTAAATAAATGTTTATTGTGGTGATGATAAAACTAAATAAGGTTTAAGAATTTGATTATTATATAACAGTTTTTATAGACTGTCAATTATCAAGTAAAAATGTTAAACTCAATGACGAATTAGTAAAATCTATGGTTTGGTATAGCTATCTTATGTAGATATTAGGTTTTAGCTATTTTGCTAAAGGATGCATAGACTTACCAAAATAGGCTGAGTCTGATTCCCGTAGAGGTGAATAAATCAATTGCTTCTACTGACCTTCCATGGAAGCCTGAATTGCCAAAGGAATGATGATCAAATGTTCCAGTGACACCCAGAAATTGTGACATCAGACGATTCTTTTACATAGTTTCTTACCTGCTAAATAAGAAAATGTCACAATTCAGAGCTCCAGTAACAGCCTAGGACATAACTAAAAATTGTGTCTTCAAAGTTTGTTTGAAGGTTTTTTTCCTATTGTCACTGCCTTGTTTATTTTTCAGACAGTAATAATATTTTAATCTGCGAATGAATTTATCTGTACCTATTTTAGACCTACATTCTAATCAATCTGCACAAAATCTCATGAGATTCTTCTCACTTTGTATCCCATTTTCCTCACTATCTTCTAGATTTCTCTTTAACTAGTACCATAAATTATAAACCCAGTCTACCTATATCCTCATCCCCCTTCGATGGCCTCAAAGCACACGTTTATAAATTTCTCTATAGCTCTTACTGTGTAAGACTCTTTACAGCTCTCCCTAGTACCTGGACTACCTCTTTTCTGTGTCCTCAAAAGAGCCTTGAAATTCCCAAGGCTCTTTCCCAAATGACTGCAATAATGACAGTTGAGAAAGGAAGACTACATCTTGCACTGTCCTCTCCTGTTTCCCTGGGCCCTGAAGTTCTCGGTTTATAACATCTCTGCCAAAGGAATGATAATCAGCTGTCCTATTAACATCAATTATGACATCAGGAATTCTTTCACGTAGTCTTCTACCTGCTAAAGAATAAAATGTCTCAATTCATAGCTCCAGCAGCAAGCTGAAAATTATCTTCTAGGCTTCCCTCCCTCTCCCAATTTCTGTATCAACGGTAATCTTACTGAATGTAATACTTAAGTTTAACACTTAAGACAGAAATTTACTCTTCGATTAACCTTTAAAAAATCTTTTCCAGCTGAACTATTAAATGCTAGCAAGCATTTTTACATTTAATCAAAATCTTTTTTAATACCTACACTTAATGTTAAGTTCCCAGTGCTCTGTTTTCATATGATTTATGTTATAGGAAATTAGCACTTTACATAATTAAGTTGATAAAAGACAAAAATCTCACCACTACCTTCTTTTTCTCACTAGGGTGCTATCAGTGAATAGATGATTACAGTTTTATCTTAGAGCAACCATTTAACTGACTGTGTCACAGTCAGACACATTGAAATAACTGCTGGCCATTGTTAGCTAATGTATCCATCATCAGGACCTAAAGATTTGACCCTTAGGATGGCAATTTTTTTAATAGTTTAAAAATAAGAATTTTGACATCAGAACTAGATTTGAACTTTAAAGCCATATTAACTATGAGACTGTGGGCAAATCACTAAAAGTTTGTCCATTTAATATAAATCCCTTCATGTAGAGTTGTTTTGAGGAATAAAAATCTAACATAATAAAGCCGATATCTGGGATATAAAAATCAAATCAGCACATTTTCTTTTGCATAGTTCTTAAAATCAGAGTGTTGAGTCATGATTTCACTTTTTAGGCATCAATATATCTTTAAACTACAAAGTAAAGTATCTGCATGTGGTATATTCTTTAGTTCCTCTTATTACTTTTTTTACTAGTTTATTTGGCACAAGCTGTACCAAGTTTCTTTTTTTTTTATATGGGTGATATCAGGAAACAAAACAAACAGTAGCTTTAATCATGAAACTTTCCAGCACAAAAAATAACTTACAAGAGAACAAATGAACTTGACTCTCCAGCAGATCTTCACAGAGAAATGAACTAATAAGTGAAATGTAAATAATGGGTGGGGGGAGATAGTGAAACCTCTAAATATTCTCCTTAATTTTTTAAGCCCAAGAATAATAATCTTTCAATCCTCATCATATTGATTCATGACATGCAGAAAAAGAGTGGTGTTTGAACTAGTCGTCTCCCAAGAAAATAGATCCATTATTAGAATTCATTCATACAGCAAGTAATTGCTGAGGGTCCACCAGCCAGGCATGTGTTTAAAGCTGAAAATAAAATATTGAACATAACAAATACATTGTCTCTCCTAGTGGAGTTTCTCCTTGACTAGGGATAGCAAACCTAAATCTAAAGGACAAGTGGGCATCAACTAGATGGAAACAGGTGGGAAGAAAAGACAATGAGACATTTGGGGAGGAAACAACATGTGCAAGTCAACTGACAGGAAGGAAGACCATAGAAGACCTGAACTAATAGCAGAAAAATAAAGAAATCAATCAATCAGTCAGAAAAATAAGTTGAAGCTAAACTTTACTGAAACATAAATCCAAGTTAAAAATTTTAAACTTTATTTTATGAGCAAGGGAGCCCAAAAAAGAATCTTAATCTCTCAGGAAATACATATAGGTTTCACTGATTTTTCTCTATTTTGTTTTCTATTTATTTGATTTCTACTCCAATCTCTAGTATTTACTTTTTTCTGTTTAGTTTGGGTTTAATTTTTTTCTAATGTCTTAAAATGAAAGCTTAGGTCATTGATTTGAGGTCTACCTTCTTAACATAGGCATTTAATTTTATAAATTTTTATCAAGCACTACTTTACATTCAATGCACAAATTTTGAAAGTTCGTATTGTTCATTTCCTCCATTTAAAATTTCCCCTTAATTTCCTTCTCTGGCCTCTGGGTAAATAACCAGAGGCCAGATAAAATAATGTAGTTTTTTAAAATAAAAACTACATTTTGTTCTCAAATATATAGGAATATTCTACCTATATCTCTGTTATCAATTTCTTATAGTCCATTGTCAGAGAACATTTTGCATGGTTTGAATTTTTTTTTAATTTATTGACCTTTGTTTATGGCCAGAATACATTCTGTCCTGGTAAACAGTTGATATACACTTGAAAAGAATATGTATTCTGTTGTTATTTGGTCAAATGTTCTAGACATGTAATTAGTTGGCTCATGAAGTTGTTCAAGTCTTCTGCATTCTTACTGATTTACTGCATACCTGTCTATGAAATATTGAAGTAATGACATCTCCAGTTATAATTATAAATTCATCTGTTTCTCCTCTCCATTCTGCCAGTTTTTGCTTTATATATTTTGAAGCTCATTCATTAAATGCATACATATTTAGTAGTATTATGTCCTCTTGATGAATTGAAACCTTTATTATTATAAAATATCTTTCTTTATCCCTAGGAATACTCTTTGCTCTAAAACATGCTTTGAAAAATTATTAAATAAATAACAAAATAAACTATGCTTTGTTTAAAATTTATACAGGTACTCTTTATTTATTAGCGTTAACATAATGTATTTATCATTTTTAATTTTTTTTACTGTTAGCCTATTTATTCTTTATATTCAAAGTGGCTTTTTAATAAACAGTATATAGTTGGATTTTGCTGTTTTATCTATTCTAACATTTCCTTGCTTTTAATTAATCAAATCTTTTGTTATTTACATTTAAGATGATATAATTAAATTTAAATCTGTCCTCTTGCCATTTGTATTTGATTTGTGCTGTCAGTTCTTTGTTCACTTTTCCTTACTATTCTGTTCTTTTGAAGCAACTGCGTGTATTCTATTATCTATTTTATCTCCATTACTAATTTATTGCTATACAACCTTCATGTATTGCTTTGCTTTGTTTTGATTTGGTTTTGATTATTTTGGGCTTTACAATATATATTTTAACTTTTCAGTCTGCCTTCAGTAACATTACACCACTTCCCAAATACTAAAAGAAATGAGAATATATTCCATTTCCCACTCCCATCCTATTATTTTTGTATTATTTTGTCATATATAAAATAATGAACATTTTAATAATGAAATAAAGTAAAACATTTGACTTCTACCTATATCATAAACCCCACAATGTTATTGGTTTTTCTTTAAGCAATTATCTTTTTTAAAAATACATTTAAAAAACATTAGATGTCTTTTATATTTACCCACATAATTATCATTTTCAGTTTTCTTTATCCCTTTGAGTAGATCCAGATTTCCAACCAACATTGTTTTCCTTTTATCTGAAGGTTTTCATTTAACAGTTCTGCTCTCCAGGTGATTACTTCATTCAAACTTTTTATGCTTTTACTTCATCTTCATTTTTGAATAATATTTTGGTGCATATACAATCTTAAATCAACATTTTTGTTTCAAGTACTTTAAAGATTTTGTTCCACTGTTTTCTGGCTTACATTGGTTCCAACAGGAAAGTATGCTGTTATTCTTACCTTCATTTTTCTATATCTAGTGTGTCTTTTTTCTCTAGTTACTTTAATATTTCCTGTTTATCACTGATATTAAGTAATTTTATTATAATGTGCTTGGTGGAGATTTACTTCTGTGTCCTGTGTCTAAAGTTTCATTGAGCTTCTTGGATCTATGAGTTTATCATTTTTACCACACTTGGAAACTTCTCAGCCATTATTTTTTCAAGTATTTATTATTTCCTCCTTCTAGAACTCCCATTACATGAATACAAAGCTGCCTGAAATTGCCCCACAGCTCACTGAACCTCCTCTTTATTATTATTTTTTTTCTGTTTTATTTTGGATAGTTTCTATTGCTATGTCTTTACGTTAAGTACTGTTTCCTTTTGCAATGTCTAACCTGCTCTTAATTCCATCCAGTGTATTTTTCACCTCATACATTTTATTTCTTATTTCTGGAGGTCTAATTTGTGTCTTTTATATTTGTCTCTTCTTAATATTTTTATGCTTCCTTCTACCTTCTTGAATATAAAAAACTATATTTATAAGTTGTTTTAATGTCCTTGTCTACTAATTCTTTCATTTGTGCAATTTCTTGGTGTCTTTTTACTGGCTGATTTTTTAAAAATCTCATTATGGAGTATATTTTTCTACATCTTTGCATATCTTGCAACTTCTTATTTGATATGAGACATTGTAAATTGTGCATTGTTGAATGTTCTATTTTATTTTTAGTCTTCTAAGTATTTTCAAGTTTTATTCTGGGACACAGTTATTTGAAAACAGATTGGTCCTTTAGAGAATTGATTTCATGAGTTCTTAGGCTAGATCAGAACAGTCATCTGTAGTTAATTTTTCTCCACTAATGAGGCAATACACTCCTATGTATTTAACCCAGTGCTCCCACATATTACAAGGTTCCTCCACTCAAGATATTGAGAATGTGAACTAGTCCCAGCCCTGCGTGAACCCCAGGAATTATTCAGCCTGCTTCTTTCCAGTCACTCTTTCCTTAGTCTTAGGTAGTTTCCACGTGTTTCTACTGATCAGTATTCAGTTTAAGGCTCACAAGGAATTCCCTGAAGATCTCCAGAGATTTCTCTTTATACTCACTCATTTCTGGGACTCTGTCCTGCAAATTCTAGCTGCCTTGGTCCTCCAGAATTCTCAACCCTGTCTTCCCAACTCAGAGTAGCTACTTGGCTGTGTCTGGGCTATATTCATTAGAAAGAGGTCACTAGGTCCAGCCCAGACTCAAAGGGAAGGTACTATACAAAAATAAGAGACAGAGATCATTGGGTATCATCTTGGAGTCTGCCTGGCACAGATGCTATGCTATGATGTCACGTGTGAGATGCCTGTGGTTTACTTACATATGTTCATCAAATATTTGAGTTTCTTCCAGAAATTGCAATTCCTGGCCCCCTTATGATTATGTGGAGCCCATTGACTAATTCATGCCAGTGAGTTAGCAAAAGCCATTAAATGTGGTGCAAGACCCTCCTGAGTTGTCCTCTCTGCCACAAAACCAGGAATGAACCAAATAGTGGTAGCTCAGCAACTTAAGTACCAGAGTGGGGATAACAGAAATCATAGCCACCACACACCCTCCCCACAATAGACATGTATTACCTGCAAAAAATTTTGTTGTTTTACACCACTTAGATTTGGGGGTTGGTTGTTACCACAGCATAACTAAATTTATCCTGACTTACGCAGATTTAGGTCCAGGCATAGATACTGCCATAACAAAAAACCCAATATATATGTAACTCTTTAGAGCAAGTGGTCAAGCAGCAAGTGAAATGGAAATTGTGCTTGGAAGCTGAAAGGATAGCTAGGTATCTATGTTATTCAGTGACAAACCTATTGGAAAAACCTTTGGAAAATTTTGTAATAACCTAGAAGGCAGATGATTTACTAATGAACTTTAATGCTAGGTGAAAAGGTTGAAAGAATGTTGGTAACACTTTAGTTGCATAGAAGTCTTCTATAGGCATAGAAGACTATATTTTCAGAGATCATTTCTATAGTTCTTTAAAAGGGATAGGCTCAGAATGCAGTGTGCAAGCAGAATAAAAATTAATAGAGTATCCAGAAATTCAAATTATATTTTATGACAACTTGAAAAACTATATAATTTTTAGAACACATTTTATTCCCCCATGGAACTTTGTAACTTTTTTTTTTTTTTCAATATCTCCCAGTACTGACTATCCTATACAGAAGCCTCAATAAGCCTAACTGTTTTTTCTCCATGCCCCCTCCTTTTGTTTCTTGCCTGGGTACCTAAAGTGTTCTTTCTTTGTTCTGAAAATTGAGTAACTTAACCAGGATATATACCTTACTGTTGACTGTCCTACATAAATTTTCCATGGAATATAGTGTATTCTTTCAACCTATGGATTTTTATTCCTTTATTATTTTTTATATAAGTACGAGTATTTCTTTTCTATTGACTGTGTTCTCCATATCAGGGGCACTTTTTAATCTTACATTGAACTATATTGTCTCATACATATATTATCTTCTAAGAGATTTAATATCTTTTTCTGTTGCTTCACTATTCTCTTTGATTTTTTTCAAGGCTTTTCTCTACATCATTAATTGAAATTTAAGCTCCCTAGTCTTCTTCATGCTTCTAATTATTTCCTAGTCCTTTAAGGTGTTCTGGCCTTCCATTCATTTCCTTTGCTCTTTTATCTTTATTTTAGTTCATTTACTTATCAAATATTTATCAACTACCTACAGTAAACCAGGCAATCTTCTAGCTAGTAAGGATAGTGAACAAAACAACTAAGATTCAGCCCTCATAGAGCACACTTCTCAATATATTGCTAGCATCTTTATGTCCTTGTGTTATTTAATTCATATTCTTATTATTAAGTTCCTCTAACGCACAAACAATATATGAAGAATTTTGCTTTTTCCCCATTAGGTAGTTTTTATCCAGGTCATATACTTCATCCATCTTTTGAATGTTATTTTCCTTTCTTCCTTTTCTCTTTCCTTCTTTCCTTCCTTCCTTTTATAGTAGTAGCTGGCATAATTCTCAATTTTTTTCTCTTGCTCATATTTAACATTAAATTCTGCCCAATCTGGGATTTTTTGTTGTTGGTTTTTTGTGTGTGGGGGGGGGTGTTTTGGTTTTGGTTTGTCAGTCAGCTATTCTTCCAATATTCCAATTTTTGGCTTTGACCAAAAATATTTTACTTGCTCATAAAACTGTCTTCTATTCAGCTGATCTGAATAGTCTTCTATTCAGCTGATCTCCACTTGCCCCACCTGGGTTTGCCAATGATTACTAGGACTCCGTTTCTCAAGATTCAGACTCAGATATGATCCATGTCTTCATTATTTTGGAAACAGCAACCAATTGAGGACATTTTTTCTTAGGAAAAATAGCAAAGTCCAAGAGACAAAAGCACATCTAAAACCCCTTTTAGTGTCAAATAAATAAGTAAAGCCCCTTCTAGTTTCATACCTGAATTCATTCCATTGGCCCAAGGAAGCCACATGACCAAACCCAGAGTCAATGAGGCAAAGATGTGTACTCTACCTACCCTACTATACCAGAAGGTTCTGCGTAGTCATGTGCAGAAGGGATGAGTAAAAAATTTAGAACAATAATTTAATCTACCATACTCTACTATCATGTGGGCAAATTCTCCTTGACTTCTTTTCCACTTATCTGAAACTTGTTCTTCCACTTACAGCTAGAGCATGAAAGATAAGAAAGCAAAGAGCTTTTCATTGTGTTTTTATTGGAGGAAGTACTATATTAATAAGAATTCCCCTAAGCTGTGTGTAGCCAGGATGACCTGGGTTCTGCTTGCCCTTGAGAGTAAGTTAATATCTTAAATGAGGTCTTGGTCCATTTATTAGGAGTGAATTCAACTGCAGGATATGTTCAGATTTATGACTTCAGTGTGGACTCCTGGAAAACATTCTATCTTAAATCTTTTTTGCCTCTACTGAGGTTCTAAAGTACTGGTATGTAAGGTTCTACCTTGATTTTTAAGCAAATTGCCTCTCAATCTTATTCCCTCCAGAATAAAGTTATTAATGAGACTTGTTAGGACTTTCTTAATTTAACTTCATTCCCATGTGAGACCTTGGGAAAATGACTGGGAGAGAACCACAGCATGACTGGTAGAGGCCTTTGCAGAAGCCAGAATACCAGAGAAGATGGAACCATAGTTCACCAACTCACACCTACAAACATCACTGTCTGCAAAATGAACCAAACTGCAAACTTTGGAAGCCCCAGACTTTGGGATTTCAACATCAAGACTTAAAGTGAGATGTTGGAGGTGTCAGATTGCACCTCCACCGTTGACTCCACTGACTTCACTAAAAGGTAGTTAAGAGTAAAATTCAGCAATTGCAAAAAAAAATGATTAAAAGTTGCCTATTAATCCCAAAAGATTTAAGTACTAAGGTGAAAAACATCCAAATATAAATGCAGGGAAACCTCAACACCATGGTTAAGTTCAACTTCAAACTTAACAGCTATCAGAAAAACATGCAACAACTATTATTTGTCCTGATGGAGAAGTAAGGTGTTCCTAATATAACACATTAATTGCAAATATACTTTAACTTTTTTTAATGAAGACTTCCTAGAATTTTATAGTTCCTCCGAATTTTTATAGAAAAGTTTCATTTTTTAAATGATTGAGTTAATTGAAATCTTATTTAAGCTGATCAATAAGGATTTACAGTATTCAATGTTTGACAATTTTAAGGAGTTAGTAATTTTAAGAAATGCCTTATTTTTTAATCTTTTCCTCCTTTCTCCCATCTAACCACTGTATATGAATCAAATGCCTAGTTTTAATTTCATCTCTCTGAACAGCCTTCTATTGACTCATTTATATCCTCATCCACTGAATCCTACTGCACTTAGCACCATACAATATTTTAAGTCAAAATTACTTGACTACTTCGTGTGTAACTTCAACTAGATTGTAAGTTTCTTGGAATCTATGTCTTAACTTCTTTTGAATCCCCCAGAGGGCCTGTAAGTTAATGTTGGAAATCTACAGCTTCCACAAACACTGATTGGGTCCTAAAGCGCCATTTTGCAAACCACCAAGTTTCGGTTGCACCTTGCCACGCCTACTGGTCTGAGGTTTCTTTGTGCTCACCGACAATCTTCGTTTTCTATTAGAACAAAGGGCTTGTTGGACAGAGACACTAACGCAGCGACCCGAGATAGCTGCAAGAGAGGAATGTGACCTGCTGCCCTGGGTGTTGAGCCTGTAAACGAAGGCTAAACCTCTAAGGAGAGCCCTCCAACAGTTTTAAAGACACATGTTTTTAAATCCTACTCAAAGCTTATTTACCCGCCCGTTACCCTGGCTTCGGGTGCTGCAGATGCTAAAAGATGTTGATTAGGCAGGGAGGAGCTAAGGTGCGAGGCCCCGTCGCTATGGTAACAACCAGACGCAGGCGCACTTGGCAGCCTTCAAAAGTCAGAACTTAGAGAAGAGCGTGGCGACAGCAGCGACTTGCGGCAGCAGAGTAACTTACGGCTGCCCCGCCCCCCGGAAAGCGCCGTGGGCAGGCCGAGGAAATACAAAGGCCAGCGCGGGCTCCCGCTAGCCCTGGGTAGGCAGACTCGCAGTATGACCCAGTCGGTGGTTGTACAGGGTAAGCTGAGCTGGGAAGGTGAGGACCCAACCGGCACACAGCCCAGGGGCCTTGTTAGCCACCTAATGTCTGTCCCTTTTCTTCCTGTCCCGGATCTCAGTCGGCCAGTGCGGAAACCAGATCGGCTGCTGTTTCTGGGACTTGGCGCTCAGGGAGCACGCTGCGGTTAACCAGGTACGCGCCCTGGCTCTGGACAGCCCCCCTCACCTGTCATGGCAACATTTGCTCCATTGAGCTTTTACAGATATTCGTTGTGTCGGATCTTATCAGCAAAGAGCAAACGTTTTAAAACGTATATTGATTGATGTTAGACACATAATAGACTGAACTGGCCAGAGACCTTTCCCTAATTCTCAGTGTCTCATCTTTATCAGCATTCTTGTGAATACCAATGAGATAGTATATGTGAAAATACTTTGTAAATAGTTAATGTGTGGTATTCCTTGATTGTAAAAAAGACAACTTGTGATATTTCTTTATTTAACCAATCAGCATTTAAAATGATCACCAGAATTCAGAGGAAGCTGTCATTTGATTCTGCAGTCCTATGAGGACTTCAACACCCTTCCTTGAATTTAAGTCATAGATCTCAGGGCATTTACTCTTCTGTAGGTCAGAAGAATCAGTCTAAGCATATTATAATAATTTGCTTTTACTTATCTAGCCACACATCAGCCTTTACAGAATTGTGGTGTTATTAAGTTGAAAGGACTTCATTTGGGAAGAGGCAAAACTTAATCAAATTCTTTCTTTTTAGAAAGGAATCTATGATGAAGCAATAAGCAGCTTCTTTAGAAATGTGGATACCAGGTAAGTTGGTGTTAAAGTCTATCATATACTGCAGTGATTTTCAACTGGTGTTCCATGGTATATTGGTGCTACAAGAATTTTTAAAACATGCAATAACTGACTATTTAGTCAGTGGCACTCTTTCCCTTACGTTATCAAATGAAAAAAATGACAGCAGCCAATACAGCATAGCCATCTGGTGTGAATGAGTCAAGATCATACCTATTATTTTTTCCAGGTCCGCAAAAAATACATTTTTGGTGTGCCACAGAATTTTAGTAATTAGTTTAAGTGCCATGAGATGAAAAAAGTTGAAAATTGTTGACATAGTATAATAATACTTTTCATGTCAACAGATTGGACAAGAATTCTTCAAAGGACAATAAAAACAGTTGATAACTGTAAAGGTGTCTGGCTTTTTTATTTGCTTTTCTAGTTAGAATCATATTTCTCATTCTCATATCATTAATATTCTCATATCGTTCTTTAGAGCAGGACAACAGGTTTTCTTTTGACTATGTTAAGTAACAAAAAGAAACTTATAGTGTGCCTTCTTTTAACTTGACCTGTAAATAAACTTTCACTTAAAAAGAGTACTGAAAAGTGCTCCTACAGTATCCTGTTAATGCATCCAGTAATAGCTAACTTTTGAAAGAAAAATATGTTTACATTTATGTTATTTGTGGTCAGGAATATTGGCTCTACGAATGGAATGTGTTGAAAGGGAGAAAACTGTCACATTACTTTTGTTTATTTAATAAAGGGCACATGAAATTATATCTCTCTATCTGAAAGTAATTTGTTCATAGCTTTTTCTTAATCCTTACCTGAGGATATGGTTATTGATTTGGGGAAGAGAGGAAGGGAGAGAGAAAGAGAATAACATCAATGTGAGAGAAACGTTGATTAGTTGCCTCCTGTATATACCCTGACCAGGGATTGAACCCACAATCTAGGTATGTGCCCTGACTGGGAATCAAACCCACAACCTTTTGGTGTACAGGAGGGTGCTCCAACTGAATGAGCCACCTGGCCAGGGCTGTTCATAGCTTTTAATCCTAAATTATTAAGTTCACGCATCTTCAGAACACTTAAAGCTAAACTGGTGGGCTTGAACTGAAAAATACATACTTCATATCTAATTTGAATTGGTTGGGTATTTGAGGAGGTTATCTCCAAGTTAGTTTTCAACTTGGTGAATTCCAGAGGCATGCAACTCAGAAACCTTGTTGACAACTTGAGAATGGGTCCAGTGCTGTGTGGTACAGGCAGATACACCAAACTAAAGGCAGAAGTCAGTGTCACACAGTCTGTGTCACACTCAGCTCAGCCATTATAGTGTGACTGCGGGTAGTATATAAACAAATGGGTGTAGGTGTTGATACACGTTTAGTTCTAACAGGAAACCTTGTTGATGGTGGTTTAAGTGATAAAGTTATCCAGTCACTTCAGATACAAATAAATCAGGAAATTGGATGTTCTAGGTTTGGAGAAGTGCCTTAAAAGACCAAGATACTGTCTATCGTTTCATTATTCTTAGTGTGTTGACTTTTTCTCTTCATGTTTATTATAACTGAAATAACAGCCTCCAATCTAGGAATCATGTTCATGTTCATGTTCAAGATAGGAAAAGGAAAGTGGAAGAATTGGCACCGACTGCATTTCCTTTTTATTAGAAAAGCTTCCCCGAATACCTCTCTCTTCTCTTATTAGCCAGAACTGAATTACGTGGGCAGCACTAACTACAAAGGAAGCCAGGGAAATAAGTGCCTCACTTTTTCAGCCTGATGGGAGCTAGGCAAGGGAGACGATTTGGAATGGTGACTCCTGTGTTCTTTTGTATCTGTCTCACCTGGCCTGTGAGTGGCTTTATTATATAAATGGAAGTCAGCTTCGTTATCTGATAGTACTAATAGCCATGGAAGATCTTATGATTTTTTTTTCTTATTTTTTATCTTTCAGAGTGGTTGGTGATGGTGGCAGTATTTCCAAGGGGAAAATTTGTTCTTTAAAAGCACGAGTAAGATATATACACTTGACATCTTACATTGCATATGTTTTTAAAATAACTATATTTCTGAGCCCTGGCTGGTATAGCTCAGTGGATTGAGCACAGACCTGCGAACCAGACAATTGCGGTTCGATTCCCAGTCAGGGCACATGCCTGGGTTGCAGACCGGTTCCCTGCAGGCCAGTTCCCAGCAGGGGATGCACAAAAAGCAACCATACATTGATGTTTCTCTCCCTCTCTCCTTCCCTTCCCCTCTAAAGATAAATAAATAAAATCTTAAAAAAAATAAAATTAAATAACTATATTTCTGTAATAATCATGACAGTAAAATTTAATTTTAACTTCTCAAATTAAAAAAAGTACTTACTAAGCCACATTTAATATAATTAAGCAGACATTTGTGTCTATTTGAAACTTTAGGGAGAATATTTTGTGCTTAAAGTAAAAACACTGCATATTTACCACTTTTCCCTAAATTTTTCAGAAGAAATATATTTAGATAAATGATGAAACCTTTCTTAACTCTTGCATTATTATGTATTACATACATAATAATACATTATGTATGTATTATTATTATGTATTTTTCACTTGCAAATAATGGAAGATGTATTTGCTCTTTTACAAAGCATGGATTTAGCCCCGTAAGACCTGAACAAAAGTATTTTGAGTCAGTGGCCCATATTAGTCCTAATCCCATTTCAACACCACTTCTCTTCAGTGATTGTTTGTCTACAACAAAATGTTTTTTTCCAGCTATTGATTAGTAACCTTTGACTTTAACAAAAAAGAAAGGCAGTTTAGATGCCAAGGAAGTGATGGAGGTGATAAGGATCAGACCTGGAGTGCTGGCTGAAAGAATGGAAAGCACTAGTGTCGTGGTACCTGGGAACCATTTTGTATCAGATCGTTGATGTCCTTGGAAAATTTAGAACAGAGGCCATCTGTTTGTAGTCTGTTAACATAATTAATCAACACTTGGTATATTCCATGCCGTTGACAGTGCTAACATCCCAAGTCCAGATCTCACACAGGAAAAGAAATGTTGACATTTCCTAGACTACTTCCAATATGAGCTCTTTCCCACCACGTCAGCAGGCAAGGTGGAGGAAACTATTGGAAAGAATAAGTCAGTGTGTTTCTGTAAGCTTGAATTTGTCCTAGAAGGTGCTCCTCCACTTCTCCCTGGGAGCATTGGCGGTACAGGGCTGTGATCACTGAGGAGCTAGGCTTCAGAAGATAACTTGGTGGTTGGGCCCCTCCACTGTCTCGAGGATCTGAAATTAAAAGGCAGATACTCAGAACTTTTAAATCCTGTGTTACAGTTAAAGGAATGCTCAAATGCCAGAAGGCCATCACCAGGCAGCTCTGGAAGAAAATAATAAACATCAGATTCTGGAACAGTGGTGACACCAGACTTGGGATTGCTAAGCGAGGAACCCAGAGTCATTTCTCCTCATTTTAATTAATTTCCAAGGAAAGATTGGAAGAGTTATGTACTCCATCAGGGTTTTAATGCTAAGTGATTGTGACAGTGATAATGCTTTCGAAACCAACGCTGAGGTGCTTGAATGTCAGCCTGTTTTCTGTTTTCTGCTGCCTTTGCCAGGTTGCAGGTACTAGAGGGTATGGCCCAAATATGTTTTAATCTCAGTCACCATTTCAGAGATAGTAACTAAATGGTTTTCTTCAGACCCCCCCTAAAAAATATTTAACCTTCCACAAATGATTTCAATAAGGAACAAGGCCAGTATATGGTAAAAATTATGTATTCCTAAAAAAAATCCCTAAAATTACCAGTAAATAACCCTATATTGCCTCGTATATGTAGATCATATGTATATTTATTGCTGTTTGTAAAGGAGCACATTTGTAAACAATTTTAGAGTCTTATATACTGCTATGATATACTGTGTCAAATAGTATTACACAATTAAAACATAATGTTTCTAATATACTATGTAATACTATTTTAATTGCCAGCTTACAGTAAAATGATTACGTAAGTAATTGAATTCATGGATTGTAATCCACTGCAGTCAGTACTCGAGAAATACCAAACTTGACTCTCTCCCTTCAACAAAATTGTACGGCATATAGTTCAGTGGTTAAGAGTCAGTACTCTGCAGCCAGGCTAGCCTGGTTTATCACTTAGTAGCTGAGTGATCATAGCCAAGTTATTTAACTTTTCTAGGCCTCAGTTTCCTCAGTGTGTAAAGTAGGAATAGAGTTGTGAGGGTTAGATGGGGGGTGGTACATATAAGTACTTAGAATAGGGGCATACGTAGTAAGTGCTTAACATTAATGATCACAAGAGCTAAAATAGCCCAAGCACTTTTCTCTGTGACAGTGAATCAAAGTGTTAATAGCTTTATAGTGTACCCTAAGATTATTTCAGATTTTTTTTTCAGTTTTGCTGTATTTACTTCACTATTGCTTCCCCTCACCGTAGAAAATATGGGAAGTAAAGCATAAGACAGTACGGGTACAGGGTATATAGTCCCCCTGCCAAGCTATCCTTGCTTACATTTTGCTGGATTTCCTTCTAGTCTTCTTTATTCTTTCCATACTTAATTCTATGAATTGTTTTATATTCTCGTGTTCCTGTTAGTAATGGTTCTCTCCTATGTCAGTAAAGTTTGTGGTAATGAATTAGACTGTGAGTTACTTGGGGGAGGACCCTGTAGGCATCTTTGGCATCTACCCGATGCTTTGGCTTTGCACATTTACTGGCTTGAATTGGACAATTTTTGTGATTCGGGAAGCATGGCTGCTCCTAGTGAACAAATGCGTTAATGCACCCTCCATTGAGAATTTTCTCTGGTTAAGGTTACCTCATATATTTCTGAGACCATGTTCTCAAGAAATTTACATTCACATAGGCATGTGAGTAAAAGAGTAGTTAGAAAATCAGTTGAGAGGATTATGCAGTTTCTTTTTCTCCCCCACTTGGTAGTTTGGAGTATAGTTAAGAGTTTTGAATCTATCTTTTATTGGATTTCACCTTTCAAGCAGAATGACATTATTTTTTAATTTTTATATCAGAGTCTACATAAAGATTTAAATAAAGATGTGATTAAGCTTAAATTATAAAAAGAACAATGCAGCTTTTAGCTCATAAGTTATTTTCATTTACAAAGTGACTAACTCTAAAGAAAAATATGCTAATTCGATTTTATTCCTGTTCCTCAGGCTGTCTTGATTGACATGGAGGAAGGGGTAGTAAATGAAATTCTGCAGGGACCTTTGAGAGATGTATTCGATAGCAAGCAGCTCATCACGGACATTTCTGGCTCAGGGAATAATTGGTGAGAATATGCTAAACATTAAAATGAGCAGTATTTCCTTCAGTCTGATAGGTTCTGCTGACGTGAAATCAAAATGCAACTTGCCATACCTAACTCTAGGCCTTTCAGCCATCATCTTTCCCTTGATAAATGGTAGGGATTCAGAATTTTTGGAAGCACCTATCCTAGTTCTTTCTCATTTTTTAAAGAAAATGTGAATCATGAAAAATTGATTTGCTAAATTTTCTCATTGTCAATTAAATCTTGCATAATACTAAATAGTGAAAAGTTTTAAGTAGTTATATAAACTATTCACTTACCTATATTATTTGACTCTCAAGTTCTCCAGTTGGTCAGACTTAATAGAATTGTTACAGAGATGCCAGTCAGACCAGTGTCCCAGGATTAAAGCTCAGTTTAAGGCTCAGTTTAGCCCTTAATTACAATGGTCGCACCTCCATAATGCGGCAAAGCTCCAACAATGATCGTTTTAATTTTGACATTGAGGCTTTTTTTTTAAGTTCAGTAGCTCCTCGCTGTTTGTAACTCTAGTATTTATTATTTTATTAATAACTATTTGCAGTCCGTCCCTTGAGCTCATAATATGTAGTAACATGTAATTTTCCTAAAGCGTGAATTTGAATCTTGTGTTCTGGGAGAGTCATTTGGGGACAACAGTTGGTCACTACATAAGTGAGTCCACCTGACCACCCAACTAGCTTTCCTCTGGTCACTGAGTAACTTAGTCTGTAACTTTCAAGTTACATTTGACTGCGTGTTGTGAGAAAATCATGCTTATTTTTGAGTTCATCGTAGTGATACTTGCAAATTTGGGCAGGTAAAAGGCTTGCGGATCCTGATGAATATCGGTTTTCTACTCTGTGCCCTTTCATCTAGTAATAACATGATGTGAACAGTGTTTTTCTCCTTTTAAACCAAAATAGTTTAAAATTTTTTGTCTTTCTGCTGCCCGTGTCATGACCACATTCTGCTTTTTATATGTAAAAGTCATTGCAATTGTAGTTCTTTAAATGGAAATGAGAAAAACTGTGTAACTAAAATCTTTTGTTGTAATTATAACTTACGAAAAATTTAGAAAACCATAGTTTACTATCCACTGGTAATGATCTGTCTTATCAGGGTATCTGAGGTTTATACACATATATTTGCAAAATTTTCTACCTAGTGTCTTTCAGATGTCATGATTTATTTATATAAATTTTATATCAATAAATAAAAATTGATAAATTTAATAAATTAAATAAAATAAAATTGATTGATTTTATTTATTGAATCAGAAATAAAATCTTGAAATAATGCAAGGAATTTCTTTAAGTCTATATTCTTTTTTTCAGGGCTGTGGGGCACAAAGTCTTTGGCAGTCTTTATCAAGAACAGATTTTAGAGAAACTCAGGAAGTCAGCAGAGTACTGTGATTGTTTGCAGTGTTTTTTTATAATACATTCCATGGGAGGAGGTAAAGCTATCCGTTTATTTGACTATAACAATATGAAAATGCGATTGGGAATTTATTTGTCAACGTAAGTCTTGTTTTTCCATCCCATGCCTGATAGAGAACTATTAAGAGCATGTGTTTTTATGAGTGCTATGTACATAACAGCTTTTTATCTTAATTTATCAAAGTGTATCACTAGTACCATTTAGAAAAAATAAGTTAATACAAAAAAGCCAGTAGAATGGAATCTGAAATTTTTCTCCTACCTTTATTTTATAAATTTCCAGCTACATTCCAGCGTATATGAGCTTTTTGGGAATGCTGACTTTCTCCTAAGAGTTTGCTTGCGCATTCTTTATCCTAACTAGAGCCAAGTATTTCTGGCATATTGACCGGTATGCTTGCAAAAGACTATCCTTTCTGTAACTAGCTACAAAACTTCATTGTGTTCAGTAAGTAAAAGAAATCATTTTAGTGAACTGTCAGTTATTTCTCACGTGGTAATGAATCACCTTGGCCTACAACCAATGATCTTTCCCCAGGGGATCCTGTACCTACCGTGCAAGTGAAGTCTTTTGCTTCCTTGTTCCATGAAATAGAAACATCATAATCTGCTAATTGCATGATAGGATTAGGTGATTTTCAAAGAAAAATTTGCCCTGTTTTTTCTTCAAGCTAAGATTAAGATTGTACATTCAATTGATTTTTTATACATATCTATTATTCATTGTGATCCATTTTACAATTAAAGTCACAATTGCTATGTAACCATGCCTATAGAAGACCATCATAATCACTAAATTAAGAACCAAATGTTTTTGTACTAGTATAATTAACATGCAAGTTTGAGTAAGTTTTTTTAAAAAGCAGTTTTAATTATAGTTCATTATGGTGCCTTTTTAATCCTTCTATTACTCAAAATCTCAGGCTGTCATAACTCCTAATTCACTGAAAATGGCAAAAATATTTAAAATAATACTGAAGGTTAAAAAGGGAGGTCTCCTTTCCCGCATTCACTCCCTACGGTCTCTCCTCACAGGTTATTAAGCTGATAATGTCATCCTTCCAGATTTTTTGTATGACTATTAAAAGTATGTGTGTGCTGTGTTTTTACGTAAACAAGATTATGCAATATGTATTATTCTACAATTTGTTCACTTTATATTTTTCCCCAAATGTTTTTCATTATCAGCTGTTTCACAGAATTCAATTGCATAAATAGGTAACAATTGTGAAAGTCAGTCCTCATTGAAGGATGTTCGTTTGTTTATGGTGTTTAGTTACCACAATCCCCAGTGAACATCTGGTACATACATCTCTGTTCATTTGTGCCACTATAGCTGTAGGCAATATTCCTAGAAAGGAAAGTGAGATAAAAGAATATGTACGTTTTAAATGTTGACTGATTACTAAATATCTTCTTACATTATTGCACTAATTCACATTATTAGCAACAATTTATAAAAGTTTAATTCCCCACACTTATCACCATCACAGAGTATTATGAGAATAAATCTAATATGTTCAAAATTATATTGTTTTAAATTTCATTCCTTTAATTAGAAGATAGGTTGAGCATCTTCACATCTATTTTCTATTTGGTTTATCTTGAGTTAGATATTTATATACTTAGTCCATTTTTTAGTGCATTCTTGTTTTTTTGATTGTTGATTTGTGAGACCTCTTCATTAAAGAAGTTTAGTCCTCCGTCATATGTGTCGAAGACTGTTTCTTAGTTTACCTTTTTATTAGTTTATGGGTTTTTTATATATGTATAGAAGTTTTGCTTATTTTTTATGGAATCAAAATTGTCTTTTCTATAATGGTTTTGGTTTTATATGATGCTTAGAAATTTCTTCTCATTAAAGATGAACCAAAAAATCCCCCTCATTTTCATCTAGTATTTTTAACACCATAGAATCTTACTACTTATTTATATGGGTTAGAACATTGGCTTTTAAACTTTTTTAAAATCAGAGCAGCATGAAATTTATTTTATAACACAACCAAACATACACACACAAATACATACAAACAGAAGACTCAAAAAACATTACCACCTACACTACATGTGACACATCAGTATTTCTGCTGTTATATTTAAGAAAACAAATTGATGGTCCTGACCTAATAATTTACTTTCATAGACCACTATTAGTTCACAACCCATAGTTTGAAAAACACCAGCTTAGAATACTGCCAGTTTTACCACTTTAAAGGTCTTAAAATTTTCTGAATTTATTTAAATGGAACTGTGTGTCAGAAAGTCATCTGAAAGGTTTTCCTAGAGGTTCTGCTTTTAAATAAATAGTAAAAAAAAAAAAGTTTCCTACTTGAAAATACTGTAAATTCAAGGTAGTTATGCTCAACTTTAAACAACTTAAACTTAGTATTTAAGTTGCTTAAGTCATAGTGTTCTTCATCATTAAGTTTGTTGAGATCTGTCCAGAAAGTATCCATCATGTAATATGGAAAATAGAGGAATTTATTGAAAAAGATACAAGAAACATAGTACATAGGACAATGACACCTCAGTCCCCTTCAAAGTAGGCACCTTGGGACCTCACACAGTTCTCCCAGTTGCCATCAGCTGCCCCATCGTATTTTCCTGAATCTCATCAACAGTTTGAAATGTTTTCCCTTTCAAAGCTGATTTTAGTTTGGGGAAAAGCCAGTAGTAGCAGGGCACCCCATCTGGGCTATAGGGGGGCTGAGTCACCTGGGTGATCTGAGGTTTTTCAAAACACTCTAAACAAGACGAGACGCATGAGCAGGCACATTGTCGTAATGAAGCTGCCAATCACCAGTTGCCCATAGCTACAGCATTCTGAATCATCCAAATAGTCTCCATGGAGGAATGTTGAAGCTTAAAGCAAAATTTAATATACATTTGTTGCTCTACTTGCTTACTCATTTTGAATGTGACAGCCACACAGTACACATACATGCTCACTCAGTGGTGTCTACCACCCCCACTGAATGCTGCAGTGAAGTCATTGTTCACACATGCACATTCCAGTCCACCCTCCTTGGCAGTCAGGTTAGATCGATGTTGTGCAAACCATTCTTGTTACATTAACAATGGCTGAATTTTTTCTGGACAGACCATAATGTTATGGCAGTTTTCATTTTTTTAGTTGCCTAATATCAAGTGTAAGCTGAATGCTGTCTTAGTTGAATTTTTTATCCTTCATTCAGTTCTTTTGGCATAATAGAGATATAACTTAACTGTGAAAACAAGTGAAATACAGAAAGCCCTCCCAACCTCACAGTAAGAATCATAGATTGAATTCAGAACTTTAAGCCTCACTACCTATGTTGTCTTCATTTCTGTGTTTGAAATTAGATGAGTTAATATATCACAGGAGTAAAGTTGAAAATCAAAAGTTCTTAATATATATTTCTACAAAAATAAAATTCCGAGTTCCTCACAATTATATTCTGAACCATTTATGCTGTTTTCTTTTTGAAATTCAACCCTCAGGAACAGGATCTGGACTTGGCACATTTCTTTTAAAGGTGCTTGAGGACGAATTCCCAGAAGTGTACAGATTTGTGACTTCCATTTATCCTTCTGGTGAGGATGATGTCATAACTTCACCTTATAATAGCATCTTGGCAATGAAGGAACTCAATGAGCATGCAGACTGCGTGTTGCCCATTGACAACCAAGTAAGAAATGACATTGTAATTTATGAACGTACACATATACAGTCATTCCTGTGTTGTGCTTATGTGTTTATATGAAACATTCTTTACTGTTCAGCTTTCCCATCTAAGAGAAAAAAATAAGTTTAAATTGTTTTTCTTTCTCTTCTTTCCTTCCTGGTAAAACATCATCTACATCCACTCTTCTTAATAGCTTCTCTCCAACATTTTTCTTTTAAAAGTCTTTATTTGACATCATTAGCAAAATTGACCTCATGGTGAATTCTGGAAAGTTGGGTACAACTGTAAAGCCAAAGAGTCTGGTTACTTCGAGTGCTGGGGCGTTTAAAAAGCGGCAGGGAAAGCCCTTTGATGCCATGAACAACATTGTGGCAAATTTGCTGCTCAACCTAACCAGGTAATCCTAATGGTGGTGTTCACTGTGCGTTTGAGGACGTTGGTCATAGCATTTTGGTTTTAGTTATTCTAAGTTGTCAGAGCTTCTTTCATTTTTATTTTCTCTACTGTGATAGACAAAATCTTACAGTGGTAGACCAGTATTTTAATTTCTATAGATCCAAAGGAGCATTTCCCCAGATATATTCTATGGAATGTTACTAGGTGTTAATAAAATAAAAGGTTTTATCGTAGACACACTTGAGAAACACTTGGTTAGACAAAAGTAAACATTTTTATTTTTTGCCATGGAATGTCTTAATCTGTAAAACCAATTAATCTTTAATCTGCACCTCCTCATTCACTGATCCACAATATTTCCTTGTCTTTGATCTAAAAGATTATTTTGACATTATTATATTCCAAATTATAGAGTTTATTAAGCAGATGCCTAAGGAATTTAGTAAAGATTATGAAATAAATAAATTATTATTAACCTGTATGTATTTAACTCAGTCTATAGTCTGTTTTTAGTAAGATATTTTTATGTATGTAATGAGCAACTGCAATACTATGTTGGTAATGCTTCAGGTAAGACAGAAGTGAGAGTTTCTATAGAGTTGTGTTGTACTTAATTATATTTATACATCATGTTCATGATGTATAAATTTCACTAATACAGGGGGAAAAGAATATATGTTCTCTACTGAAGAACAGGGTATGAAAGTATTTAAGAACATGCCTGCTGAATAAATCAAGCTACATTTAAAGTGTATAATTGTACAATTAAACGTTTTCTCATGCTTTACTGTTAATTTTTCAGCTCTGCAAGGTTTGAAGGATCCCTTAATATGGACCTTAATGAAATCAGCATGAATTTAGTCCCTTTTCCTCAGCTGCACTATCTCGTGTCAAGCCTAACACCTCTGTACACACTGGCAGACGTCCACATCCCTCCTCGAAGGTGAGCTGTAGTAGCTGTTCCGGCTACTTGAGAACTTGAATTACCTTTTTAAAAATTTTAAGAGAAAAGTTTACAATAACCCTACTTCTTCATATCATTTTCTTTGTGAGAAATATATAAAATAGAGTTGATGACAGCCATTTTTTCATTATATGAATGCTTCTTTATTTAGAAATCATTGTTTAAAAAACATCAATATTAAATTGTTTGAAATTAAATCTAATAATTAAATGTTTAAGCTTATGAAAATTAATAAATATATAAGATTTAAGGGCTTTGAAGTTCGACATACTCAAGTCTGAATCCAGTTCTCTCACTAGTAGCAAGTTTGTCACTATTTTTTTGTTTTTCTCATCTGCGAAAATGAGAGTTTGAGCACCCACCTCATATATCTGTTAAATAATGTTATTTATTTATTAAATAAATAAATTTATTTAAAGGTGTATTAAATAAAGGTATAAGGTGTATTAAATAATGTTATTTCTGTACCTGGTTCATTTTTAGCAGATGAAAACTGTAAATACATGACTGTATATTTTTTTGAAATTTCATATTTCTAATGTAAGTAAAAAAAGGTAAGTAGTATCCCAATAATTATAAATGCCTGCTTAATAGGTCTATTTTGTGACAAAAGATGGATGAAGAATTAAGTTTGACCACTTGTTGTTTAGCAGTTCTTCACCTTTTCTGGATTTCCTTGACTCCATAAAAATGCCAGAAAGCACATATGCACCAAATTTTGAATATAAGAGCAGAGGATGCATGAATGCCCCAAAGCTCACCATCGCCTCAGGGAGTTCTCTGGTCCTTGTTGCTGTAGGGTAATCGGGATAGAATGTAGGTTCCAATGGAGATTTTCTTTTGGTGTTCACTGCTGGGTCTCAGTACTTAGAATCGAGCCTGGTACATAGTAGACATTCACTAAATATCTGTTGAATGAATAGGTAGCATAGTGTGATTTCTGTAGCTCTTCTCAGACTTGATGCCAATTCAGCACAGAGCTCTGGCTAGAGATATCTAGGGATCCCAATCATATTTGTATTGAATAAAATGGGGCCATGTTAAGGACCTGCAAGGCAGTGTACTGTTAGGTGTGAACTTTGTTAGTCACCCTTGTCTTCCCCTCTTTAACTCAAGGATTAAAGAGCGAAATTAAAAGACTCCATTTACTTAAAAGTGTTCCTTTTTCTGAACACTACTGTAGAGTTCCATCTTTGATAAGAAAGCTTAACATTGTCCTTTGATAGTTTCTTCTTGATTATTCCTAACTAATTTATGATATATTTTATAGTGATAAAGTAATCTCTTAATATTGTAGGCTTTTCATTAGTTTTGATAGTTGGGATACAAGAAGTAGATAAGCATACGGAAATAAGTAATAACGATATAAGTTCCTGAAATCAGTACTTCACAGAGCTCACTAATGATGCAGTTAACATTTTGTAGCTGAAATCACCATTACAGAAGATTTTTATTCCAAAAAGAAGATGCTACATGATTTCCTCGGTTTTCATATTCTGTAAAAGATTGCTGAGAAGATTATAGCACAAATTACTATCTTTCCGTTTTATAGTTATACAGAGAAGAAAGATGTAGTATTTTGTATAAACAGCACCTCTCATTGTTCTAGGTTGGATCAGATGTTTTCAGATGCCTTTAGTAAAGATCACCAGCTAATTCGGGCCGACCCCAAACATAGTCTCTACCTCGCCTGTGCCCTCATGGTCAGAGGAAATGTCCAGATTTCAGATCTTCGCAGAAATATTGAAAGGTTTGATTATATATATACATATGTTTTGAGATTTTATTATTTATTTAGAGAGAGGGGAAGAGAGGAAGAAAGAGAGAGAGAGAGAAGCGTGGATGTGAGAGAAAAACATCGATCAGTTGCCTCTCTCATGCTCTCTAACCAGGGACCAGGCCCCAACCGAGGCATGTGTCCTGACCAGGAACAGAACCCATGACCTTTCACTTTGTGGGATGACACCCAAGCAACTGAGCCGTGCCAGCCAGGGCGATTTTACACTTTTCTCAAGATAGTTAGTTATGTGTACTGCTTGTGACAGTTGTAGCACAGTAGTTAGGGTGGTCTGTTCTCGAATCCTAGCATTACCATGTAAGTATAGTGCGAGTTTGTGCAAGCTGCATAGCCTCTGTTCCTTATTTTCCTCAAATGTAAAGTAAGAATAGTAATGGTGCAGTTATTATTTATAAGTACTAAATCATGTATGAGATGTTTTATTTCCTAAAAGTGTTAGAATATTTAACTATTGTGTTTATCAACACCACTACTACCACTCCACTTCTAAGTTTCTGTTTTACTATTTACTGACAGTCTATTTTTAGGAAAACTGCTCTGTTGAATTACAAAGTGAAGAAAATTATAATACCTTCATTTCTTTTGATCCCCAGATTTCCATGTTAAGGAATATGTTTCTAGCATTTTGAGTCACCATCACAACTAATTTAATGTCCTCTTACTATATGTCCCTTGGTTAACTGTCAGACTGTACCACTACACTGCTAATAATAAAAATGGATAACTTACATAATAAACTAATGGTATCAGTAGTAGTGTCCTAGTTTAACTACTGTGGGCTGCTGTAATATGGCAGGCATTTTTAGTACCTTAATTCTTACCTTAAGTTTTTGTGTCTCAGATTAAAACCTTCTCTACAGTTTGTCTCCTGGAATCAAGAAGGCTGGAAGACCAGCCTGTGTTCAGTACCTCCCGTGGGCCATTGCCATTCATTACTAGCGTTAGCAAATAACACATGTGTGAAGCCTACCTTCATGGACCTGAGAGAGAGATTCATGAGGCTCTATAAGAAGAAGGTAGTTATTGTAACAGTGTGTGTTTGTTTTGACTATTTAAGCTGTATTCCACTATGTGTGGTTGTCTATTTAAGATGTATTCCCAAGAACTATGTTATCGCAGCTCGAGTTCCCCTATCTGCTATGTTCGTTGTACTGATTGTAACTGAAGAGGATAGGCTTACTAAGACTGAATGAGAAGTCTCACGAGTTTATAGGATTTGAGTTCTCATTTGTCTTGTAAATCTGAGTGAACTATCATTTTAATAAAGAATGTTTACATTATAGGGTAGTTGTACATACTAAGTTTCCAGAAAATAGTCAGCATAATTCCGTTGTTTTTAATTTGTAGGCTCATCTTCATCACTATCTGCAAATTGAAGGGATGGAGGAAAGCTGTTTCTCAGAAGCCGTGTCATCTCTGTCAGCGCTCATACAGGAATACAACCAGCTGGACGCCACGAGAAGCCTGCCTGCAGAGGACCTGCCTAGACTGCGCGTAGCTGTGTGAAGCAAACCCGAAAGACACTTTCACTTCTTCGTTTCACGTTGCTTTTTTTGTCATCTCACCTTTCTGTTTCAGAATCTTTGTGATTCAGAAAGCCTGGTTTGTGTTTTTCATATTAGGAAGTATTTTCCTTGAGAGAGTTGTTTCATTTCATGACCAGTTGTTGGTAATACCACTGTGTGAAATTAGTAAAGTCCTAGTACCTTAACTTCAAATATTGTCTTCAGAAAATTCCCTTTTTCTAAAATTGAGAGAATAGAGTCCTTCAGTGTTTTACTTTATTTATAATCTCCTATTTAGGCATTTATACAGTAAGAATCATGGCTTCAATAAAAATTTGTACAGATATATTTTTACATTTATTTATAATTTATGTTTTCATACTCTGTTTAAATTCTTATTCTTTAAAAATAAGTACAGGGAGTTGAAGACCACAATATAAATATTTCTATGTAATATCCGCTAACTTCAGGGATAGGTTTTATTACAACGACTGTGGTTTTGTTTCTTCTTTGGGTAATCTTGTTTGCATTGCACTCAAAAGAATCACACTTTACATTTTTAGTATATATTTGTTTTAAATTATTTTTAAGTCATGCTTTTTTATTAAGCTAGCTGATTTTGTAATAATAAATGTCCCTATTTTTAAACAGTACTACTTGTTATCATTGTTTTGCTTGTCACTGTACAAATGCACATTATAAAACTTGATTTTATCTTCCTCCAAACTTTACAGGAAATGGTTGTCGTAGTCCAGTGAAAGCCTTCCAGTTACTATAATCTCCAGTTATAATCTTTAACATTTATTTGTTTTTAATCACAATTTATATTTCAAATCCATGTGTGGATTTATCATTTCAGGAAATAATTTTTAGGAACAAATTATTTTCAAGCTGAAATAATTCATTGTGTGCTTTCTTCAGTGTTTTTTAAGTTCCTTTTATTTCAAAGTACGGATACTCTTCTTGGTCCTTGTCTTGGAAATTTTGTTTTTTATAGTATTTGGTATAAAGACTTTAAATTACAGTTGTCAATGGGAGCCAGTGAAATTTCATTTTCTCCTTCCCAAAGAAATCTTAATGAACTGATACTTAGTGTAGGGCAATGGAAATTATAAATACATATACAGTTTAAGCTTGCTCTTATTTAAGAATCAACCCAGAACTTTGCTTACCCTATAATGACTACATCTGAGTGGTACCTCGGCTACATTTTTGAAGCACAGATAAAGTATTAAATCTTAATATGCTTTTTATACATCTTTAAAATATTCCAGATTATTTTACAAAATAAATGTTTTTTATACCTTGTGTGGTTTTTCCATTGCATATGGTAAATGTAGGTGGAACAAAGGATCGGTGTATTATATAATTATAAAATACATTTTAAAGTAAAAGTTTAATTTTGTTTGAAATTTCATATATTTTTGTAGGAAACCCTTTTTAAAAGCTCCTAATGCCTTAAATATAATCATCTGTCAGTAGTTAGGCATTCTTACTATTTTAAACCATTAAGGAAGTTTCACCATTTTTTTTAAACCATTTTAACTTTTTGATGTAATGACAGGATTGAGTAACCTTGAGTTTTCACCATGTGCTTAACTTTATAGAATCTTGAGCTCAGAAAATACATCTCCTGGATCTCGGCAGTTTCTTTGACATACACAAGATGTGATCCACAGCATCTTCCATTTAAACGACCCTTCATTGAGGCAATCAAATTGAATGGTGATCATTTTGGACTTATTGGGAACACAGCATCTCTTATCCAGACACATTCCACAGAAAGTGGGTTTGTAACTTTGAGTGCTTGAACATCCAGAAAAGACTAATTTTTCAGCCTTCAAGGGTTGGAAAGTAGGTTGGCACGTTTTTCCTTTGGGTATCTAAAAAGATACATGACAGTAATGTCTTTAAATTTTATTATAATAGTGATACGAAATAGAACATTTTATAACAAACACACAGATATAAATTATTTCCAGCACATTGTTTTCTGCCTTTAAAATTCTCTCTCACCAGAAGTCTGTCTGTCCTCATTCTTCCTCCACCATGTTACTGGATCCACTCCCCAGTCATTTTTTGCTACCTTCCACCTAGCTCCAGAATTAATGAAAATATCAAGAGCCAGGTCTTATTAAATATTTATTTACCTACAAATCAGCAAATTCCCTTACACAGCTCAGACATTTTTTAGTGGATGAGTAGGTGAATAAAAACCTTAATCCCTTTAAAATCGAGTTGTTAACTTCTAATAGGGAATAACCTAGGGATGAGAGGGATTTTGTAGCATTTCTGAAAATTACTTGGGACAGTCATCCTGTACAGCTCCAGAAGTAGGACCAACTCCAGTTACACCACAGAATATTTCACCGTGGTCTCGGCAAGTTTGCCAAGCACAGGGCATTTTGGAAGTGGTAGAGTTCCCTCTCCAAGTTGGTGATACATAACTAGGATCAGAACTTCTTTCATGTCCATAATGTTTATTTTTATAATTATATAACAACCAAAATCCTTCATCCATTGCTTTGATTTCACTGCATAAAACTCATATAGGAAAAAAGTTCGAATCTAAAAAGGACCTACTTTTTTTTTTTTTTTTTAATATTTTATTTATTTATTTTTCGAGAGAGGGGAAGGGAAGGAGAAAGAGTGGGAGAGAAATATCAATGTATGGTTGCCTCTCATGCGTCCCCTGCTGGGAACTGGCCTGCAACCCAGGCATGTGCCCTGACTGGGAATCAAACCGCGATACTCTGGTTCGCAGGCCCGCGCTCAATCCACTGAGCTACGCCAGCCAGGTAAAAAGGACCTACTTTTAAAAAACAACATACACGGTGCAGCAGTTGAGACTGATCCTGATCCCCACTTTTAAGCTGTTAGAGTATCTAACAGGTTAACATTATGTCTCTGCTTGGTGAAATTCTCCCCACAAAGTGCAGTTAGAGTAACATCTGCTTTCCTCTGAGATAGTTTGACTTGAAGAGTTATAATATGGTGATTTTACAATATGGTGACGGAAGGAACCAAACACCATCCATCCCTCTAAAACACATGCACACATACTTTTCAGGAATCTCTTAATACTGACTTATAGTGAAGTTAAATCTAAACTTTACCTTTACTGTCTTTAATATATTACTGTCACAAGGCTGAATATAACACAGTCTTCTCTCTTTTCTCATCTGACAGTTGTTATTCTCATTGGTTACCCTATTAGAAATTCCCATCCCACATGTTCTGGAGCAAGGGGTCCACTTTGTTGCTTGCACAAGACATTTTCTTTTCCAGATAAGTGGGAGATTCTTATAAGCTAAAATAAAGGGGAGAATTACATGTGTATACACATATATACTCATGTAGACAGATCATCTTTAAATCATTTTAATAGTTAATAGATTCGAACCTGCATTTTTATATAATGTAACTCAGAATTGAATAAGCTCGTGATCTAATTCATCATTCTCCCATGCCCCAAATTACTTTTCAGTGATGTGTCACAGTCCGTTTTCTCAGGAGGAATAAACTTTTTACCTTGGAAAAACTGAGCAGATACACCCATTGCTTCTTTCTGCTTAGCCCACTGTCTCAGTGCTAAACCTTAGATTCTGATGGATATCTGCCTCTTCTCTGGTTCTTGCCTCATGCTTGATATTTACACCAGACATTAAAATATACATTAGTAGGACTAGGGAATTTAAGATGTCAATTAGATTGATGTGGTTTAAATGTTAAGTTTCATGATATATTAAAATCTAAAACAGAAAAGTTATATTTAAGAATTAAACTACCAGTGAAACCAGTTATTTTTTCTCTGTTTTAATCTGATCTTTTATAAAATAAATTATACCTAATAATCTAAATATTCATATGCTAAGACATGGCAAATGTGTAGTCTTTTATTTACTCAGCTTAACATTCCCTGTGGTCCCAGGCTTGTGGTATTTCCATTGGCTAGCCATTTCAAATCACTTAGAGGGACACGTGGAGAATAACTAGACTGATGGATTATGGATGGGTAGGTGTGTGATTAGATAGATGGAACCCCCTCCACTGCCTGCTCCTTAGGAGAAACAAAGGGGCTGAAGGGCGTAAATAATGAAAATATCAAGAAAATATAAAGAGGGTATAATACTCTTCCATCTTGTAAATCCATTGGGAGCTTCTTATTCTGCTCATGAATAAATCTGGCTTTTGGTTGATTTTAAGCAAACTGTATATTGCTTTATTTACCTCAAAGTATTTCCTAAAATGGATGCTTTGGGAATAAAGTTGTGAGTTTGTAATTGAACACTGCAAAATTCTGGCTATATTACATCAAAACATTGATTTAAAACTTGAAAGAGACCCCCTAAAAATGCCTTTGTGATAGGAAATATCAGTCACTTTGAAGCATGTGCTGTTTCAAAATAAAATGATCCTTTGATACCATTTTCACTGTTATTACACTAGGATCTTGCAACTGCACATAGAACTCAGGGAGAGGAAGCAGAAACATGAAGATACCTGGAAGGCAGGCAACAGTTTAAAGACCTCAATGCAGGAAGCAGATTAAAAGCCTGGCGCGCATCTGCAATAAATAAAGGTAGGTTCAATTATTTTATCACCAATAACCCCACTTAAAGTTAAGCCAAGAGCTGCAGTTCAGGAATTTGCTGAACATTCATTAAAAAAGCAAAGAAAAACTAGAAGAGATTTTTAAAGTAGGCATTTAGTGTTTGGTGAGCCGTAAGAAAAGCATGGGGCATCATGTCATTGCATGCTTCACAATGAGCAAGCAAAAGCTAGATTCTAACCATAAACCACCTAGAATCAACTATGTATATAAATTACTACCACAAATGCATCTAAAAATGTGTGTTTGTCACTGTGCTTAACTTTAAAGGCCAAACTCCCGTTTGGGCCCATAAATACAGCTTTACAGGTAAGCAGAAGAGAGATGTTAGCCTGAACATGTACTTCCTGAGAAACACACCTAAGCCCAACTCTCAGTTACCAGAGAGATTTTTCTCGGGTTTTCTTGTTTTGTTGTATTTTCTTTTTGTGTGTGTGTTGAAGCACTGACCACTAAGAATGACCATCTGACTGACACCACCAACCAGGTGTGAATTCTGAGTGAATCCACGGAAACTGCTCTCACTCTACAAATCAGAACAGCTTGAACTGTATCCAAAGGTCTTTACTTGTGGCAAACTGCTGCTCTAAGGTAGTCTGTCTCACCAGAGAGGTTCTGAGAACATATATTGAGTCACTCAGGTCCAATGCAGAAAAACAACTGTTCTCGTACATTCTGAAAGCAAGAGTAATTTGCCTTGTAATTTCAGAAGTGTTCGAGCAGTGGTCGCGTTGTGCTGTTCACTGAATAACTGGGTGGTATATGCAAATTCACTACAACCTATTAATCTTTTTTTCAAATTAACTGGCATAATTGAAATCTCTGAGGATGTTGTTTGCATATAGTTATTAAATTTCTAAAACTCATTTCTCTGATTAGAGTTGCTTTTATTAATTACCTACATAATACATGAACTCTGGAGTTTTTAGCATAAATATTGGGTATTTCCTAGGCTGCTTTCATTCACTACGCTCTAAATTTTTTTTAAAAGGCACTGATTTCTGGATGAAAATATGGATGTGAATAATAACCAGGCATCAGTTTTGTACTTTTTAAGTCCTCCATCATCTGTGTTTCATGTGATGGCATTTTTGAAACTCTTGTCTTCAAAATACCCTGGCACTTGGGTAAGATGCTAACTCAGAGCAGGCCGGAAGACACAGGTTATGAATGTACTGACACTAAATGGCCAGGCATTCGAGATGAGAGATAAAAACTCTGATTCCATGTTCCCCACTACATACATACCTGTGGAACCTACTTAAGAATGCCTATGTGTGTGTTTATTCAGAGAGAAAGAGATCGGTAATTAAAGGATAATTTTATATCAGTAGTTTTTTACTTTTAGACATGATCTTTATAAACTCAAAACATGTTCTCAAATGTTTCTAATCAATAGCCTTCCATTTTGGTTTTTATCATATAGAAAAACTGGCTTTGAAAATTTTTAGAACTGGATGGCTCACATTTCTTGCCCCAAAAATAACAATATAAATGAAAGTTTTTCCAGGGTACATTTGAACAACATTTGGTCAGTTTTCCTGAGAAGAGGATGAGTGGGAATAAGTACAGTAAGAGTTTTCCTGACCTAGTACAGCTTTTAAAAATGGGAATATTTTAGGACTTCTGGTTAAGATGGCAGCACAGGTAAACACAGCTCGCCTCCTCACACAACCACATCAAAATTACAGAACAACCGTCACTCAGAACTGTCAGAAATCTAGTTGAATGGAAAACTGACAAGTACAGAATTGAAGAAACTACATTCATCCCGATTGGTAGGAGGGGCGCAGATGCATAACACGCTGGATGTGGGCATCCATGTGTGGTGGATAAAAATTTGGGAGGGATGTCTTGGGAGTGAGGAGTTTCAGCCCCACACCAGGACCCCCAGCCCAGTGTTCCAGTGCCAGGAAGATAAGTCCCATAATTTCTGGCTACAAAAACCAGCAGGGATTGAGTCAATAGAAGAAACTTTTGGATTCCCAAGTAGTTCCTCTTAAAGAATACATGCACAGACTTACAGAAACTCACTCCCTCTCAGCGGTAGCACCAGGGTAGCAGCTTGAAAGGCACCAGTGGCAGACAGGGAGAAACTGTGCAGTGTCTGGCATCAAGGCAAGAGCTGGGGGACCACCTTCTCCCAAACAAAGGTGGGCAGAGGCACAAGGGTACCCTTTTCTGAGCACTCCTCCCACAGAACCACAGAGCCAGCAGGTGGGTGCCATATCTGAGAATCCATCAGCCTGGCTCACACTGTCTGCCCAGCCCTGGAGATCCCCTGAGACTCTGGCCCATCCACTTACTGGCCCACCCAAACTGTTAGAACTGTTACTTTTCCAAATAAATGGCTAGTCTAGGCTCATGTTTCACAACTTCCTAAATCCTCTCAAACAAGCAACAGCCAGCCTCAGTGAGCCCCCAGCCTCCACATCTTGCTAAGTAGCCCCAGGCCCGGCACTAGCAACAGCCAGCCTAGATTGGCTTTACCTTGGAATCTCCAAGCCCAGCACAAGTAGCAGCCATCTCAGATTGCTTTATAGTTCATGCAGTATGTCTCTGGGCAAAATAAGGGTAGAGGCTGACCTTGGCTTGCACACCCAATGGACAGCTACCGGCCATGGTAGAGCACCACCACCCTGCCCCTGTACAGCTGATTCTCCACAGACTGCAAGGTTGGTGGTCAGTGGTCACAGCCGGTACTTGCAGCTGACTGGCCTGGATAAATCCCTCTCATTGACCTACCAACAGCAACCAAGGCTCAACTACAAAAGGAGGGAGCACACCTTGATTACCCAACTTGGGTGATAGGGGAGGCTGTACCACTGGAACCTATAGGACACCAACTACATTAGGCCAGGCTACCAAGACACAGAGTCATAGTAGCTTTACCTAATACACAGAAACAAACACAGGGAGGCTGCCAAAATTAGGAGACAAAGAAACATGGCCCAAATGAAAGAACAGATCAAAATTCTGAAAAAAGAACTCAACAAAATAGAGATAAGCAGACTTTAAGATGCAGAGTTCAAGACCTCAGCAGCATAAAAAAGATCCAGTCAGAAATGAAGGACACACTAATTGAAATAAAGAACAATTTACAAAGAAACAATAGCGTAGATGAAGCTGAGAATCAGATCGATGATTTGGAAAATAAGGAAGCAAAAAACAACCAATCAGAACAACAAGAAGAAAAAAGGACCCCAAAAAAGGATGGTGTAAAAAGCCTCTGGGATAACTTCAAGCATTCCAACATTCACATCGTAGGGGTACCAGAAGGAGAAGAGAAAGAGCAAGAAGTTGGAACTCCATTTGAAAAGATAATGAAAGAAAACTTCCCTAATTTCATGAAGGAAATAGACATGCAAGTCCAAGAAACACAGTCCCAAAGAAGATGGATGCAAAGAGGCCTACTCCAAGGCACATCATAATTAAAATGCCAAAGGTTAAAGATAAAGAGAGAATCTTAAAAGCAGCAAGAAAAAGAAGTTACTTACAGGGGAGTTCCCACAAGACTATCAGCTGATTTCTCAAAAGAAACTTTGCAGTCTGGAAGGGATTGACAAGACATATTCAAAGTCATGAAAAGTGAGGACCTACAGCCAAGATTGCTCTACCCAGCAAAGATATTTAGAATTGAAAGTGGATAAAGAGCTTCCTAGACAAAGAAAAACTGAAGGAGTTCATCATCACCAAACCATTATTATATGAAATGTTAAAGGGACTAATTTGAGAAAAAGAAGATCAAAACTATAAACAATAAAATGGCAAAAAAATACATATGTATCAACAATTGAATCTAAAAAATAAACTAAACAAGAACAGAGCCAGAATCATGGATACAGAGAGGGTTTTGATGATTGCCAGATGGAAGTGGGTTTAGAGGAATGGATGAAGAGGGGAAAGGATTAAGAAGTACAAATAGGTAGTTATGGAATAGCCATGGGTGTAAAGTACAGTATAGGAAGTGGAATAGCCAATGAACCTACAAATAACCCATGGACATGAACAATGGTGTTGGGATTGCCTGAGGGACCGGGGTGCTGAGTGGAGGGGAGCAAAGGGGGGAAAATCAGGACAACTGTAATAGCATAATCAATATATAAATAAAAGTGAATAAAAATTGGAATATTTTAGTGAAAAAATCTAAAACAGTACAGTTTTCTTTCAGGTACTTAAAATATACCTGCCTGAAGCAGAGCCTGAGTAAGACAGCACACTCAGACTACATCCTCCACCGACCACCAGTCAGTAAGTACTGAGTACCCGTGGTACATAAAAAGGACATAAAGTAAAACCACAGAGAAGTCATGCTTGAGAAGCAGTTGTGCTTATGAGTACCTGGCATTGTTTTGTAGGTTTTTGAGAGCTGCTGTTGTAATGGGCCCAAGCCACATTTCTTTTTATCAGACTTCTTTCCACCTTTAGCACCAGAGCAGTAACTATCAATCAGTCTTGGTATGAACAAAGGTGTGCATCCAATGGTCCCGCTCACACAGAGGCAGCTGAACAGGGGATTGGGCTGAAACACTTGGCCATTATAGTAACGCACCCTGTTGAACTCACATCCCACAGCCACCAGGTCTGAAAAGAGAATAAAGCAAGATCACCAAAGAAGCCATAACTGATAGTCTAGACTGCCCACTACAAGCCATTGAGGAAATAGCTGTCTCCTTTACAAAATATAGTTCTTAATTTCTTAGGCCCCACCTGGAACCTCCTCCACAGAACATCTGTAAGAGGTGAAAATGAAACATTCATTATATTTCAGGGGTCTATCAACCTCAAATGGTCACTTCCAGAACTAAGACCAAGTTATAGGATCTGTTCAGGAGTAAAGTTAATAAAAAATATAATGAGTATAGGGGTGAGATAAAGATTGTAAATCTGAGAGATGGTCTGGCTGGTGGCTGTTGAGACTGAGGTTTCTCCAGATGGCCAGCAATAGCCTAGGATGTATTCTTAGGAAGTTAAGACATGTGAATGGCTGAAAAAAATGTAATTTATTTAACTGCAGCACTGCAGGGTAACTGATTTTTTGTCAAGAGAATTGGAGGAAACTTTCCCTTCCTCTGAGGGGGATTCTTGATGTGGATAGGCAGTTTTCAAAGGGTAGCAAACTGACTCCTTGGTGGTGCCTGAGGCCCTTTCAAGAGAGTCCACAAGGTCAGAACTCTTTTTTTTAGGTTCTTTTTCCCCCATGAATTAGTTTGTTGTTGTTTAATTACAGTGTTCTGCATTTTTTCTCCACCACTCCCCCCACCCCATCCAAACCAACCGCCCTCTGTTGCTTCCATCCTCCCCCTTTTTCAGAGTTCTAAGATGTGACTGACTTTTTCACTGTATTAATATTTGCACTGATGGTACAAAAGAAATGGTGTCCAGAAGTGCTGTTGGCACCTTAGAGCAAGAAGCAAACTGCACAGGCTGATCACTGCATTTGTCCCTGATGTGCACATGTACATAAATGTACTTTAACAAAACAAACACACAAAAAAGCTACTTTACTTAAGAATGTCCTTGATGGCACAGTAAAAATTAAAATTTTCTTAAATCTTAACCATTAAATATATGTCTTTTTAATATTCTCTGTGGCAAAATGGAAAGTATGCATGGAGCGTCTCTGTAGATGTACTGAAGTACAATAGATGCCTTGAGGAAAGGCACCGTGCTGTTCTTGGAGTTGTCAGCCAAGCTAACCACTTTTTTGTGGGAATTCCACCTGAAGAAATGACTGACAGATAAACCATGGTTATGCAGACCAGGGTATTTGGCAGACATCTTGAAAATCAACAAAGTGAGGTTGCAACTTCAAGGAAAACAACTGACAGTATTTATTGCCAATGATATAGTTCAAGCTTTCAAGCAAAATTTAGAATTTTGGGAGACTTGTATCCACCTCTGGGAATTTTATAGCTACTCAATATATAGAATTTTCTGACAAAATTAGGATTAATTAATATGATTTTTTAAAATATTGTATAACTACATATATCATTTGGAATTTCTACATAACCCATTGCTCGAAATTGATATTTTCCAAATAACCAAAGCATAGTACAAAATTATGCATGTGTTAAACTAACATTTTTGAGAGTCTACTGCATACCAGATATTTTGCTTGGTGTCTTAGAGTTTGTATCATCATTTTCACTTAATCCTCCTAGAAACTTGATGAAATAGGAAGTACATATGGTGTAACCAAGGCACAGAGAGGTTAAACAACGTAACATGACCCAGGTCACCCATCAGACAGAGCCCACATCTTAGCCAACGCGATACAGCGCAGACCAGCAGCAGGCTGTCCTGCCTGCACAGCTCTGCTGAGAGCCCGACTCCCAATGCGCTCAAATTCCATGCTCACAAGCAAACTTCGGGGAGTCCTTTGCCTTCCTGCTTGGACTTTTCTACAGAGTGACTAAACTGCTCAGCTAACATGACTCTTTCTCTTCCCTTAGAAATTTATTTCTTCATCCTAAATCCGCATCCTGAATTATTATCAAGATGTTATAAGTTTAGATGGTCTCAATCAGATTCCAGAGCTAAGGCCCATAAAGCTGAGGGTCAGGATGTGATTTGGGGTGCTCTTACCTTCTTTTTTACAAATCTGCTTCAGTAAAAAGTACAGTAACTTGATGATTAGCAGGGAAGGCTGAGATTAAAACAGTATGTCTGAATACCAAATGTACATCCTTATATTTTAAGCAAGATTACTTTTTAGTTACAGAAAAGGTTGAATTTAGATTGCTTTTGACAATACTAAAAATAGCTGTCATTTTTGTGGCATGGTAAGAAATTAGACTCTAAGTAATTCCTCATATTTTAATCATTAAAAGCAATTATGTGAGAAAAACTGCAAGATTACTTCAATGCAATTAAAGCAACAGGTTTCTGAACATGTGTAAACATCGGTTAATTTCATATGGTGTCTAACATGACAAAGCCAGTCCCGTTGGTGCGTGAAAACTAAAGCCACCTTATAGTCAGCCAGACTAAGCTGATAATTCCAAATGAACAGTTGCAGAAAAAATATTCTGTCTACACTTGTTTTCCAGCAGGTCCAGAAGAAGACACTTACATGCACACACTCCAGTCTCATACCTAGGCCTGTCTGCTGAGTAGTCACAGTACAGCCCTTTGTGTGGGTCGCAGAGGTCAGCTTCATTGCAGATGTCCCCTGGTTGCTTGGCACAGGTTTTACAGCATCCACAGCCATCCCTCACCAAGCTCACTCCAGGAGGGCAACTGGGCTTCGGAGGGCATTCACAGGGCCACTGACAAAACAGTTTACGATGATGCTCTCCCGATGCTTCTCCAGGCCTTCCTTCAGGTGTCACGTCTAATGGCCCAGTGACCTGTGCCCTGCAGCGGAACTTCAGTTGATAATAAAGGTAATGTTAGAAATGATTCCTCAACCTAATTTCCCAGGTTTTATAGAGATAGAAGGTTTCCCCCAGATTGGCAGAATAGAGTATAGTAAATACAACAATAATATGTATCAGTATTTGATAGTCACTCACACCTTAAACTTCTCTTCCCTCAACTCCCAACACATGACTTTCTCACTCTTCCTTTCCCACGGATTGCTCCTTCTCAGTCTCCTTGGCTGGTTTCTCCTCCTCCTCTTCATCTCTAACCACTGGAGCCCCCATGGTTAAGACCTCTAAATATCTTCCCTCACTACATCTCATATTTCTCACCCAGACTTGTTTCGGAACTCAGACTTAAACTGCCTACTTAACAGATCCCCACTTAGACATCTGATAAGTATAGTAAATTTGACATGACCAAAGGTAATTTTCCCTTCTAACATACTCTTCCATACACATCCCTATTTGAGCAGATGCCAGTTTCATTTTTCCAAAATACCTTGGAGTCTGGTCATTCTTGACTCCTCTAATGTTTTATTCCCCATCCCATCAGTATACCCTGTTGGTTGTACCTTCAAAATATACCCACTCTCATTCTTTCTTAACAGCCCCCCAGCTCCCACAGTGATCCAAGCAACCATTCTCTTTCACTTGGGTGGTGGTAGTTGTCTCCTAAAGGTTCTCCTTGCTTCCCTTTTGTCCTCTACATTTTCTACCCAGAAGAAAGGTTCTTTTATTTTTTTAAAGGCAAGTGATTTATTTTTTAAATCTCACTTTAATAAGTAAGTGGGATTACACCAAACTAAAAAGCTTTACACAACAAAGGAAATAAATTAAAGGGCAACCTACATAATGGGAGAAAAATGTATGTAAACTATATAAGTAATAAGGGATTAAAACCCCAAATCTATCAGGAACTCATACAACTCAATGGCAAATAAATAAACCAATTAAAAAATGGGCAAAGACTTAAATAGGCATTTCTACAAAGAAAACCTACAAATGGCCATCAATACATGAAAAGGTTCTCAACACCACTAATCATCAGGGAAATGCAAATCCAAACCATACTGAGACACCACCTCACACCTGTCAGGATGACTATTACTAAACAGAAGTTAAGCATTGGTGTGTAGGGGAAAGAAAATCTGGTGCACCGTTGGTGGCAATGTAAATTGGTACAGCCATTATGGAAAACAACATGGAGGTTCCTCAAAAACAACAATAAATAAAATTACCATATGGCCCAGCACTTTCACTTTGGGTATTTATTCAAAGGAATTGAAATCAGGATCTCAGAGATACCTGTACAAGGAGGGACCCCCCCAAAAATGGAATTTATTTATTAAAAATTGTGTATTTATTCTTACATGTTTTAACTTCACTTTCAAAGTACTCTCCATTTGATGCAATACACCTATCAAGACATTTTTTCCTCTGCTCAAAAGTTTTTGAACTCATCAATTTTGACACCTTTTAGTACATTTTTGTTTCACCTCTTCCACATTGGCAAGATTTTTTTCATCTGGGGAAACAAACAAAAATGTTGCTTGGGACAAGATTGGATGAATAGGAAGGGTTCAGCATGGGGGTTATGCTGCTTTTGCTCAAAAACTGCTGAACACAGAGCATGGTATGAGCAGGTGCACTCATAAATCACCCATATGAAATGGGCAAACACACTGAGTCTTCAAAAAAATTTTCATTAAAGCCAAATGCAGCCTCTCACAACAATGCCTGCTGGCGCACTGATACAGATGGGTTCCTAGAACACTCACCTAGTGGGGGAAGCATGTACTATAAGGAGCCCGCCCTGATAGTAGATAATTCGGGTTCCTTCCTCTTACTCTGTTCTCCCATGTTCATTCACTGCAGCATTATTCATAATAACCAAGACATGGAAACAAACTAAATGTCCATTCATGTATAAGTAGATAAAGAAAATGTAGTATGCACATATACTGCAGTATTTCCTTCTTTAAAAAAAAAATTTTTTTTAGGCCACATCATGGATGGACCTAAAAGACATTATCTAAAGTAAAATAAGGCACACACAGAAAGAAAATACTGTATAATGTCACTTACATGTGGAATCTAAAATAGTCCAACTCAGAAGTGGAGAGTAGAAAAGTTGCCTGCACCTGGGGAGTGGGAAGGTGGTGCTCAGAGGGTAGGAAGTTTTATTTATGCAAGATATGTAAGTTCTGAAGATCTGTACAGCATGGCACTTGTAGCTATCAATACTGTATTGTACACTTAAAATTTGCTAAGAGAGATCTTATGATAAATGTTCTCACCACATACAAAAAAATTAGTAATAAAGGGGGCAGGAGGAGACTTTGAGAGGTGAAGGATATATTTATGGCCTTGATGGTGGTGAGGGTTTCAGAAGTATGTACTTATCCCCCAAATCATCAAATTGTATACATTAAATATGTTCATCTTTGTACATGCCCATCATACCTGAATTCATGTCACTCCTTGCGCGTGGCTTCCCGTTTCAATATAAGGAGCTCACTACTCTCCCAGGCCCTGCAACATCTTGTCCTCACTCCCTATCTCACTCTGCCCACTACCGCTCACCCCCTTGCTGGCTTTGCTTCAGCCACACTGGCCTACTTGTTCTCTAAATTCTGCAAGTATGTTCTTCCCCCAGGTGTCTTTGCAGCTCACTCTTTCACTTCCTTCAGGCTGGTGTTCACATTTACCAGTGAAGCTCTTCTTGACCACCCTTCATAAAATAGCACCCTACCCCAGCTCTTTCTCCAGCGACCTTCTTACTACCTACTTTATTACCTATATATTTTACCTGTTTATTTTCTGAGCTGCACATCAAGAATTTGAGCTTCTTGGGGCAAGCTCTTTACCTTATGCCTGTCTTGTCTGTAATAAGTGTTTTTTGAATGAAAGAACATGGTACTGCCTATGTGCCAAGTACCTTACATGCATATATCATTTAACCTTCACAACAACAGTGTGGAGAAATTATCCCCATGTGATAAGCACAGTAATAGTTCCCTCAAAAATGTTTATGTCCTAATCCAAGAGCAAAGGATTAAAGAGTCAAATGCCTTAAGTGGGGTAAGGGGAGGACCTAGAGATTCCATGCACATGAGCTTAGCTGGGAGGCCACAGAACCTGGCAAAGAGTTCCTAGTAACCCCTGCTGAACCTGTGCAAAATTAAGAAGTAGGCGCTCACTATTTCTAGCCTCACTATTTCTACTCCCTTCTCTACTGCGTTTTCTTTTCCCTGTTCTTGGTTTTCATGACACCAGGCCCTTCCAGTACTACCTCTAGCTCTCAACATATGTTCTTAATCTTTGCAGGATATGTAGACTTACTGGTGTTTCATGACCTTAAGGCATTGCTTTTCTCACCTGCACACTGTCTCTTGGCAATCTTATTGATGAGGAAACTCAAAAGTTAAAGAATTTAGCTTCAGTCATAGTTGGTAGGCTTAAGTGACTAATGCATGTGACAAACTATTATTGTAGAAACTGGAATACATGACCATGTGATTCCAGGAATCAACAAGCAATTTTGCCCCTGGAGATGGTATCTGAACCATTGTATTCCAGGACGGGACAATCAGTGACTCAGATAAACAACTGTTAATCAACAGATAAAGAAGTACTAGGAAAATTGCTGCTAGACTGCAACTCTTATCAAATTAACCTTTTTTTCCAAATGCCTTACCTACCTCTTCTTCTTCTTATAAGAAGGTGGGCTTGAGATGAAATGTTAAGACAGTTTTTAAGTGTACATAACTCACCATCTTCTCAGATCACCAGCATCTGAGTAAAGCACTCATAAAGACTCAATCCTTGTCTCTACTTACTGGTTCTGGTAGTGACAGGCAGCACAGGCATGAACTTTTCCAGTTTCATTATCTAATCATAGCCTTCAATTCCCACCCTATGCAAGCTTCAGAACTAAATTTCCATCCAGGACTTCTCCACTGAGGTCCAGACCCATACAGCTGACTGTTTACCGGACACCTCCACCAGAATGCCCTATAGGAAAAACTCATATCTGAAACTCATCATCCCCTCCCTCACCCCCAGACAGCTTCTCCCAGGTTTAGAGTTAAAAAGCTGGAAGTCATCCAGGTCATCTTCCTCTCCCTCACCACCCACATCCATTCAAATGACTAATCCTGCTTATTGTCCTCATATCCCTAGAACTAGTCACTCTTCTCTCATGTTCACTGCTACTAAGTACTACTGCAGTAAGTTCCTAACTGGTCTTCCTCCCCCAAGAATGACTTCTTGGACAAACCTGCCACATTGCTGCTAGAGGGAGCTCTTTAAAAAAAACATCTGATTTTATTATTCCTCTCCCTACAGCCCATTGGGGCTTCCCCACTGTCTACAGTATACAGCCCAGACTTCTGAGAATGACGTCTAAAGCTCTGCCCATGCAGGTTCACACCTTTCTCTCTAGCCTTAGCTTTCAATGCACTCTTCTCCTCTGCCTTCCAGTTTCCCAGACTCATGGGGTTGGTTTTCTCCTACATGGCTTTCTTCACATTGCTCCAATGAAATGCCTACTCCTGAAACTTCCCACCTGGGGCTACCCGTTTATCTTTCCAGCCTAGAAGCATTTTAATACAATCTTTGAAGTCACAAGGTAACACTATTGAAAACCAAGGATAAAGAGAAAAATCTTCAAAGCAGCCTGAGAAAAGGAATGCATTATATACAAGAGAACAATACTAAGAATGAGATCTGACTTCTCATCAAAAGAAGATGAGAAAGGTGTCCTGTAGTAGGATACACTGTGGTACATCCAGACAATGAAATGTTATTTGGTGCTAAAAAGAAATGAGCTATCAAACCACGAAAAAAAAAAAAAAAACATATATATTACTAAGTGAAAGAAGGCAATCTGAAAATTCTACATACTGTATGATTCCAATTAAATGACATTCTAGAAATGGCTAAACTACAGAGAAAGTAAAATAAATCAGTGGTTGCCAGAAGTTGAGGGAAGGGGTGTATAGGTGGAGCACAGAGGTTTTTAAAACACTCTGTATATACTGTATAATGACATGGCATGTATACATTTGTCCAATCCCACAGACTGTACCACACCAAAAGTGAACCCTAAATAAATGACAGACTTCAGGTAATGATGTGTCAACGTAGGTCCACCAGCCGGAACAAATATACCACTGTGGGGGGAATGTCGATGGCGGGGGGTGGGCATGTGTGAAGGCCGGGGGTGTTTGTGAAATCGCTGTACCTTCCTCTCAAATTTGCTGTTACCTTAAAACTGCTATAAAAATTTATCTTAAAAAAAACACCCAGAGAAAATGCTGGAAGGAAAAAAAAAACTGTCACTCTGGAATTCTATCCTCAGTGAACTATGTTTCAAAAATGAAGATGAAATCAAAGACATTTCCAGATAAACAAAAGCTGAGAGAAATTTTTGCTAACATGTCTACCTCACAACAAATACTTAAAGGAATATCTTCAGTCTGAGGGAAATTACCATAGATGGTAATTCAGAAATACAGGGGAAAAATAAAGAGTCCTGGAAATGACAAAAATGTAAATAAATATAAAGAATTGTCTGTACTTTTTCTTTGTGTAGGCATTGATAGTTTTCCAAGTCAAAATCTCAAAACAAGAGTCATCAGAACAACATGATGGAAAATGAGAGTACTAGCCCTGGCTGGTGTAGCTCAGTGGATTGAGTGCAGGCCTGCAAACCAAAGAATCACGGTTCGATTCCCAGTCAGGGCACATGCCTGGGTTACAGGCCAGTTCCCAGCAGGGATCGCATGAGAGGCAACCACGCATTGATCTCTCCCTCCCTTTCTCCTTCCCTTCTAAAGATAAATAAATAAAGTCTAAAAAAAAAGAAAAGAAAATGAGAGTACAGATGACAAAGCTGAGCTTCAGTATAGTTCTGTCATCTTAGATCATTTTCTGTCACTTATTTGACCTCCGAGCCTCAGTTTTCCTCTGTGACAAACCACCATACAAGGTTATTTTGAGGATTAAGGTGACAACTGAAGTGCCTAGCACAGTGGTGGCACATAAGAGATGTTTGATGAATAGGAGGTATTATCGGAGCTTTCAAAAACTTATAATGGCAAAATTAAGCAAAATCCCACTTCCCGTTGCTTTATCTATAACACATTCTTACTGTTGCTTTAGTTTTTGTTTTGGGCCCAGGTCCCTATGCTGTAGCTCTCACGCCACAGCAATGGCAGGGCTTCCCTGGAGAATGGTGGGGTAAAGCTCGGCCGCCCCTGTGCCTCCTCTGGGGAAACGTGCCCCTCGGCCTAACAGTGCCTCTGAATAAACTGTGCCGGTGCGGTTCTCGTTGTGAGGCTTTTCAGATCTTAAATCTCTCCCTACACAATATAACAACTTCTAACCCCCTCTTTTCTAAGATGCACCTATTGCCTACCACCCCAGTCAGGTGTTAACTCACAGACACGGAATGTCTGCTAAATCACCAGGTTTCAAAAGCTCTGTCTTCTATGCAGTTAATAACCTCCACCATTGTAAATAAAACCACAAGTAATTCACCCTATTTTAATCTCCTTATTAAAAACTACTAAGGCAATGAATCGATCATATGAAATTAAAATTCCCTTTGGTCTGTTGCTTAGAATATTTCAAAGTCTCCGAGAACTGATTTATTTCCTTCTATGAAAAGCAAGAAACCCATGGGTTAGGAAAAGACAAAATTATAGAATGTTTTCAAAATGTCAATGTCTGTTCCAAAGGGCTCCTTTCCAACAGGAACAGCCTTGACTGAAGAAAGTGGTCAAAATCACTTTCTCCAGTGGCTCTGTGCACATTTTGTTCACGGTGGAAAGTTGAGCCCCAGCCTGGAGCCCAGATGAGGAAGCCCCGTTCACTCCACCTCGCTGGGCAGGGTTGCTGCCTCCGACTGCATGTACAGTGTTACACTCCAGGAAAAATATATACATTACCGAAGTTTTGGAGCTGTTCAAACATATCAAAAGTCGGATTAACTGGCATTACCTGAAAGGGGAAAATGTTTTCCACTTCTTTCCCGAAGCTAATAAACTGAAACGGAACTTTATTTGGAGAGGAAAATGGCTCCCTATTTCTCATGAAGTAGTTCCACAAGGAATTTACCTCCTCCTCTTCCCCCATCTTCTTCATTCCTATTTTTGACCTAAAAAAAACAATAAGAACTACTGTAGTCTCCTAAAGGGAAAGAGCAAGGAGAGAAAACTTACCTGTGACGGAGCAGCGAGGAGAAAGGTGGCGAAGAGGAGCCCCTGCATGTTGCCAGGACCACGCTGCACCACCAGAGATAGGAGGCCGGGCACCCTCCCGCCGCCACACAAAGCTCCCCTCTGTCTCCTCAGCAGAAGAACTCAACACGCCTCCACCTCCCTGGCCACTGAGTTGTGCTCATACTCTCAGACTCAGCTTCAGCTTTCTCGGACTTGTCTTAATACCTTGTTTACTTTCACAGGACTCCTCTCATATTTACCTATCGTGGAGTGTCAGGAGGGTGTGAGCACTATCCCCCAGGGAATGAAGAGGGGTAGTTCAAGCGCTGACTTGTTTTTGAGTACAGATTCTACCTGTTCCTAAAGATCAGAGTCTGCCTCTGGGCAAAGGGTGAGGTTAGATGCATGCACCCTCCTTACTGGCTGCCTCTGGGGTCCGGTGTGCCCTGCCCCAGGCACGCCCTGTGCTGCCTTATTTTCCCCCTTGGCTCTCAAGCACAGGGTGCTGGCCTAGCTCAGCCTACAGCACTCCACCCACACCAGCTCCCCTTCTCTCTCACACCAACAATAGGTTTGCAAAGACCTGCCCTGACTCCTCCAGCTGCTGATTCTCCCTCTGCCCCCCGCACAGTGGTCAGACTTAACCCCTGTCAGAGCTCATTTCTCACACCAGCAGGGTAATGATTGGGAAAGATGTAGATGGAACAGGTGCGGGGAGGGGGGTGAAGGGGGGCAAGTCCTGTCCTGGACTCACTGCTCACCTTGTTTCCGTCCAAGGTAGTCACAGCTGTACAAAGACGGTGAGTGATGCTCACGTGGACCTGTGCTGAGGGTCCAGGGGAAAGCAAGGCTTTCTGCCATCAACAGGGAATCCAGGGCCCATGGAGAGCCAGGAGCCCCACAAAACATGCAAACAAACTCTAGGCAGCTTACTAAGAGGTTAATTAAACCGTTATTATACACACCGAACAACAAGAAATACTCAGTGTGCTTTTATGGTGTCACCTCTTTATCCTGCCTCCCTGGTAAAAAGGACGAAACCCAAGAAAGGCCTAGTGAAGCAAAATGCGTCTGTTTTGGTCCAATCTGATCAATTTCTTTCTAATTTAGCTCCATTCAATCTTTCGTTTCCCAGCCTCTGTGATTCGGGCACCACGCTGTCCAGGGGGATGGATCATGTCTCATTCCTCACTGGTCCATCCAGAGCAGACGAGCCTCAGCCCAGGACTAGTGTTTTCTTCCTCTGCGTCCCTCCAGTCCCTGCTCTCGCTGCTCCAACTGTGATGCTGCAGCACCCACGCAGTGCTGGACTCGGGAGACTCATGCTTCTCCCGCTTGCTCTCTGAGAAATGCGGGCGGCAGCAGCCATTGTTGCGGAAACAGCTTCTCGTGCTCTGTCGTATCTCTGCCACAGGCAGGGGAAGGTGTTGTAATCACCGTCCTTGCCTCCTGGAGGGAAAGGAACATCTTCGTTGAGAACTAACTTGTAAAACCTCCCCGGTGCACAGAGCTGACGGGCTCTGGGACACGTGCCGTCACACGTTTAGACATCTGCAGCCACGGATGTGCTCTCATTAAACTATTCCAAGCTCACCAAGGATGCACTGAGAGAATACGAAATTCTCAGAGGATGGGAATGCCAGCTCCCACTTTAGACAATAAGAGTGATCATGGCACACATCCTGCTCTAAGCACTTTCCCCTGTTACTTCATTTCACAGAATGCTAACCTGTCTAGGAACTCGCTTCATGAGTATTCGGCTTGCGAGGTCCATTCTGAAGTAGATATGGTGCCAAGCACAGCTAATATTTATATCCTGTTTCATGGTTTACAAGGAAGTTTCATAGGTATTATCTTTTTTATTTTAATTTCACAGCCCAGTGAGGTAGGCAAAAGCCATGTTACCATCGTCATCTGGCAGATTAAAAACTTGAAGTTGAGTGATTGTACTTGGTCAATAAAACATGCTTAATCCCTGCCCGCCAGAGCAGTGTAATCTGCTAAGTGAAAAGACACCAAACAAATAAAGACATTAAGTAGCCACATTAAATTGAACAAAGGCCAATAATAAAGAACAAAAAACTGGAAGAATGACAGGTAGGAGCTAATTTAGATTAGGGGCACAGAGGGCATCTGTGGGGAGTGTCACTTAGGCAGTTGAGAGATCCAGTGCTCTTTCCACTGGCAAAATGCACACCCCCGATGGTGACAAGCCCCATCTGCAACGAGCACACCCCAGGGCCTGAAGTCACTCTCCGAGGAACATCATCAAACTAGAACACTTCCTTCTCCTGGTCGAGTCGGCCATTCAGAGTGGGCAGAGATCAGAAGCCGCACCTGTCATCGGCACACTTAGCCCAGAATGAGTTTTCCTTTCCTGTCCTTTCTTCCTTCTCTTCATTTCTTACTAGTTATGAAGACAGAGCTATTGTGAGCCAGGAAAAGAGACAGACATTGTTGCTGTCACAATCCGCTGAGGGTGCCCTCTGAGCGAGAGTCCATATTTGCATGATTGACACTACAGCTACAGTATTAGGTTGGCCAAAAAGTTTGTGTGGCTTCTTTCTGTAAAATAAAAGGCACAGCTGTCTCCTGTGTGGCGTAACATTGATTGTTCTCAGTGTCTCGATTTGATCACCGTCCACTTCAACTGGTCTGCCCAACTGTGGGGCATCATCCAGTGAGAAATCTCTAGCACAAAACTTCGCAAACCACTTCTCACACATTCGATCAGTCACAGCACCTTCTCCATAAATCTTTTTTTGCATTTCAGTTGTGTTTTTACCTTTAAGTAGTAAAGCATAATATGCTGGAAATGTCACTTATTATCTTCCATCTTCAACATGGCTACACAAAAATTCACCAATTTGGTAAGTATTTTTTAAAACATGTATGCTAATATGACAGCTGTCACAATATAATCTAACAAAATTGTTTCAAATGAGGTTAAAGTCAACTAAGTGCTACTAGAGCCATTGTATAAAAAAAAAAGAACAAACTTTTTGGCCAACCTGGTACTAGCAACTACCCATTAATGACTGCTCGAGGTGTCCCATCACTGTGCTGAGCACTGTGATGCTCACAGTACTCACAGAGACCTCACAGAACCTCACAGAAACGCCACCAGACATGTACCGTCATTACTGCCTTTGTTTTATTAATGAGGGGAGCGAGGCAAGGCCACGTGGGTAGCAAGAAGTATTGCAGAACCAAGATTCCAAGCATTTTAATTCCCCTGCTCTGCTGCCTCTCTGCACGACCTACCATTTATATCACAATCTGTAGCAGGATGATTTATTTTACTAATTTAAATTGCATTCTCAATGTTTTTCCTCCTCCTGCTCTCTTCTGCAATTTTAAGACGTTAGTGAGGACTTTTTTATTTTCCTCTATCCAGCCTCCAAGCAGAAAAAGGAAGCCGCTGGCATGCTTTCTTTTGTCTTTTAGGAAAACCTGATTTCACTGAAGAGGTGATGCTGGGAGAGGAGAGAGGGGAGGGAATCTGAAGCAGCCAAGAGGAGGAGGAAGAGAGTGAAGCCATGGCTAGGTGAGGACTGGATGCTCAGACTGCACCATGGCAGTGACAAAGCCCAGAGGGATCCAGTGTCAACATAATGCTCCCAGGAAACTTACCCAGTGCCAGCGTTCCTCAGTGGCAAATGCCAACGAACTCTGTGTGCGTGCCAAGCTTTTAGTGCCTGTGCACACGTGTGGGCAGAAAGCTCAGCCAGTGAAGACCAGAGAGGCCTGATCCTTTCCTAGGTCCTGGGGAGGCCTCTTGGGTGGTTGTTCAGCCTCCACTGGTGGTGGTGGTGGTGGTCGTGGTGGTAAGGGCAGGGGAGGGTGTGTAAAGCACCAGTGACAGCTTAGAACGCATTTATCTGCAGATGGAGGTGGAAAGGGTGGTTCAGGGCCAGGTTTCATTTTAATTTTAACTTTAATTAAAAATTCATTATATAAGTTTTTCATTTTAATTAAAAGAAATAAATATTTCCTACACTCTTGGATTTGTGGGACCATAGTCCTACTTGCTAAAAAATACCATAAGTTTCACAAAATCACCATGTATACTCTTGCGTGTATAGTCTCCCCTGAAAAACCGCAGGCCTCAGACTCAAAACCAGTCCCATCAACTCTGGCTCTCTGCCGACTCCCGGGGGTCTGCAATAGATCTCTGGTAACTCAGGGATTCTTGCAGCCTGGCAGCCACTGCAGGCCCAGCAGTGCTGAAGGACGTCCACATGGCAGCTGTTAAATAAAAGCTTGTTGGTGATTTTAAATCACCCTATAACTTCCAAAGTTAACCATGTCTATCATTTTGCATATATTGATTTATCCACTGCATCACTTTGTGCCTGTTTTCTATTAGTTATTGCACTTCTCACTTACTTTTTCCCTACTGTACATGATACAAGCATGAGAGCGTAAGTGAATCCGCTCTTCTTCCTCCGTGAACCTGCACAAGCCCGGTTAATCAGCACCTGCGCCTTCTCCGAGGGGCGGCGCTGTGCGTGCTAAGACGCTGCCAAAGCCCCCACTTCAGAGTGAGGGCGGAAGAGTTGCCAGGCTCTGCTTGGCCTTCCACCCAACTTTTAGTGAACCAGGTCCAAGAGCAAGCAGCTCCAGAAAACCACAAAAGCCCGGCCCTGCCATCTGCCTGGGCCTCACAACAGAGCCTCCTTGAAAAGAAACAGGTGCCCTCGTTCCCAGGGCATCAGAAAGTCAGGCTGTGGCCCAAGGAAAACAAGGCCAAATACCTCAGAAGGGTCTAATTCACTCTGTCACTTGGCCCTGTTAGCGCGCTTTGCAGGGGGAGCCCTGTGTGGGAAAGAGGGCCGCGTTAGTCAGATGCAGGCATTGAGAACAGCCACATGAGAAGCAGGAAGGGAGAGGGGAGCAAGGTGTTTTCCACATTTTCATACTTGGGTGGAGCTCATCTTTCAGGAAAGGAAGAGCATGCATAATGTGGGGTGTCGTTCCTGATCTTAGAAATGACTGCATGTGTGAATCACAATCCAACCAGATGGACAGGCCCCTTGGCAGGGCGACAAGCACACTGGACTTGGAGCCAGAAGAACCCAGTTCATATCCAAGCTCTGCTACTTAGGAACTCTGACCTTGGACAGTCTCCTCCAGGTCTCCCCACCTCCAGGCTTCTTAACCTCTCCAATACACCCTCGGCACTGCCAGAATGTT